TCACAATTTAACAAGAAAAGTTTTTTAAACTTTGCAGTACTATAACCCTAAAAAAAAATTCAACACTCGAAGGCTTATAATAAGGTACCAAATACTAAACCACCGAAAAAATTATGAATTTTTTTTTTTTCCACTATCAAAATTATAGTTACTGGTTTGGGAGATAAACTCGGCCGAAAATCAGTGTTTTGGGGGCATATTTCATTTATTTGTTTACGTATTCTGATGAATCTTGCACCATAATAAACTTCAGCTCTTCGATTTTCCGGTATCACCATAAAAGTTATATTTAGAAACATAACGGGTAATTTTGAGAGGCCCTGGAAGAGGTACGTAAAAAGGATATTTTTAACGCGCGCGAGTAGATAATTCCGGCTCTTTGTTTTTCTTCTTAAATGAGTAAGTTAAAACGTAAAATAACATGTTTAGACATTTTATTATTTCTTTGCTGTTCATTTATGTCAAATAAAAAATATTTGTTACCAAAATTGTTGAGCATTACGTTAGTATAATGAATATCTATGATAACACGATATTTATATGCAACGTACTATGTAACATATAAATCATTTTTACGTAAAACACGTGCTTTAATCATTTATTAACGTATAACGAAATATGTAATTAAAGAATTAGTGATTCAAATTTATTTTTGCTTAGCTTAACAGAGTGAAGAAGAAATTAATTTAGTGGTATTCAACCTACACATTAACATATAAAAGGAGCATTTAACATCAGTCTTTCAATCCATTCCACTTAAAGATTACAATTGTGTAATCAGCCTTTTTTCTGAGTTAGCAAGACAAAAGTGAGTCTGAATTTCATCTACAAAATGTATACGTAAACGTCGTCTGCTTTATCGGTAGTCGGTCAATATATAAAAGTACCCCTGTGCGATCCTCAAAATGAGTATCTGCTGCACATGCGCACAACAATGGGATTCCCGTACTTTTTATAGGCATGTTTTGTAAACAAACAGGTAAAAGTCTGTGTTATTTTTTAAATATCTTACCAAACTTGACAAAATTTCCAGATATTGTCGAATTCCAGCGATAGTATGAGATGGTGAGCTTGATTAGATTAAAAATTCCGATAACTCGATTTAATTATAAAAAGACGAGTTTATCAACCAGCCGAAGTTATCTCCCCAACCAGTATAGAAAGGTGAAAAGCCTACTATATGTTCATTTGCCAAACAATGTGGAACACGCGAAATTGTCGTTTCGGCGACTGAGCCCCATTCCAAAGGCATTTCGCTGCATCATTCTATAACTATAATTTTGATAGTGGAAAAAAATTTTTTTTTCATAATTTTATCGGTGGTTTTGTATTTGGTACCTTATGATAAGCCTTAGAGTGTTGAATACTTTTTCAGGGTTATAGTAGGGGTCCAGGGTCAGATAGGGATAAAGTTTCCAAATACTGATACTGCCACCTGTGTTTGACACCAGTTATTTTAAGGTCTGGACCAAACTTTGTGCAAAATTTCAGTTCATTCCCTTATGCCGTTTTTCCAGAATGTACTGGTTTTTTTTCTAAAATCATCATAGTTTAATGTGCAAAATGACACAGAATGAAAAATGTGGCTATAATTCACACACAAAAATAAATTATTTTAATTAACATTCTGAGCATATTTTCTTCATTATCTTTTGCAGTTTTTTTACATTTTAATTACTTCATTTGATCTATGTAAGAAATTCAAATTTCACATTTATATCAACAATAAATGCATGTTTCCCTACATACCACTACATAAATGTACCATTTTTGGAAGGTCAATACCAAATATATAGAAATAGTTCAGAGCTATTACCCAATAATTTTGACCAATTTACCCAATAAAAATAAAATCTTTGAGTAATAAGAAAGCAAATCAAAGGCCCAGTACCCAATTTGTTTTGATTCTGTAGCGTATTTCCACTATCTCGGACCCTAATTCACCTGGCAAAAACAGCCAAACAAATCCGAAATAGCCTGTTTCCCTTTCTCTTTCATTTTCCATTTGTTTACCGGGAGCTGCTGAGTAGACTGGTTATATAAATATCGATTTTTTTACGGAAAAGCTTATACTTTGAAGAGATAATTACATTGTGGCCCAGACTGAGGTCAATTTCGAGGAAATGGATGAAAAAATCTAATGTTTTATTGCAGTCTTGCAAAACATTTTAGTTAATTTACCAAGCCAGAACCTTAAAGGATAAAAACAAGAAATTCTTTTTAGCTAAACAAGCATACATCATTATTTAATTAAGGTTAATCTACACAAATAAATAAATTTTTCAATGATACCCAATTTTGTTTCTGTGTCACCCAATTGTGTGTCAAGTCCTGGGGTAAATACCCAATTAACTCAAAAGCTTATCTGTAGCTCTGATAGTTGCTTTTTAAGTAATTAATAATCATAAAGTAATAATTTGTTAATTTACTTTTTTATTAATCATTAAGCTACATTATTATATCCATGGTATGTATATACTTCAAAATATGTAAGTGATACGTTAACTCCAAAAATGGTATGTAACCACCTGGTATGTTTCCTCCATGGTACGTAACCTCCATAGTACGTAACCTCCAGTAATCTTCTCAGGGACTACTTAGGGAGAAATTATGACAGCTCGCCAGTGATTGGCTGTGTAAAAGGTCACCATAAATGATGTATTTGGTCACGGTCAGATCTAAAAGCGGAGCGTTATTAAGAGCTGATTTAATCAGATTGGGTTATTTGTCCTCTTGAACTGTTTATTTAAATTATTATGTCACCTTGCTGTCAATAAGCAACACCAAGGGGCATCCATGGCCAAGTGGTTAATGTTTTTGGCTTCAAACCACTTGCCCCTCACCAATGTGGGTTCGAATCCCAACAAGGACTTTGGATTCTTTCACATGAGGAAGCTATCCAGCTAGCTTGTGGAACGTTGGTGATTCTACTCAGGTGCCTGTTTGTGCCTGAAATAATGCAGAGAAGGGCACCTGAGGTCTTCCTCCACTAGTAAAGCTGGAACCTCGCCATATGATCTATAATGTGACGAAAACCCAATTAAACAGACAAACTTAAGCAACACCATATTTAATCGAGTATCATACAGGATATGGACGAAGTCTGTTAATCACCAATGACCAGAGGTGCCGTTATATAAACATTTTATGGACATGTGCTGTGTTTGATTTTTAGCTCGCCTTTTTCAAAAGAAAAAAAAGCTGTTGACTTTGCTGTTGCCGTCTGAAAACTTTAACAATGCAGGTCATAATTTTTTTTATTTTTCAATGTATTGCCTTCATATTTTGACACAATAACGTTTTGGACGTCTTTGCTGTGAAATTTAATAGAATGAAAAGCAATGTCCAATACATGACCCCTATTGATTATAGGGTCATAAGATCAAAGGTCAGGGTCACAATGACCTTAATACATAAAATTGTGCTTTCTGGAGCATAACACAAGTTCCATTTAAAATTTTGGTTTACAGTGTTCAAACTGCATAGGATGATTGCCTATATTCAACATATGAGCCAAGTTTCATCAGTATTGAAGCATTTTTCATAGTTTTATAGAAGTTGGAACTTGTAACAGGAGGCTTTTCAATGAAAACGGCCATTTTTCACAATATGCTCATGGGGTAAAAGGTTAACTATCCAGCACTGAGAAAAATGGAGAGTGCTATTAGAAAGCTAAACACATCAATGATTAGGGGGCAGGGGACATATTCGTATGATGGCCTCGGTCAAATTTTTTAATAACTCAGACATGGTGTTTTGAAGGTACTGATAACTTCTGATATTTCTCTGTCATTGTAATTCTTTCTTGTTTGTGTGTAGGAAATGAGATATATTTTTGGGTTTTTACCCGAAACTAAGCATTTTGGTAGCTTTGTATGTATTTCTGACTCTCCGAAAGGAGGTGAAAAAGTTAAAAATCAAGCTTTGACAGTTGGCGCCAAACAAGTAAGAAATTTCAGATAAATTTTGTGAAAAATCTAAACGTTTGACAGAAACTTTATTTGTCATTTCTGAAAATGCTATAGCTTGCACTGCGTGTTACTGATATTTTTAAAGGAATCGGGCGGATTCTGGAGTATGCTGCACCTTCATGAAGATTGCCCATATTGGTATATTTTAGGCGTGATTTTGGCTGGGTGGGGGTAAATATAAATTGCTGTCAGTCATTTTTTGAAATAGCAATGCATGCAAACTATTATTTTCTTCAATGTATGTCATATATCATTGAATAATGCTGTGCAACTGGTTATCTGCCTGTGAAACAGATTTTGAAATATTTGGAATTGTGTTTCTGGTCACACTGAAATACAAAATTTTTCATTTTTAGGTCCCCTGCCCCCTTATGTATAATTTCTGGTAAACATATCAAGGAAGTTTTAAAGTAGCTCTTTGAGGTTTTGATCAAAATCTTTTGTAAATTCTTATTGGTAGATTTCTATAATTTCCTTCCTTTTTAAATCAGGTTAATCAGTGTTTCACTGTAATTAAAACTAACTTAAATGTCAATGATCTAATATTAATAACCGACATTGTATATACATTGAAAAAAAATGAACAATGCTGTATACAATATTCATATGTTATCTGTAACTTAAGATATATATTTTCATTTCCGTTTTCAGGTAAGTTCATCTTTGTAATGCATAATGATACACATAGTTTGACCTCATATTCTTGTCAGGTTTTGTTTTATTTAATCCCAAAATAAAATATTGTGAGCAGATCTTTCATAACCACAATATGCAATGAAATTAGTGTTTTGGGTTTAAAATCCTCCGAAATATTAAAATGATCAATGAATCACCATGAGTCATAACTTGAATAAAACTTAGCCTACTTTAAGTCTACTTCATTTTATATATGTCTACATTACCTATTTTACAGGTCAATCAGTTCAATTATAAATTTCACCATATCTGTTCAATGTTTTCAAAAATGTTGTAGTAAGATACTAATTTAGAATTTTTGCTTTAATTATTTAAAATTTTATCTTTAAACATGAAACAGAAAGTTGAATGTCTTTAATGAACTGCTTAAAAAAGGTTTAAAACAGAAAGTGCGAACCACTGCATAGAAATGGTTGCTGTTGTATTGATGTTTACACTGAATTGTTTACATTCTACTATATAGTCATGTATTATAATAAAATCTGCCGAACAAATAAAGTATTGTTATAATCATTGAATGACTGATATGGCATTAACATTTAAATAACCTTTCTTTGGAAAACCACAAGGTCGTTGACAGTGAACTAATAAAAATAGCACAAAGTTGGAAAATCTAAAAATAGAACAGACAGCTGATTAAGTGTTTATAAGTTAAGCAGATATGTTAGCGAATTAAAGCAAAAAAGGTGTTTTGATATTTTGAAAGCTGTTACATAAAGATGACACTTCAAAGTAAGTAAATTAGTAATACCTTGGTTTTGTATAAGTTAAAGCATTTTATTCTACTATGGTCACAAAATGGTGTATTATTGTATTTAAAGCTGACTGTTTATATATATGTTCCATCTTGATGAAAAAAATAGATATAGCATATTGGCTTTGTTTTAACTGCATCAAATCCATCCTGTCATTAATTGTGTGACAAAAATGTTTATCATCATGAGAGCAAGACCTTGGTCAGTAGTTCAAAGGTCAAGGACACACAAAGAGGTCAACATTGGAGAATGTGGAGTTTACTGTGTCTGGTCTTTTACTGTTATTTTTTTTAAGGATTTAGATATAACTAAAAGCATAAATATGTAAGATCAGCATGACATATACTAAGGTTTCCAGGAAAAGACCTAAACCTACTCTGTGTATGAAATGCTTGACCTGAAAGTGTTTCTTGTATGTTTACTAGATAGTGGCATACCGGTAGTCTATAACTCAGAGAAAATTCCATATTTATTTATGTGGTGACTATATTTTAGAACAAAAATAATAGGGGTTTAACATTAACTTTGTTTATTTTTTTGTCATTTCAGTTAATATAGAGACAAGTGAACATGTGTCGGTGAAGGATTTTGAATTGTTGAAAGTTCTTGGTACTGGAGGTATGTACATGTATTTATCTACAATAGGGCACATAAATTGTACTGTATCACTGTGTTAACAGATTTTATTTCCATGAAATCCTTGTGCTGACATTAAGTTCTTTTTCTTGTTATTTTATGATTAACAGCCATTTTTAAACCAACCAGTTAGCTCAGTAGGTAAGAGTGATGGACTGTGAATTGGCCGACCAGGGTTTGATTTCCAGATGGCTTTGGTCTTTTTTGTTGTGATTGATCATGAAATCTTTTCTATGGTCATTTGCACTGTACCTTTTACTCCGGCATTAACTAAAGAGACTGCAGCAAATAGGTTTCATAGCATTGCTAGACCTGTCACACAAAGTTAAAATAAAAGCGACATAGTTATTGAAGTCAGAACTACTCTGGCATGTACAGAAGTTATTAGTTCCTTGCGGAAGTGAAAGCATCTAGTACTGGTAAACTGCTTGTTAGCCTGCCCAGGATGTGGTGGCTTGGATTAACTACCAACACTAGCACCAAAGCCATTTTCAAGATTTTAATTATACTGGTTGGAGAGATAACTCCGACGCATAGATAACCCCGACACTTGGTTTAATTTTTTTATTTAACATTTTTTGTCAACAAACAAGCACGTAGTCACCTAGTAATAAAGGAGAAGGACAGACTGTGATGAGATTTTTAAATTTGGTAAACTTTAAAATGTGTTTATGTTGACCACAATTTTTTGTTACAATAACGACCACAAAACGTTCTTTTTACTTAACTTCCAGACGGTAATTAGAATTGTCTTGAACACAGGCTACTGACTTGGGAACATTTCTTTAAAAAATTAGGCATTTAAATTATCAATTAGGCATTTAAATTATCAATTAGGCATAGATAAAGTATATAAAATGTAAAAATAAATGATTGATTCAGATTCTAATTTTCAAGCTAGTTTTTACTTTAAAATTAAAGTGTCTACTTTATCTACTGTCCAGGGTTAAAAAGGCCATGTTTTGGATACCTCATTAAGGAGGTACCGGTTTCCATTTCAATAAAGGAAATTTACATATGATTATAAATGTTTGAACCAAACTTTATTTAGGTGGGTAAAAAATTAAAATATACAAAAAAATAAAAACGTCAACCAGTATTGAAATTGTTTAAATTCTTATACTACATAAGTGTTACATTATTTGTTTTCTCTTTAGCCCATATGAGCATATAGTGCTCAAGTATTACATATTGGATATTTTGGTTGTTTATCATTTATTTCTCTCTAAGGGTTTGTGGACTATCAAAAAGGCCATATTTTGACTGGACGTATGTGAAACTTTGTCTAAATGTTTGTTTCAATGATTAAGCAAGGATAATCTGGGATCATAACCTAGGTCACAAGACTTAATTACAGCAACCCTCTACAGGTCACAGTTTTAAATGATTCTTCATCAAACTTTGTCGAAACTTTTCTTTCAATGTTTCCTTGGACAATAATTAACATAGATAATTTGGGATAAAAAATCTAGGACACAAGGTCAAAACTAAGTAAATGTCCACATTTATTAGGTTTATAATCACACTCATTTATACGTGGTATACAGGGTAGTTAATAACAGAACATAGAAAGTCTATTGTTCACACAGCAATAATAATGATTGGGTAATATTTATTTTTAACTTTTCTGAAAATGTTTTGTTATGAATTCTGTTTAAATGTGATATGTAGATTATCTATCAATATTTGAACAGTGATATGAATCTTATTTGTTCATAATTTGATATTGTTATGTTAGTTAAGGTCAGACAGTTTTGTTTACAATGAGACAAAGGGAAGTTGTTTGAATATTTAGCTAAATGTCAGTTATAGGAACTCCACTGATGTCCAAAAACCTTTAAATGTAAAATTGAAAATACTTAGATATTTCAATAAAAATTATGCAAAATATACTGAAAATGAAATTAAAAGTCAATTTTGTGTGATTCTGAACTCATTTGGTCAATTTGCACCTCAATTCTAGACAAAAGAAGTGAGCTTATGATCTAAAATCAACTCTACATCAAATGAAGAAACAGTCATGTTAAAAACCCTCGGAAGGTCCCTTTAAATATCCCACAGTACAATAAGAAAATCAAGATGTGTTTTCAGTCATCTTGTTTTGAGAAACTTTCAGATTGCTTGGTTTATTTTTTGAAAGCCCCTATCAATGTCAATGACTGAAATAGAAAACTTAGATTTTATACAATTGACTTTATTTGTTGTTACAGCCTACGGTAAAGTTTTCCTTGTACGTAAGCTGCATGGCTCGGACGAGAACAAACTATATGCTATGAAAGTGTTGAAGAAAGCTTCAATAGTACAGAAGACAAAGACGACAGAGCACACTAAGACAGAGAGACAAGTGTTAGAGGCAATCAGAGATTCTCCCTTCCTAGTTACTTTACACTATGCATTTCAGACGGATGCCAAGTTACACCTAATACTAGGTAAGGTTATAGAAATGCTGTCTCTTGCTAACATTTGAACAGTTGTATACAAACAGAATTTTTATACCCTGTCAACAATATTCTGCTCTTCTTTATCTGGGCTAGAACATTTCTTGGACACAAAATAACCCTATTCATCCAAACAGCTGTCATCGATAGAAACAATATCAATGTATCATCAATTTTAACAAAATTTGAAAAAAATCTATAGTTTTGACTAATAAAGTAATATCAAGAAATTATGAAAACTCAGCTCAACATAGCAGGTGTCCATGTCTTAACCCATTACTTCATATACACGCCTTTGAACGCCTTTTTCACCCCCCCCCCCTTTTTGTTGTCTCAAATGGTGAAAAAATGCATTATTTTGGCCCTTAACACTTGTTTTTGTTTGAGAAATGTTGTTAAAAAAAGTGACCACTTTTTCGGCGCGGCCCCCCAACCAAAAGATACATCAGGGGGTTGCCAGAAGGGGGATGTGCCCCCTTCTGTTTGGGGGGTTTGAAGGGGGGCGGAGTCCCCTTCATCGCCAAGAAAATTTTGGACTTGTGAGAGGCTATAAATGACCCCAGATTGATCATAAGGTAACATCTAACCAACGCTGAAATGCATTTGACTCTATCTCAATCCATTGAGAAGTTGCAGCACTTTGAAATCAATTATGATGGAAAAAATCAACGCAAAATAGTGATTTTTGGCAATTTTGAGATGTCCCCTCGTTGCCATGGTAACAGGAAATTTAAGCCTGAGCATGTTGTTGCAAGGGCAATGGTCCAGTCAACATTTGTGCCAAGTTTGATAAGTGTTGAAGCAGTTTTTATAGTATTATAGCAATTTGAACTTGTAACGGGAGACTTTTCAATGAAAACAGCCATTTTTCACAAAATGCTCATGAAGTAATGGGTTAAACTGTGTTATCTTTACATGATGAACATATTTCAAAGCAGTGATGACAAAAATTAGTCCAAAAAATCTTGCAATGGGCATTTTGAAATAAGACACATTATAATTGTATGAATTGATCATGTATTTTGTTAAAAAAAATTTTAAACAGGTATTAATTAAAGTGAATTGTTGACAAGTTATTTTATTAATAAGTAATTTTGAATATATTGGTGTACATTTGTGATCCCACTTATAACTTATTATAGCTCTGATATTTTCCCACAGATTTTAAATCTTTATAGGGTATTGAGCTAGATCTATATCTAATGATTATTTTTTGAAAATGTAAAAAATATTAGAATTATGTTCTGTCTGTAATATAATGGTTGATTATTGAAGGAGTTGTAACTATTAACATAAATTAATGCTGCACTTTAACAGAATATTCTGTTCAAGAACAAAATATCAAATATTTTGATATCAAATATCATAATATCAAATATCAAAAAGTACAAGATTTGACTGTTTAGCAATGATTTTGTGCATGTGCAAGGAAATACATCAACATATTTCTTTTATATATGTATTTTGGATCATAATCCTTATACAATATTTAAACAAAACATTTCTTAAAGTGCATGCAGCAAAGATGTAGCTTTATACACTTAAAACATGGAAGAAAACTGACAGTAATTATTTTATGAGAGTACACAGATGTATAAAATATTGCAGTTGATTGAAGCAGTCTATCAGTAAGATTCAGACAATGTTAGTTCTTTTAGCATGAACAAACAGCTTATAACTATGTCATTAATAGAAACATTTCTCCATGAGTCTTTTAGCCATACTTGTATCACTGAGAACATTATGATGTTTTTCACCAATATTAGGTATAAAACATGTTTGTATCCAGTTCCTAGTTTAAAGGGACTCCACTGAGGTTTTTTGACATGACGGGACTGAAAATAATTTTTTCAGATTATTACTCCATTTGATGTAGATCTATACTAATAACTTATGTGCCAAATTTCAGATCATTAGCTCGCTCCGTTTTTCCAGAATAATTATTATAATAGTGTAAAATGACCCAAATCGGACTGGGAATAGCACAAACATATGATTTTCAATGTATTTCTTGTATATTTCTTAGTTATATTTTTATTATATTTCTGTTTAAAGTGCTCATGTTTATCTGTGTGAAAAATTAAAATGTTATGTTTTAGGCTTATAAACCCCAGTGGAGTTCCTTTAATTCATAATTTTAGTGATATCTTGAGTTAGACTGTTAGATCTGTTTTCATTTATATACGTTTGAGTTATTATGTAATAATGTTTTTCATGCTATATAAATTCTTTTTAGCTCGACTATTCGAAGAATATGAGAGCTATTGTAGTCGCCCCGGCGTCGGCGTCAGCGTCCGCGTCGGCGTCTGCGTTGGTTAAAGTTTTTTGTAAAGTCAAATATCTCAATTATAGCTTGAGATATTCAATTGAAACTTACAATACTTATTTATAGTAACAAGGTACATCAGATTGACAAGTTGGATAACTCTGCCTACAATATTGACAGAATTATGCCCCTTTTTAACTTAGAAATTTTGGTTAAAGTTTTTTGTAAAGTCAAATATCTCAATTATTTCTTGAGATATTCAATTGAAACTTACAATACTTATTTATAGTAACAAGTAACATCAGATTGACAAGTTGGATAACTCTGCCTACAATATTGACAGAATTATGCCCCTTTTTAACTTAGAAATTTTGGTTAAAGTTTTTTGTAAAGTCAAATATCTCAATTATTTCTTGAGATATTCAATTGAAACTTACAATACTTATTTATAGTAACAATGTACATCAGATTGACAAGTTGGATAACTCTGCCTACAATATTGACAGAATTATGCCCCTTTTTAACTTAGAAATTTTGGTTAAAGTTTTTTTGTAAAGTCAAATATCTCAATTATTGCTTGAGATATTCAATTGAAATTTAAAATACTTTTTTATAGTAACAATGTACATCAGTTTGCAAAATTGCATAACTCTGCCTGTAATATTTGCAGAACTATTTGCCCCTTAAATTTGAAACTTAGAAAATTTTGGTTAAAGGTTAAAGGTCTTCAAAGATATTTACTTGAAACTTTACACATGTACTTAGGGTCATAATTTGAGGGTCATATTTGTATGTCACTGACCAAGTTCCATAACTCTATCCTGCATTATGGCTGATTCATATCCCCTTTTCTACTTAGTCTCTTGGTTAATGTTTACATGCAAGTTTTACATATCTCAATAACTATTAAAGATATTTATTTAAAACTTCACATATGCATTTAGGGTCATAATTGTAGGTCACTGACAAAGATCCATAATTCTATCTTGCATTTAGGCTGATTTTTCTCCCCTTTTTCAACTTAGAAATTCATGGTAAAGTTTTGCTTGTAAGCTGTTATCTCTATAATTACTGAAGGGTTTGTGCCTTTTTTGGGACAATTATTTGCATTCATAATAATAAAGCAGTGATTTACTTGATAAAACATCTTAATAACAAGCCTTTGTACCTTTTCTGTCAATTTTATGTATTCATAGGTAATTAGTATTATTATACTCAATAAAACACCCTTGTGACATTACCTTCCGAATAGTCAAGCCAATACTGTATAATTAGACTGTCTCTAAGGCCTATAACATGAATTTATAAAAAAAAATTAGCCCTTTTGTGAACTTAGAAAATTTAACATTATCAAAGCTCTAAATTTTACGTTATCAAGGCTCTTTTACTAACAAGCACTTAGAATAGTCGAGCGTGCTGTCCTACCGACAGCTCTTGTTTTATCTGGTGACATGTTTTTCTGAGGCTTAATATGCCTTTAACTGCATAGACAGGTATTCATTTAAAATATATCTCACTTTAACATCTGTCTTCTCCCTTATTAAGGGGCACTAGAGCTAAAATAACTTAAAAATATAATTTTCAGTTTCAATAGAACTTCTCCAAACTTTTGAAAATTTGTCTATATATTATGATGTTCAGGGGTTATGCATCTATTTACTGTACACCACAAATTTTGCTGACATTAGCATTTTATACAAATACAGTACACACCGTGAATGGAGAAGACTTGTTTAGAATGCAATACACATTGTTTTCATATAAATTAGACAAGCTGTAGAGATTGTTGTACATGTGTGTTATAGTGTGTGTTGTAAAGTAGAAGGTTCTTGAGAAACACCCAATATATTTAATGATATTAAAGTCATATTTAAGAAGCTTAGTAATGAACAGATTCATGTGTGTGCAAAATTATTTATAGGTTTTAAACATAATAGTAAGTCTGCTAGAACAAAATAAAAATGTGCTAGTATTTTTACACTCTTACTTATACATAATGTGTTAACGACTTCTTCCTTTCTTAATTAAGAGAATAGGTTATCTTTTTATACAAGTTGAATAATTTTCACCTTCTACAAAAAGCAATGAAACTTAATGAATGTACATTTATAATTGAGGAAAACTCCTATCTTTAAGGGATTTTAATCTTTCACAGAACTATCTTCATTAAGTACCGGCAGCATATTGTCAGGAAATTTGTGATCAATTAAGCAGTGGAAGAAAGTCTGATTTTATGACAGTTTCTCCTCTCTTGTTGGACATTAGGTTCAGTTCTGCTATTTTAATAGTGTGAAGGGCTTTTTATTGGTAGATCTTATTTTGTAAAAGTTTCAACACATTATTTTCAGTCATATAATATTGTTGAACATTAGTTCCCCAATGGTATATACTTGTGACTTAAAACTTGTTTAATTGTCCCCTGCCTTTTCGAAGAAAAAATTGGGATATAGAAATAGGCTCCGTCTGTCTGTCTATCTGTACGGGCGAACGAGAGGACACTTGTTGGGTACCTCCGACGCACAAGAGGACACTTGTTGGGTAATTCTATTCATTCCGTCAGTATTGTTGGGTACTTTTGTTCTCTTATTGGATACTTTTTAACAAAAAAAGTACCCAATAAATGACCATTAGTAGGAACGTCCGTCTGTCACATTTTCGTGTCTGGTCCATAACTTTGTCATTTAACAAAGGAATTTGAAACAACTTGGCACAAATGTTTGTTATAATAAGACATGGGCAACAACCAGAACCCTACCTCCAGGGTCAAGGTCGCACTTTCTCATTCAAGGTCAACATTGTCTATTTTAGGGTAGATGTCGTGTCCGGTCCATAACTTTCTTATCTGTAAAGGGATTTTGTAAATACTTGCCACAATTGTTCACAATAATGAGATGATGTGTCATGCTTAACACCGGTCACCTACTTCCAAGGTCAAGGTCACACTTGAAGGTCAAAGATAAACATATAGTCTGTTATGGGGTATATTCTGTGTCCGGTCAATAACTTTTTCATAGATCAAAGGATTTTGAAAAAACTTGGCATAAATAGTCACTATAATGAGACAATGTGTCATGCGAAACACCTGCCTCCCTACCTCCAAGGTCAAGGTCACACTTAGAGTTCAAAAATAAACATAGTCTGTTAAAGGGTATGTTTTGTGTCCGATCTTCATAGTTCAAGGGATTTTGAAATAACTTGGCACAAGTAGTTAAAATAATAAGACAATATGTCATGCACAACACCTGCACCCCTACCTCCAAGGTCACACTTAGAGGTCAAAGGTTAACAGAATCTGTGATATAGTATATTTTGTGTCTCATCCATAACTTCTTCATAGATCAAGGGATTTTGAAAATACTTGGCACAAATAGTCACAATGATAAGATGATATGTCATGCCCAACACCTGTGTCCCTACCTCCAAGGTCAAGGTCACACTTAGAGGTCAAAGATTTTCATAGTCTGTTATAGGGTTTATTTTGTGTCCAGTCCATAACTTTTTCATACATCAAGGGATTTTCAAATACTTTACTATACTAATATATCTTAAACTACTTTCATACAATTATTTTATATAATTTTGACAGATTATGTGAATGGAGGGGAATTATTTACACATCTTAACCAAAGAGAACATTTTACAGAAGCAGAAGTAAAAATATACATCGGAGAGATTGTTCTAGCTTTGGAAACTTTACACAAGGTAAAATATAAGTGAATATTAAAAATTTAGTTATTAGGTCATACTGAAATAACTATGGACACTATGAAATTCTCTTTTCTCACTAACAATTTACATGTAGTTTAGACCATAATTTGATTTGATATACATGTAGACTTACCACAAACATTTTCTTCTATCTATAATATTTTTTACCATTATGTTTTCTCCTCTTAAAAACTACATACATATGTCCACAATATATTTTATGCAAATAAGGATTCTGAAGTTTGCAAACATTCCCACATGCCAAATTTTTTAAAACTTATAAACTTGAAAATATTATATTGCAAACTCTGCAGATGTTGTGTTTTTTAAACTAATCCCCCTGTACAAACAAACTGTTACTGTTTTTGCTTCATAGTGCATTGCTGTTCAATAGATAAGACAACCTGTTGCTCTTATTATGCTCCCCGAAAAATTTCGGGAGAGCATATAGTCGCCGGGTTGTCCGTCAGTCTGTCCGTCCTTACGTACGTCCCGAATTCGTGTCCGGCCAATAACTTGGTCGCTACCTTGAAGGTCAAGGTCACAGTATGACCTTGAAACAAAATCGTGTCAGGCCCATAACTTCGTTATTTAAAGTCGGATTTTACAACTATTTCACAGATATGATCACCATATTGAGACGACATGTCGCGTGCAACATTTGGGTCGCTACCTTGAAGGTCAAGGTCACAGCATGACCTTGCAGCAAAATCATGTCCGGCCCATAACTTTGTTATTTGAAGTCTGATTTAACAACTATTTCACAGAAACGATCACCATATTGAGACGACGTGTCGGGCGCTACATTTGGGTCACTACCTTGAATGTCACAGTATGACCTTGCAGCAAAATCGTGTCCGGCCCATAACTTCGTTATTTGAAGTCGTTTTTTACAACTATTTCACAGAAATGATCATTATATTGAGACGGGTAGTTAGATCTCATTGAGTAGAAGTGCATTGCAAAGAACAGTAACTCTGCCTTGCCTAAGTTTGGAATTATCACATTTTGAACTTTGTCTGGGACATAACTCTCAAAACTACAAAATATATACTTTTCTGTGTCTAAAACCTAGTCGGGGAGCATTTCCCGGTTCAACCGGCTCTTGTTTAAGATGTTGTTTGTACCCAGGAATAAGCTGGGTAACTGAAAATATTCGTAATTCTGGAGTTAATTTATTTAGGAAATAGATATCAATTTTGAGTGCATTGTTGTAGAATAATGCACGGTTTGAGTTCAAATGCGTAGTAATGTAATCACGAAGGCCGATAGGCCTGAGTGATTAATTACAAAGCATTTGAACGAAAACCGTGCATTATTATACAATAATGCACGAAGAATTAATATCTATTTCCATTCTAACACGTCAAGAAAAATATAATTATTATTATAAAAGTGGACTTTATGTTTGGTGGTTAAATTTGTTTTCGCCACAGAGTTTCCAATAGAAACGTTCTTTAAAGGCTGTTCCAGTGGGTTGAAAAAAAAAACTGTCGTTAAATCTACAGTGTGTAGAAACATTTTGAGAATAACGAATTTTGAAAACGTTGATAAAACTTTGTTCGTTTATTTTATTTCACTTTATAATCTTTAAAGCGGAAAACAAATTATTAAAAGCGAAATAAATGTAAAACTTAACTCGTTTGCGACATTAAAATACCGTACTTGATTTGATTGTTTGGCACGTGCTGTTTGGCACTACATTGTGACGTCATGTAAACAACACTTTAAACGTTTGTACAGCGTTAACGACTGAATTAAAGATATTGGTGTTCGAATTAATTTTCTTAGTTAGACCATTTTCTTTCATTCTAGATAGTTTTCACAACAAAATTCGACAAAAAAATGTTTTTATTTATCTGATTTTTCAAGCAAAATGGCGCCCACAATGTGAAAATACACAGGGAGATAATAAGAACGGCGAGTGCATTGTTGTAGAATAATGCACTTTTCGGGCCTTCTTTGTTTATATAGAAAAAATTCCGATAGTGTTAGAATGTAATTTTAAGGACTGTTGACATATGAAAATAACACATATACAATATAAGGTACACTGTATTAACAGAATAGACTGACTCCGGAATGAAGAATATTTTTTCTTAGCTTAATCTGGGGTTACAAATAAATCTACAGTTACAACTTCGAAAATTAGAACAACAGAATGACTAATCTATTGTAAACAGCAGTGTATTGTAATAAAGATATAACAGTAAAAGTTTGTGTTTACCCGGGGATTAGCTTTAGAAAACCAACATTTAATGAGTTCTCAATAACAACTAAGGAAGTCAATGATTTTTGCTAATTTATTGTGTTCTTATATATGTGTTTTGCAAGGTTCAACTTTAAAGTTACCGTAAAAAAAATCCATATTGACGAAAAATCAACACAACATTATTATCATTCTAATCTTACACCTTTCTACTATGATAAAATAACAACACCATCACATGCATGATTTAAAATCTTGAATCATTTATAAAATAAATCATTTATTGATTCTAAAAAAAAATATGGCTATGAAACATATTTATAACTGTTTTGTTTTTTTAATAATTGAAAATAGTGCAGATTTGTTATAGTCTGCCAGGGCTGGAACATCTGGTGTCATTTTTGGCTAAAATAACTTGAAATCAAATAAATATAACTGATTCAACACAGTATTTCTTTGATTATCAATTCTTGTGTCTCCTTGTACTTTTCAGCTTGGCATAATTTACCGTGACATAAAGTTAGAGAATATATTGTTGGACAGTAGTGGTCATATTGTACTAACAGACTTTGGTCTCAGTAAAGAATTCCTACCATCAGATGAGCTACACAGGGCTTACTCATTCTGTGGGACAATAGAATATATGGCCCCAGAAGTTGTTGAAGGAGGACATACTGGACATGATTTTGTAAGTATAACTGAGGTGACATTTTTCCATGACATTTGAGCTAGGATACAGAGTTAAATGGTCATTTGTCACTCACTGCTGTTTAAAATATCACTGTCTAGTTGGTGATTTTGATAGAAATTGGTAATTACTAGTTAGTTATACAGGAAAGATGTTTGTATGTTTGTATGGACTGACTGCAGAGATTTGACCACAAAAGTGTAAGTACCAGATAACCAACTAAATAAAATACTTTATAGTTTGTATCAAATCATATGTGAAATGTTTTAATACTAATATTAGTAATTCTAAGTGCACCTTGAATGTTTGAATACTGTTGAGGTACATTTGAATGAAACAAGAAACTACTGTACTGATTATATAAAATGTTAATGTCTCTGTGTATGATCATGCTTGCTTTGTTTAATCAAGGAACACTAAATGTCTGCCCACAATTATAGATGGAGAATTGCTATAATTATAAATCTAATAGTATGTGTGTGACTTAAATCCACCTGAATAAAAATACAGTATATTTAAAATTGATTTATTTAAATGCTGTATAGTTGCAGTATCTTTAACAGTTATGTGTAAGATATTTAACAAAAGCTGAGTAACTGACCTTATCAAATCCAAAAAATACAATGATTATGAAAACAAAATTATCTTGTTTCATGGAGTTTTGATCTTTTATTACAGGCTGTGGATTGGTGGTCACTAGGTGTGTTGACATATGAACTGTTGACCGGTGCCTCACCTTTCACAGTTGATGGGGAAAGTAATTCTCAGTCTGAAATCTCAAGGTAAATTGTAGAGTAAAGTTTTCAAGGAATAAGATATGTTTGACTATGTTGTATCTTGGCAGAACTGATAGTTGTAGTAAAATTACATAGATACAAGGGTTGTTCAAAAAGAAATAGGATTTAAAACATATGTACTATATGAAAATATTTTTAATTTAATGGAACATGAAGATACAAGATACCGCTGGAGCATATGTTTATTAAATTTTTGTACTAAACACATTTTCCCTGTGATTTTGAATAATAATTTTAACAGCATTGGATTTTGACAAGTATAGATTATTTTTTACAGGAGGGTTACTAAAGCTAAACCACCAATACCGAAATCATTCTCACCAGTTGTAAGAGAGTTTATTCTGGCACTGCTCACTAAAGATCCAAGAAGAAGATTAGGGGCAAATGGGGCAGATGAAGTCAAATTCCACAGATTCTTCAAGGTTTCTTTTATATTTTGGCTAAATGGTTACAGCTTTGCTTATCAAAACTTATGAGCTCCTCATTGCAATATAAGTGATAACCAGAAAAAGTTTTGTTTCATGTGAGGTCACTGTCAGTCTTAACTGTCTGTCTGAATGACTGTCGTACCTGGAAAACTAAATTATGAATGTGCTCCAAGATACAACTTCATCTATCAGTTCATGAGGAATGTTCCTCTATCAACTTTACAATGTACTAATTATAGCCCTGGGGTCAAAATTGACTCTGCCTAAGGAGTCATCATTTTTCCTTTTATAGAAAATACTTCAAAAAAAATTTTTCTTGAAAACTGCACAAACAAGATCTTAGTTATTTAGCATGAAACATTGTCTAGTGGTCATAGATTTTCCTTATATGTTTCCATAGCAACCAGTAACTTTCTATTGCAAGAGTTGACTTTACATAGCAACAGGTAACTTTTGTAGCAAACATTGACTTTCCATAGCAACAATTGAAATCTACCAGTGACTTAAATAGCAACAGAAACCATTAATTATGTATGGCAACCAGTGACTATAGTAACTTATGATTTCCCTCAACAATAGCAACCAGTAAAGTTTTTACATATGCACCATTTTAGATGCAAATATGAACTTTGTGATATCAGTTTAAGATTTGGATTTTGTATTTGCTTTTCATTTATAGCTTACAACATTACTTTCTTCTTGTCATTTAGAGCATTTATAAATCAGGTGAGCGATATTAGGGCTGTGATGACCCTCTTGTGTATGAGAAATTTTGAAATGATCCAGTCGTAAGTTTAAACACGGAGAAAATTTTGATTTTTCTCTACATTTCGAGGAGAATGTCTGGAATTTCTAGTACATTTATGATGCATTGATAAAAGGTTAAGTGTCATAATTTATGAAATATGGTTACACAATGAAGCTGGCAAGAAGGTTTTATAGAAAAAAAAAAAACATATTTTGAAACATGTCTAATAAAGATAACTTGTAAATTGTAGGGTATAAATTGGGATGATCTAGCCGCTAAAAGAATACCAGCACCATTTGTGCCAAAGATCCGCCATGAGTTGGATGTCAGCAATTTTGCGGAGGAATTTACTAGAATGCTTGCAGCAGACTCTCCAGCCATTATTCCTACAACGGGAGACAAGCTTTTCAAGGTAACTCAGATCACTATGTAGGCCTGCCAAAAATTAAATTCTTGTTCTTTGAAATTTGATAGTGCAAGAAAGTTTATAAAAGAATTTATTCCCATTTAAAATGTAAGAAGGGAAAATAAAATGTTGAAAAATCTACATTGTGTTGATAAAATATGTGTAAGCATGTCAAAGCTTAGTAAATTTCATATGTTTTATACACTTGAAGAGTCTTCTAGAGGTATTATAGTATGTCTATCTGTCTGTATGCAATTGGTTTCCGCAGGATATCAATGATTGATTTTATATTTGGCAGGATAGTATGTTATATCAAAACACATGTTAAGTTAAATTTTAGCATGCCCTGTGCAAATTTTTTTTGTGTGACATTATTGGTTTCCAAAGGATAACTTTTGAAGGATTTCAATGATTGTTTTTATTTTGATATGTAAGAGTGCTGTTTAAAAATACAGGTTAAGTAAGATTTAAGCTGCAATCAACTGATTACCGGCAGAGTTATGCCCCTTTGGCAACTTTATTTTTTGCACTGCTTAAACTTAACATCTGTTTTCTCAGAAAGTTATTAACTTCAAACTTGATATACATGTTCACAATTGAAATATGTCACCATTTCAAAACGGCAGATAATCCTAAAATTCATTATTGCAAAGTTAAGCCCTCTAATTTACTTAAATATTTGTTTTAAGGTGTATTTCTCAAAAAAAATCACTTCAAACTTTGGAGACTAGTTCAGTTTTTTAGCTCACCTGTCCGTCGTCCGTCTGTCCGTAAACTTTTACTTTAAATGACATCTCCTCATAAAGCACTAAGCCAATTTCATCCAAACTTCACAGGAATGTTCCTTTGGTGGTCACCTTTAAAAATTGTTCAAAGAATTTAATTCCATGCAGAACTCTGGTTGCCATGGCAACCGAAAGAAAAAACTTTAAATATCTTCTTTTAAAAAAACATAAGAGCTAGAGCTTAGATATTTGGCATGAAACATCTTCTAGTGAGTGTCTACCAAGTTTCTTCAAATAAAAGCCCTGGGGTCAAAATTGGCCCCGCCCCAGGGGGTCATTGATTTTCCCTATATGCATATAGTAAAAACTTAAAAAATCTTCTTTTAAAGAACCAAAAGAGTTAGAGCTAAGATATTTAGCATGAAACATGTTCTAATAAGTGTCTACCAAGTTTGTTCAAATAAAAGTCCTGGGGTCAAAATTGGCCCGGCCCGGGGGGGGGGGTCATTGATTTTACCTATATGCATATAGTAAAAAACTTTAAAAATCTTCTTTTAAAGAACCCAAAGAGCTAGAGCTAAGATGTTTAGAATGAAATATGTTCTAATGGGTGTCTACCAAGTTTGTTCAAATAAAAGCCCTTGGGGTCAAAATTGGCCCCGCCCCAGGGGGTCATTGATTTTCCCTATATGCATATAGTAAAAAACTTTAAAAATCTTCTTTTAAAGAACTCAAAGAGCTATGGCTAAGATATTTAGCATCAAACATGTTCTAATAGTTGTCTACCAAGTTTGTTCAAATAAAAGCCCTGGGGTCAAAATTGGCCCCGCCCCAGGGGGTCATTGATTTTCCCTATATGCATATAGTAAAAACTTAAAAAAATCTTCTTTTAAAGAACCAAAAGAGTTAGAGCTAAGATATTTAGCATGAAATATGTTCTAATAAGTGTCTACCAAGTTTGTTCAAATAAAAGCCCTGGGGTCAAAATTGGCCCCGCCCCAGGTGGTCATTGATTTTCCCTATATGCATATAGTAAAAACTTAAAAAAATCTTCTTTTAAAGAACTCAAAGAGCTATGGCTAAGATATTTAGCATCAAACATGTTCTAATAGGTGTCTACCAAGTTTGTTCAAATAAAGCCCTGGGGTCAAAATTGGCACCACCTCGGGGGTCATTGGTTTTCCTTATATGTGCATAGCAAAAACTTAAAAAATCTTCTTTGAAAAAACCCAAATAGCTAGAGTTAAGATATTAAGCATGAAACATCTTTTAGTGAGTGTCTACAAAGTTTGTTCAAATAAAAGACCTGGGGTCAAAATTGGCCCCGCCCCGGGGGTCATTGATTTTCTTTATATGTGTATATAGCAAAAGCTTAAAATCTTCTTTGAAAAAACCCAAATAGCTAAAATAAAATCTTCTTTGAAAAAACCCAAATAGCTAAAGTTTAGATATTAAGCATGAAACATCTTCTAGTAAGTGTCTACAAAGTTTGTTCAAATTAAAGCCCTGGCCTGGCCCCAGGGGTGTCATTGTTTTTAACTATATGTGTATAGTAAAAACTTTAAAAAAATCTTCTTTTAAAAAGCCCAATGAGCTAGAGCTTAGATGTTTAGCATGAAACATCTTCTTATTGGTGTCTACCAAGTTTGTACAAATAAAAGCCTTTCGGTTAAATTGGCCCTGCAACGTTGGGGGGTGGGGGTTGGGGGGCCTATATACAGGTGAGCGACCTCAGGGCCATCATGGCCCTCTTGTTTTATAATTTGAATGGATTTCTAATAAACAGATAACTTCATCAAAATATTTTATCAGTTTTTTTCAACTTTTTTTTTTTTTTAGCTCACCTGTCACAAAGTGACAGGGTGAGCTTTTATGATCGCTTTTCGTCCGGCGTCCGTCCGTCGTCCGTCCGTCGTCCGTCCTTAAATTTTTGCTTTAAATGACATCTCCTCATAAACCACTGAGCCAATTTCATCCAAACTTCACAGGAATGTTCCTTTGGTGGTCACCTTTAAAAATTGTTCAAAGAATTTAATTCCATGCAGAACTCTGGTTGCCATGGCAACCGAAAGAAAAATCTTTAAATATCTTCTTTTAAACAACCCCAAGAGCTAGAGCTTAGATATTTGGCATGAAACATCTTCTAGTGAGTGTCTACCAAGTTTGTTCAAATAAAAGCCCTGGGGTCAAAATTGGCCCCGCCCCAGGGGGTCATTGATTTTCCCTATATGCATATAGTAAAAACTTAAAAAATCTTCTTTTAAAGAACCCAAAGAGCTAGAGCTAAGATATTTGGCAATGAAAACATCTTCTAGTGAGTGTCTACCAAGTTTGTTCAAATAAAAGCCCTGGGGTCAAAATTGGCCCGGCCCGGGGGGTCATTGATTTTCCCTATATGCATATAGTAAAAACTTAAAAAATCTTCTTTTAAAGGACCGTAAGAGCTAGAGCTTAGATATTAAGCATGAAACATCTTCTAGTGAATGTCTACCAAGTTTGTTCAAATAAAAGCCCTGGGTCAAAATTGGCCCCGCCCAGGGGGTCATTGATTTTCCCTATATGCATATAGTAAAAACTTAAAAAATCTTCTTTTAAAGAACCCAAAGAGCTAGAGCTAAGATATTAAGCATGAAACATCTTCTAGTGAGTGTCTACCAAGTTTGTTCAAATTAAAGCCCTGTGGTCAAAATTGGTCCCACCCCGGGGGGTCATTGATTTTCCCTATATGCATATAGTAAAAACTTAAAAATCTTCTTTTAAAGAACCATAAGAGCTAGAGCTTAGATATTTGCATGAAACATCTTCTAGTGAATGTCTACCAAGTTTGTTCAAATAAAAGCCCTTGGGTCAAAATTGACCCCGCCCCAGGGGGTCATAGATTTTCCCTATATGCATATAGTAAAAACTTAAAAAATCTTCTTTTAAAGAACCCAAAGAGCTAGAGCTAAGATATTTAGCATGAAACATCTTCTAATAAGTGTCTACCAAGTTTGTTCAAATAAAAAGCCCTTGGGTCAAAATTGGCCCCGCCCAGGGGTCATTGATTTTCCCTATATGCATATAGTAAAAACTTAAAAAATCTTCTTTTAAAGAACTCAAAGAGCTAGAGCTAAGATATTTAGCATGAAACATGTTCTAATGGGTGTCTGCCAAGTATGTTCAAATAAAAGCCCTGGGGTCAAAACTGGCCCCGCCCGGGTGGGGGTCATTGATTTTCCTTATATGTGTATAGCAAAAACTTAAAAAATCTTCTTTGAAAAAACCCAAATAGCTAGAGTTTAGATATTGAGCATGAAACATCAAATAAAAGCCCGGGGGTCAAAACTGGCCCTGCCCCAGGGGTGTCATTGTTTTTAACTATATGTGTATAGTAAAAACTTTAAAAATCTTCTTTTAAAAAACCCAATGAGCTAGAAATTAGATGTTTAGCATGAAACATCTTCTTATGGGTGTCTACCAAGTCTGTTCAAATAAACAAATAAAAGCCCTTGGGTAAAAATTGGCCCGAGGGTGGGGGGGCCTATATACAGGTGAGCGACCTCAGGGCCATCATGGCCCTCTTGTTTTGGTTAACATTATTCGTTCTAGCAACTCTTGTAAAATATTTTTAAGGGACTGGTTTATTTCTTGTTTTGTAACAGATTTTCTTATAATTTAAGGGCTATTCTTATGTTGCACCATCAGTGATATTCAGTGACAACACAGTGAGTAATGATCTTCTAAAACAATCAACAGATCTACATCCTGATGTTAAACAACTACTATATGCTAGTCATTTTAAGGTAAGAAGCCCTTTACAACCAATTAATAGCTAGATCACCATGTACATGCTTGCAGCCTCACCAGGGTCTCAGGTGATAATGGAATATTCTCAGTTGAAACTCATATTTCAGGTATCTGATTGACCAGAAACTGATAGAGAATGTACACTGAATGATGAAAATCCTGAGGTTGTAAACAAAGCTTTAGAAAAACCTCATGGTCTGCAGGTTCTATATGGCTGGTGGAATAATGTTAACATTTTTCAAAATCTCCAGCTAACTGAATTTATTAGCTGTTTCTTGTTTTAAATTTAGGGTAAATCAAGAACATTTATGGAAATTGAACATGAAAAGTGTATTATTCTATGAACAAATCTATATCTGTCATTTTTGTGTTTTGTTTTTTCGGTTTCATCTCTAATTGTATGTAAGTAAGAGTTTTCAACAGTTATTAAATATTGTTTCCCGGTCAGCTGAATAGGGAGAGCATTAGATTAGTAGACAAATTTTTCCATGACAATTTATTGATGTCATTGAGTCTATTGGCCGTTTGTGTCTCACAGGTGATTCAGAAATCATGTGGGATTAGTTATTGATCACTTGCAAAGAAAGTGGTAATTTTTGGTTAGTAATCTAGAAAAGCAGGTCAGAGTGGCCAAATTATATGACCAAAAAGTGTCTTAAATTTGGTGTAAAAGCCAGGATCAAAAACCATAAAAAACGAATGGGAACATTATATATACATGTATATTTTTATTATGTAAGACTTATATTTATCTTTATGCACCAGATTTGGTATATTTATCAAACTAGAATGTCAATTTTGTGCATGTTTTCTCTTCAAAACAGTTGTTCTAAGGTGTTTGCTTGAAAACTGCACAAGAAGTAATCATGCCTCATCTCCCAGCAGTAACAAACATAGGAAATCTGTATAGTGAAGTTTATATAGAATATGTGACTTAAAATCTAGTGAAAAAATAAACCAGATATTGCACACATTCAAGCTCTAAGAATAGATTCTATAACTTAGAAATGTCAGTGTAAAAAATCTATGTAAAAATGTGATAAAGAGGAAACTGTTTACTAACTTAAATGTAAATGTTATTACATGTATTTTTTTACTTCAGAGCTCAGCCTTTTTTCAACAATATGAACTAGATTTTAAAACTCCACCACTAGGGGATGGCAGTTTCTCAATTTGCAGGTTTGTATTTTGTCCTTACATGTTTTAGCTTGTCTGGGCTAGGGAAAAGTCAAGCTATTATGACTGATAGATCCCTACTTTGACCTTTTATTTGAATAACAATAGATTTTCACCACAGACATTGACATGTGCGCTTTTGTTGACAAATAGGTTGTTGTGAAATTCATATTGTGTCCACTAATCATATAATTAGAATTAGACAGGTCAGGGATCTATGCATTGCTGCAGTGGCAGTGTCATCATTGACGTTATGCAATAACTTTATGTGGCCCATTTCTCAAATGTGTATGAAACTTGGAAAACATGCTTATCATGTCTTGAGGCAGTTGTTTGACAAGGAGCATTATTCTGAAAGCTATAATTTTGAAGTTATGTCCCTTTTAGCTTAGAATTTTTGTTAAAGCGGTTATTTTGACAGACAATTGTTACCGCGGTGGTGCACTTGTTCTGTTTATCTCACTATAATGGCAGCTACAGTAAACAACAACCATAGAATTGTCTTACTACAGATTATAAATCTGATCCAGTATAAATTATGCATATTGTACAGTAAAATTATTGCTGAGTATCTATTTGAAAACTTTTATGAAATACAATCCTGTCCATGAAAGACTTTTCTAGTAATTCAACATTTAGTCTTCTTCCCAAAATGATTGACATTTATGTAATAACAAAGGAAGTAAGATGAAGTTTTGACATGTTACAAACCTTACCAGACATTTCAAATAGAAATATAATCCCACTTATCAAAAATTCTTCATTCTGCACATGAATGGTAATCAAAAATAATGTTTCACATTTCAGGAAATGTTTTCATAAGAAAACTCATTTACCATTTGCGGTTAAGATAGTGAGTCGACGTATAGATGTAAACAGGGAAGTTACTCTGCTCAAATTGTGTCAAGGTCACAGAAATATTGTTCAACTTGTAGAAGTATTTTTTGATGAGGTAAATCAAAACTTGTTTATATTTTCTTTACAAATTTGTTCTGCTTTGCTGCACAAAATGGCTGCCAGAGCTAAAAATAGAAAATCTGTTCCAGCTTTGACAGGTGAAATTGCTTTGGACAAAACTTCACAGGATTGATCTGGTGCAACTGTTGTTGTGCATATCGCCGGCACGATTCGTTTTGCTGCACAACATCACTCAATATGTGTACATAGAGACTCTCTTACTATATGAATTATGTAAACACATGCACAAATGTAAATTTACAGTAAATTATGTAATTTACAAATGAAGTGACCCATATGAAGTGGCCCATATGGTCCATTCTGATGGCAAGGGTAAAGAAACGAAACACACTCAAACACTTTTCAGTAATACATGAAGTATGTCTTATGTATCCTTAGAATTGAACATTCTAGTTTAGTACATACCAATTGACCTTTTCGAAAACCTAGCTAAACACCATTTTCTGGTATGTTACGGATTTAGCTCTGGGGAATTACACCAAATGAAGTACATAACATAGTTACATGATATTTCTATTTTTCTATCATTATTTTACCGTTTAAGGTGAAAAAATTAATGTATTTGAAAATTATCAATATTCCTTTAATATCTATTGCAAATTTTTCAAAAAATAAATTGTTTATAATAAAAATCAATAAAATTAAAACAGACGTAGTGGAATCTTCCATAATAAATAAGGTTATTTTCTGCGTAAACTTGTGTATTTACTTTATTTTTTGTATGGAATTATTCATACAATGATATTTAATTATTTTCTTATAAAGAAAAAACAGTTTTATTTCAATTTAATTTAGAAAAAGGCCGAAAACACCGAGTTAGCTATTACACTCCACTAGGTGAATTCCCCAGAGCTATGTACAGAATGTACCGGAAAAGGGCGTTTAGCTAGGTTTTCGAATTCGTGAATTTGTGTTGAAAGCTTAAAGCTTATTGAAACACTCTGTACTTCCTGTTAATGGAAATTACAGCAGGCCCCTGTAAGTGTTTGAACCCATGCCGCCAGTATTCCTTTAGTCCTTAGATTACTAGTCTGTTGCGCTAACCATGCGGCCAAGCTGCCACTGAATCATTCCAGATAACAATAAGCTTTTAATATTTTATTAAACATTTTGATATATTTTAATGTTACATTTTAGAACAATATTTGTATGAACGTGAAGGTCTCAATATTGAGAGAATTAAACTGGACAAGACTACTAGGTAAATTAAGCAGGGTAAAGAATTAAGTAAAAGTCTTACTACAGGTTTTAGTTATGTAAGATTAATCTTGTATTTTCAGCTGCATACATACATGGTGCTTCAGCTATGTGAAGGTGGCGAATTATTAAACAGAATACGAAAGAAAAAGAATTTCTGCGAGCCAGAGGCCAGTGAGATTATGTGGAAATTAGTTCAGGCCGTAGACTTCATGCATAGTAGAGGGGTGGTTCATAGAGATCTTAAACCAGAGGTATTTAAAAGCAGAGTTTTTTTATATAAATAAAGAAATTACAAAAAAGAATTTCTTGTTGAATTCCCAAGTATATTATTTTTGTTAAGAAATGTGTTAATTGTCATAGTAGGAGGAATATTAGTTGATAGTTGCATTATCTGAGCAAATACTTACTGCAATTCAAAACAATTCATTGAAACTGTAGACATTAAAGGAAAGTAGACTTTTCAGTTAAAACAGGTGGCACATCGTTCTTTTAATACAGCAGTAATACAGATACGATAGATATACCATACTAGAGTTTCCCACAATATTTGAATCAAACATTATATATTATATGCTAAACTTGTGTGTAAAATAATTGTTTATGTTGAGTTTATTGTCTTATTGCAGAATTTACTGTTTGAAGACTCCTCTGAACAAGCTGAAGTGAAGATAATAGATTTTGGTTTTGCGAGATTAAAGCCTGGTAATCAGCAGCTGAGTACCCCATGTTTTACCTTGCCATATGGGGCACCAGAAGTCTTACTACAGGCAACAACAAATAGGGATAAAGAAGGCTATGATGAGTCATGTGATCTCTGGAGTTTAGGTGTCATATTGGTAAGTGATTTTATTGATGGTTTTACTGTTTGGTTTATGTTGAGTTTGCCTATTTTTCAGTAACATGGTTATATGTACTGACATCAACAGTCAATTGTATAAACAACTTAACCACAAGAGTACAATAACCAGCTTGGTAACCAGGTAAGTGATTGTATGAAAAACATCAAAGGCAGTTAAATGTAACAAACATAGAGAAGTTTGGTATCTGCATGGTAACCCAAACCAACAGCTGACTGATTTGATGGATGAGGAGTTACAGAAACGATATGTAGATTTTCTCCAGAAAATATTGACAAACTTGTTAGACTTCTTGGACCGTTTTTGGAAAGACATACATGACAGAACCAAGGGCTGACACCACCACAACAAATTTTGATCACCTTGTGGTTTTTGGTCACAGGTAATTTTATGTCAGTAATCAGTGATACCTATTGTGATGACATCTTCACCATCCCAAGCACTGTTTTATCAGTGACTGACTCATTTATTAGATTTAAGAACCTAGTGATTAAGTTTCCTATGAGGGACATTGACTGCCACAAGCTATGAGACAATTTTACACTGATATATAAATACAGCAGCTCTAAATTCATGTCAGAATGTGTAACATTGTGTTATTTTGACGAAATGGTTTGCTGTATCGTATTTTGTGTTGAAACTTCAAAGTACATATAGCAAGAGGTTTTAACTTACAGTACATAATATAATTGAAAATAGACAAGTACATTTTGTATTTTACTTGTGTTATTTATTACAGTACACAATGTTATCAGGGAAGGTTCCATTCCAAGTAGGCAGTTCAGAAAACCAGGCGAAGGCAATCATGCATGAAATTAAGATGGGTAGATTTAATTTTAATAGTTCAGAATGGAATGATGTGTCAGATGCGGCAAAATCTCTTATACAAGGTAATTAACAGTTGTCACTTTAGTTGAATGCCAGAACAAGAAAATTAAACTAAAATAAATCTGACATTAACCAAGTTTTCTTTATTTAATAAGTTGCTGACCGGTTCCATACATACCATATTTCCAGCCACCCAGATAAGGGGATTTGTCTTTCAAACGCAAAAATAGGGTTTTTTTAAGCAAGCCAAGACCAGTCGTAATTTTTTTTAAATATGCAAAATATATATTTATTTTCCCCATTTTTGTCGAGGCGCTTGCGGTAAGCTTGACTTACTCGCCACTTTTTGCGTGTATTCGATGTATGCAGCCAGTCTGTCCATACGTCCGTATTTGTCTGGTCTGTATCTTGCTCATTCTTTGAAGGATTACAAAATAATTTATTAGCGAACTCAGATTAAATTCTGTGTTAAAGGTTAAGGTCAAATGTAGGGGTCAAAGGTCAAATAACAAAATAACACATTCATTTGCGAGTATATCTTATACATAAATGGATTTTAATAAAACTGAGCACAAATGATGTTATCCATGTTGAGTTGAGTTGTCTTGCACAAAATGAAGGTCAAGAGTTCAAAGGTCAAATGAAAATATTAAAATTTGTTTTTAGTGCTTTATCTTGCTTATGCTATGAAGTATCATGCTAAGTGGTCAGAGGATTTTTAAATTGTTTAGCCCACTTACCGTGAGGTCAACTTAGTCGCCACTTTTGGCGGTTTGGTGTATGTATGTCCGTCAGTCTGTGTGTTTGTCTAGGTTTGTCCTTTCTATATCTTGCTGATTCTTTGTAGGATTACAAAATAGTTTTATACAAATGTTCACTATGATGGGGTGTTGTGTCACACGCAACACCAAGGTCCTCTGCTCAAAGGTCAAATTCACACTGGGGGGTGGGGTTCAGCTCAAAATGAGAGTTAAGTACATGTATTTTCCTTTTATGCGGAATATAATGTGGAAAAAAGAAAATGTTTTTACACTGCAACCTGGTTATAATGCTCATGATGGGGTCCAAAGTCTCAAGGATGTGTTATAACAGGATTCTGATATATACAGTCATTGCAAAATTGCACCATTATCCCACCCACTGATGATTTATATAATGATTTTTTACTTTCAAACATGTAGATTTTTTTATAACTAGGATATTCAGCACATAAATTATAAAGACAAATTAATATTATCCTAATATGAAAACAAAGTTTTGATCCAGAGGCATTTCTTATTTCATCAGCAAACATTTTTTTTTATTGAAAGTCTTACTTTTCTATATGCTATAAAAAGTTTCAATTCATTGTTTCGTTGGACAGAAATTTTTACTGGACACCTGTAAAATATTAATATGCTTTCAGGATTACTGACTGTAGATCCAAGGAAACGTCTAACAATGGCAGATTTGAAGGAAAATGAATGGCTTCTAAGGAATAATAATAGTATGTTCTCAGAAAAAACATTACCTACTCCAGGTGTTTTAAATACTACTAGTAATACACTACAGCTCCAGTTTTCTGCCACTTTAGATGCCTTTCATAAAGCAACGCGTGAAGGTTTCCGCCTACAAGATGTAAATAAGGCACCCCTTGCTCAACGTCGTAAGAAAAAGAAAGCCTCTGATGAAAGAAGTTCCACAGACAGCAGCCATTCTGGTGGTTCTATACCTCAAGGGTCACAGGGGGCATCAGGGAGTTTACATGTACTCAATTCTCCGAGAGATTCGCCTGTTCGAAACCTGTCCAATAACTCCAACACATCATCAACATCTCATAGCTCCACTCATAGTTTAGGGTTTGTACCTCAAAGGACCACACCTGTTGAACTTACCTCTAGTCAAAATATGCCTTCATCAGGCATATCAGAAGTGCTTGTGATTGAACCAAGTACCTCAAATGAGAAAATAGGGTACCAAGAAATATTGTCATCTGATTCAGAAAACTCAGTTAATGATGAACCGCCTTTCCAAAAGACACGAGGAATAAAACGTAAACATAGTTTAGAGGAAGGTTATAGTGATTTAGATGATGAATCTGATGAAAGTGATGATGACAATGATATCACTGATGACGATGATGATAATAGTGATTGTATAATAATATCAGATGATGATGATGATGAGGAGGATGGAAGTTGCGAGAGTGATGAAAGTTTAAGTGATGTACAAACCAAGAACTTAAATAGGAGTAATAAAAAGGCAAGGACAGAAAGTACTATTATAATAGATGATTGATAAACAAGGAAATGGTTTATCGTAGATCATATATAAGCCATTAATTATCTTTATAAATGATGAACAAACTTAGTTTGTTGCATACTGCAGACTTTGCTATATTACCATATGTTGAGTCAAATTTTGGTAGGTTTAATGTCCATTGTATAGGTGCATTATTTGAAAGTTTGTTATTTGTTGTAATCAGAACATACACTTTATTAGGTAGCATATCAGTTTGTTGGTATTGAATAAAAGAAATTAAAAGTAAAGTAGGTGACAAATTTTGATTTATCATTTGCATAATAATATAAATGTGGATAATTTTAACCCTAGCAACAGATTCTACCCGTGTAACCATCAGTGTGTTGCCTCATCAGTCAGTACTTATTTTGAAGTTTTCTCTAAACATGATCAATACTTCTTTCCACATTAAAAGATTGACAAGTCCATTTTACATATTCAGTATGGTGAGAGTTAAGATACATTTTCTATGTTTTCCACCATTATTTTTGTTTTAAATACTTCATAGTTTGAAAAAAAGAAAGAAAAATAAGGAAAACAGTTTATTTCACCAGCCCTTAATAGAGCCTCATGATTTGTGACTTTGTCAACAAAATTACAAACTTAAGAGATGAATTTTTAGACTATTGTCATATTTAAATATGTCGTAGCTTTGTTATCCATAAACTATATTTTTCCATTTGATTTTTTTACACAGTTTGTTTACACTCTTGAACTTTTAAAGTAGAGGACCTCCAGATTTCTGCTCTATATTTTTATTAAAAATTTTAAAAAATGATGGGGAATAAAATAGTAGATCGTGTCATATTTTGCATAGAACATTAATCATCTAAATACGTTTAGACCTGAATTGATTAATCATCAAGATATTTAGCCCTATTGTTATTTTGGCATATTAAACACCTAAATTTTGTTTTTGTTGTTTTAAGTTGTTTTGGGATTAAATTGATTTAAGATTATGTAAATTTACTTTTTGACACCATGTTAAATCTAATCAATAATTTTATCATTCTTTGAAAATATAAATATTTTGCAAACAGAAAAAAATCCGAGTTTATTGAGTAGTTGACCGTCTGGTCAGACAAAATAGGTGTTCAGGCTGGCCGGAATATGCTGTTGACAGACAAATCAGGCTGGCCGGAATATGCTGTTGACAGACAAATCAGGCTGGCCGGAATATGCTGTTGACAGACAAATCAGGCTGGCCGGAATATGCTGTTGACAGACAAATCAGGCTGGCCTTTGACATTCAAATATGTTAAATTCAAAATATGTTAATTTTTCACTGATATACATGTATGTAGGGATTCAGATGTGTTCAATCACTCTATTTCACTTGTGTATCTTTTTGTTTTACATTCGGCATGATGACCTTTATAAAGATATCACAAATGCAGTAAAATCACAGCATTGGTTCATTCCTACAATGTATATCATGATAATAGCAACATGATGTAGTCACATAACTGAAATTGTCATATTTTCATTAAGGTCATAGCCTGGCAGACACATATATACACAAGTGATAATAAGAGGTTGTTTATTTAGATTGAACTTGAAAAATTGTACAAGTTTTAAAGTATATTATAGACCTTGAGAGGTTGTTTTCTTTGTCAAAAACATTTCTTGACATTATTTTTACTCTGTTTGACTGTGATCATACGTATTTTAGTCAGTTTAGATGTTTAGTATTGTTGGTACCTCTTGCATTATAAAAACTGTATTTTATATCGATATTAGAAATTACGCATCAATGACAATTGTGATTTAATGTCACAAAGTGAAAATGCCTCAAGGTTTTTATTTTTTGTTCTTGTTTTTAAAAACAAATTTTGTACAATTACTAGTAATATGAAATATTTTGAGTGATTTTTGTAGTTAAGGAGTTACTGATGAAAATTATTTCAGTAAAATGATGGCATGAAATAGTGTCATAATTTGAATGCCATTTAAGTTGTAATGTTGAATAGGTATTGTTGTTCACGTTTAAACTATGTCATTAATTAACTATTAGTTTATAATGATGCTTGTTAAACTTCAATGTTGAACAAAATGTTACAAGTAGATATTATATAACAAGGACCTATATGTGGTTCATATTAGGTCAGATAAAGTCTTCTTTTCTTTGGTATATAACTTAATTGAATGTTTGCAAATATTTCTATTGTTTACTTTGTATGATAAAATTTTACCATTCCAAGGGTAATATTGTAGAACCTGTAAATGATATAACATGATGAACCATATAGGTGAAACATGTTTTTGGATTAAATTTAGTTACATGTGAAGTCATATATAAGTACTGTCATTGCTCTATATGATAGGCAACTCAACTACTTCTGATCAATTTCTGAATCAAGAATGTTACAGTGGACCTCTGTTAAATAAAGTTCTATAAATCATGCAGCTGAGGTAATAAATGGGATTTGAGTTCACTGTTGTTGAATAGATTATGTCAGAAACAACTTTTAAAAAGCTTTTGTTTTGTAAAGATAAGGTTCAGAATGTACAGAATGGCTTAAGAAAAGAAGTTTTTCTTTTTTTGATTTTTTTTCTCTTTTATTAGCTCACCTTAACAAAAAATGCTCAGAGGTGAGATTTTGTGATGGCAGTATGTTCATCGTTGTCCTCAATAGCATCACCTTGTGGTCCTCTACAAAAGCTATATAAATCTATCTGGCCCTGGGTGTTAAAATTACCCCCCCCCCCCCTCAGGGGTCACTTGGTTTAAATAGACTTGCATATGAAAATATAATTAAGTCTTCTTTTGTGAAACAACAATTCCAAGAGCAAGAGCTTAGATATTTGGCAACCAACATTGTTTGATTTACCCTTTTTGGGCATAACTTTCAGGTGAGCAATTTAGGGCAATCCCCCTTGTTTCCTTGTAATATTAGGTGAGAGAATAGCACCTCTTTGATCTCTTGTTCATATCTAGCAAAACATAGTATACAACAAAATTGTGACTTGGTGTTTATAATACAGTTACTTTATATCATAGATTAAGGAGGTGGTAAAATTTTACAAATGATGTCAATATTGCCATTTTTATGATTATTTTAAAATTGGAATTGAAATATATATTGATTGCTAAATTTGCCAAAAATATATATGATTACACAGTTTGAAATTTTAATGTTATTTACATATAATATATTTATAGTTGATTTGTTACATACCCATATAATGGGAAGTGTTTTTATTGTTTTGATTGTTATCTTATAGAAGTACACAGTTATTTTACAATTGTGTAGATTTATGAATTGTTCTTACTTCAATAAACTGTTACATGAAATTATTGTAAAATGAATATTACTTTTTTATTAATAGACTTCATAAGTGAATATCATAAAGTATTGCATTCCACTTGAGTTATTGAGTTATTTTGAAAGGAATTTTACAGATTCTGTAATCATGAGTTGTAAAACAGACTAATATCCCTGATTTCAACATTGGTTGTTTTTTTATGTAGCATGTTTTTGTGCCACATACTGCACTTTGTTCATTAACCAATTGTGTCCCTTTAATGGTAAAACCAACAAAAATTTGAAACATTCTTTGTCTACTACCAGTGAATGGATCATCATTGGTCTGAAACACCTTTACATTGATCTCTATTAATTTTGCTGGTAAAATTTTAGTTGGATCTCTATAGGGGTTGCTTGAAGCGAACAGATTTCCTTTCAACAACTTTTTAGATTTATATATAAGTTTGCTTAAATATATTTTGTTGACCTCTGGTATGGCCGTTAACAAAATGCTTTACCTTTCCTCCTCATTGGTCATCATGAAACATTGTAGCATTTTAACATTGTCATATAGAAAGTGTGATTTTATCATTTTAAGGTTATTGTGTAGACTGGATATTTACCATGTTTGGATTCTCCTGGTGGTAACTGAATCTACCCATATAACCAGTATAGACCAGGATCAGCCAGCACATCCATATCATGGTCTGAACTGTTTGCTATTCAGTCAGTACTTATTTTAAATTATTCTCTGAAAATTATAAAAGGTTTTGTCCAGAGTAGAAGATGGACAAGTCCATTTAAAATATTAAATTTTAAAGGTTAAATGGATATTTTCTCACCAATGAATTGATAGGGGCAGTGTTACATTATTTCTGTAAATGCTTGCAAGAATGATGACACATATTATCTGTTAGCAATATTAAGACAGCTAGTGTGTCTGTTCTGTATAAAGAAACTATTATCTAATTAGTTTTAACATTATGATATTATATTGAAATCTCACAGTCAAGTGTTAAAGGCTAACTTAACCTTCACATGATGGTCAGTCATGAAAATAAGAATCAATATGTCACTTGAAGCGGGTAGTGGCACCCTAGTGACTAAGTTGTTTGCCTCTCAGACCAGGAGTTATGTAATCTAACATGGTGTAACAACAATGTTTCCTCATATCACATCAGTTTTTGTAATAACACAAAGTTGGCATGTGATTATTTTTACAATCAAGTTTAAATAAGTGATCTTGACCTTGAAGGTCAATTTAATTTTGCTTGATTTTTGCTATAATTGGCTATAACTTTATTGTAATGTATGAATTGTCTACATACTTGGGTACAACTACCTTAAGGACAATGTATTAAAGAAGATAAAACTCAGTTTCACCTTGAGTCCTCATTGACCTAGACCTTAAAAGTCAACTTATTGTAATTTCAAGTTTTTAGCTTAAATTGGCTATAGCTTTGCAAGAAGTGAATTGATTGTCTTCATTGCACAGCAATCATTGGGACAAGAAAGTATGGATTTAATTGAACTTGACCTCAATATCTTTGTTATTTATTTATGGATTTAATTCATACTTGGGCAAAAAAACACTAATGACAAAACTGACATTAAACTGATGATTAATTCAGATGTGACCTTGACTGTCAAAGTCAAATGTGATATTTGAATTATATCTTGTTCAACAGAATTTCGTTTTCTAGGAGTATTTTGTTCTACAATATTTTTACTCCAATGTGTTTGTCTTTGGAAATAAGGAAAAGTTGAGTATGGCCACAGCCCAGCAGAGGCTCTTGTTTAATTTTCAGATTAACTTATATATTCTAGTAAATTATTTCTTATTTATTGTTATATTACATATATATTTTAGTCATGTCATTTTGGAGACCCTATGATTTTATAACTTTTACACTTGATTCTTAAACTGTTTATAGAATAAGAACAAAAACATAGCTTAGTTTGTGCTTTCTGGAGTGAAAATGAAAGAAAAATTAGAATTTTGAAAGCACAATAACTGATTTTGTAATGGTTTGTCTAAATTGTCTTGATCATGGCTTTTAGTACAGTAAAGAATTATGATTTTAGGTTCTAGACATCCGTTAGTAGCTGGCCATTTGGATTTTTTTTTAAAAAAATCTGTACAGGGTGCCACTTGTATTTTCATTTTATATTACTCATTTTAATTTTTTCATCATGTCATGTCTATTTCTAAGTGCAATCATCTTTCATGTTATTTTAGTTTTTTAAAGCTCATTTTACACTATATTAGTAATGTACATATTTGATATTTTATGTGTTTATTGTTTTCTCACATTGTTGTTGATTTAAGAATGACCCACAGGTATGTTATATAATGGTTATACAAATCATTGTTAGGAATTGTACATTTGCTCATATGTCAGAAGGCTTAAGTTTCAAATATTCACATTTAAAATTGTTTTATATATAGGATGCTTAATTCTAACAATCCAGTGTGAAACTACAGCTGTAAAAGCTTGTTTGCATCAGAAGATTAGCTTGGAAAACCTACATTTACAATTCTGGATAACATTCTGTTGCTATGCTCTAGTATCACTTATGTTGATAATTCAAACAAAATTTTTGAAAGAAATGGCATGAAACTAACAGATGTTCAAATTATTGTTTCATTAATGAGTTTATAAGTATATGTTGTAATATCTTTTCAAAAGTAGAGGATCTTATTTTTATAATGATAGGCTTGTCTTTCTGACTTATCTATATCCGTCTATATTTGTGTGGATACATTTTGCATATTAAATATATTTCATGGAGTTGTTGGAAAAATACTTAGAATGGGGAACCTTAGAAATGCCAAAAAATAAACCTGATGAGAAACTAAAGTAATACTAAATAATTGAATAAATAGAATATAAAGTACTCCTTTAGGGTACTACATCTATGTCAATCAATTTCATGTTAATCAGAACATGTGCTTATTTGCTTACCTTAGTGCCACCTATAAACATGGTTGATTGACCTAAATGTTATTTTCTCTGATAATTGACATGACATACAGTCAACTATCGTTATCTCGACATCGCTTTTCTTGATATTTCAATCTCAATAACTAACCCGGGAGGATATCCGGATCAACCACCCTGAAAACAATGATTTTTCACTATATTGGTGTATTACTGAGTAAACCTCACTATGTGTTTTTATCACAGATACCCGTATTTCCGCTGGTAAACATCCACTAATGTTACTTTGTTAAATATTGACTAGGCCTATGAAAACAAGACATGGGGATATCATAGTTTATTTGACATAAGGTATGCACATGTCTTTTGTAAAAATCAGTTTCTGCCTTATTCAAACACTAATATGTTTATCTCGACATTTCGTTATCTCGATATTTTTTGGACGGTCCCGATGACATCGAGATAACGTGATTCAACTGTATGTACTTTTAAGTAAAGATGCTATAGTGTTTATAGTAGATAAAGTTTGCTCTTTTCATTATTACAAATGAACAGAAATATTAAGTATATAGGGGTATTACCCTAAGGCCTATTAAATATTTGTTACTATATATAGTAACAATATTACCTAAAAATTATTAATGGTTGAATACTTTAATTATTATCTACCAACTGAACACAGCATGTCAATGGTTACAAGTATATGTCATCATATATCTTAAAAGAAAATATGTTTTTCTTGTAAAAACAGATTGATTTATTAACTCTGAGTTAATTGATGTATGATATAGTGAATTGTTGCATGATAATTAATTGTATGATTTGAAAGTATATAGGCCATAATTTTAAGTGATAAGAATACAAACATCTATGCTTGACAATAAAATAATGATAGGATATATAATTTATGAGAATAAGTGTTAAGTCTTGTACTCATGTCACACTATTTTACCATTTCTTGTTGTTTGTTTTTGAATGTAGTCATTTCAATGAAAAACCTCAAGTAACTATGTATATCATTTTCTTTCTTGGAAATTGTGTTAATCATGCAGATTTATAGTAGACAGATATTTTACAATTAAAGTCCTATCTGCTAAAAACAGACATACAAAAAAATTACTTTATAAAATGATTTTTGGGGTATTTTGGCATTTTTATGGACCACTAAAAAGTATAAAAAAGAATAAAACATTAATTGTTTGTGTTTTGTTGTTTATGTTTAACCTTTGCTTAGTGTCAGTCTTTTTTTATTCTTGTTGAATATATGTGGATTATTGTGCATGGCCTAACATATTTTAAATCAAAATAAGAACAGAAAAACACTTCAAGGACTGATGCAAGGCTTAACCCGCTAGTCAAAGTCAAAACATACAAACATGTTCTTCAGGCTAACATAACAAATACAATTACATACATGAATAATAAATACATATTTAGTCACCAGTCTGAGGTCAATTATTACGTTAATATACACATTTAATCAAGTCAAAGAAAATTTGCTATCAGTTATCAGCAAATTTTTAAGTGTGCGCATCTTGGATGTTTCACCATTTTTTGTGTCACCTGCACCAATTATGTAAGGACCACTTCTCCTTCGCCAGTGGTTGAAATTCACCCTGCCCCAGGGGTAATGTGTTTTTCTAATACGTATATAGTAAAAAATTAAAAAAAAATTGTTCTTCTTATCTACAATAGCTAAAGCTCAGCTATTCAGCATGAAACATTGTCTAGTGAACCTCTACAAGGGGTGTTCAAATATGAATGCAACTAGGTCAATATCTCGCTTTTAATAAATTTTCCACGAACTTTGTACATGTATCGCATAGATGGTCGTGTAAGCTCTCAATTGATACATGTGTAAATCAGTTTGTCTAGCTTTGACATTAGCTCGATTAACGCTATTTACTGGTGTATACTAAAATGGTTGGGAAAAGGTCTCCTTTCACTAACCAAATACGTTTTTTTTTCAAGAACCGCTGTATTCTTGGTATACAGGCGAAAGACATATTTAATGAAATATGTTGTGTTTATGGGAACAATGAACTTTCTTTTTCATCCGTGACACGGTAGTGCTAGAAATTTAAAAGTGGTGTGGATTCAGTAAAAGATGCACCTCATGCACGCTGTCCAAAAACTGCATCTTTGCCAGAAGTGGTTGAAAAAGTAAAGCTGATGCAAGATTTACAATTAGGTATACAGTTTAAATGCGTTGGTATCTCTGTAGGAGCCGCTCATACTATTCTCAGATGTGATTTAAAAAAGAGAAGGATAAGTTCCAGATGGATACCCCCATCTTACAAAAGAGCAAAAACTTGCTCGGGTAAGAATCTCCAAACAATCGTTGAAACAGTTCCGTAAATACAATAATCCACCTTTCGCAAATGTCATCACTGGCCATGAGACGTGGCGAAAGATACATAACAAAATATGGGCAACCAAAGGAAGTCAAAGACCTTGCATAGCAAAACGCACCATGAGCGTCAAATAGGTCATGTATGTAATTTTCTTTACCAATCAAGGTCCTGCTATTCAAATTGCCGCACCAAAGGGAAAATCTGTAAATTCTAAGTTTTACAAAGGCAAGGTCCTTCATAAATTAAATAAATAATTATATTTTAAAAAAAAAACGTCAACCAGCAACTGGTTTCCGTGCGTCAGGTTGTGGCATGACAATGCTTCGTCACACAAAGCGGCCATTGTACGGGAATATCTTAAAAGCTTCCTCACTCTCAGTCGCCAGATCTTGCCGCTTTTGACTTTTTCCTATTTCCAAGGCTCAAAAAAAAAACACCTTGCTGGAAGAAAATATCAACGCGAAAAAAATCTCGGTTTGGCTATTTTCCAGTTTCTAAACAGTATACCTCGAAAAGATTTTGAAAATGCATTTAAAAATTGAATATAAAAACTAAAACTTTGCATATAATTTTCAAAGATTGAGATAACTATTTTGGCAGTGTTTGTTTAGCACTTCTGAAAATTGGCCCAGTTGCATTCATATTTGAACACCCCTCGTACTAACGTATTAATAATATTCAAATTATAGCTTTGTGATCGAAATTGGCTTTGCCCAACAACGTCATTACTTTTCTTCATGCAAATCATTCCCCTTGCTACAAAAAAACAACAGTACAGCTCATAAGCTTAATAATGAAAGAGAAACAATTCATATCGGAATCCTTTTTATACATGTGTACAATATAAAATTTGAATTTATTTATTACGAGAAAACTTACTTCAAAATTCTTGTGTGTTTGACATTAGAAATAAGAAGTCGAGTGTAGTCCCCTGCTACATGTAGGTGGTGACTCTTTTTATTGTGTAAAATGGTCAAAAAAGAAAAGAAAAGAAAAGAAAAGCGTTTACATGCATTAAATTCGCATCTGGTTAAAATTGCACAATACATAGTAATATTGACTACACATATTTATTATTATTAGCTTGACTTATTCGAATAAACAAGTTCTAGCTTTCAAAGCTGTTCCCATCTTCAAACTTGGACAACACCTTGAAGTAGATCAGACTAAACTTGACCTTGACTCATTAATAACCTTGATTTTAAGTCATTTTAGCTAGACTTTTACGAAGAAGAATAATAATATCTGTCATATGTTGCGGTTCGGACCGGAATATCCGTCCCGAGGGGACCCGCCCATTGGGCGGTAACGAGGCTTGCCGAGTTACCGCCCATGGGCGGGTTCCCGAGGGACGGATATTCCGAACCGAACCGCAAACATATGTTAGATATTTTTTCTTGCATATTCTGCCATATTATTTCATATTTAAAATGGTTTACCTCAATATGATATATTTTCATGGAAATTAAAGTCATTTCAGCCATAACTATTTTCTAACAATAGCGTATGAACTTACAACTTAAATAACAACGGCGAAATGACGTCATCCTTAGCACATATTTCCCTTCTAAAACTACGTCATTTTAACGCGGTTCATTCATAAAGCGCGCTAAAATGACGTTGTTGTTTGGCACGCGACTCATCTGGCACCCCCCATGCCAGATGAAATTTCCGGCATGGGTAAAACTCACGGAAACGCCAGTCTGATATGCAAGAAAAAGCTATATTGCTACAGTCATGTTGTTGACGTTGCCGTCCGAAAACTTTAGCGTTGGTCATAATTAATTTTATTTCTCATTGGATTGAAAGCAGTTTAAGGAAATAAATGGTTAAATGGTGGCCTAATTAATTCAGCATCACTGGTTTGATCCATTTTACACACTTGTTGGGGTGTTAAGCTCCAAACGCCTTAAAATCTAAATAAAATGTATATTTGTCAATCCCAGCACATAATTATATATATCATATATGAGCTGGAGTTGACAAATAAACATTTTATTTTGATTTTATAGTACACGTTTGGAGCTCTACACCCAAAGTATCTGTTATTTGATGCTCAACGGATTCGCTTAATGTTTATGAGTTTGTTGATATTTTTTTTTACATAAGTTTATTGGGTAAGACGGACGTTATTCATTAATAAGGGAAATACAACAACATTGTTTCTGTTATATCTGAGTTTTATTTAATTACGGTAGCATAAAGCAATCTCAGTTTACAGAAAGCATCAATCCAAAAATCAATATTTACAATATTTCTAGAAGCATAATCCGAGAGAGGGGGAGGATGGATGAAAGGATCACCAGGACGGATTCGAGGGAAACAACCGGACTTGTTCAACGGACACTGACTGGAATCTTAATTAACAGTTTTCAATTTTGGTGTTCTAATACAGTTTCAAAAAAGATACTTGGTCAGTTACCTGAACCAGTTCTGCTTCTCTTGCTTGACGGACAAAGAATTTCACATTCAGCATTGTTAACTTCTAACATGTTTTAAGTTTTATATCTTTGATTTTGCCTATTTTAGACAGACTTTTACTTGATATATTGGTAAAAAAACTTGTCAACAACTCACAACATTAAATTACTCTTTGTTTTAGACCAAAGGCAGTCGATAGTATACATGTACATGACCACGCAATTGTCAAACACAATAAGGGGAAGTGCAGTGCACAAGAACCATAACTCTATCTAAAGTAATTACAGAGTTATTGCCCTTTGTTGCTTTTCCATTGCTTTTTTTTGTCCGGACCAGAACTTGAAGACTAATTGTTTGAATTTAATATAACTACATACAATGGTCAAGCACATTGAGAGGAAGTGCAGTGCATAAGAACCGTAACTCTTTCTTGACCAATTACAGAGTTATTGCCCTTTGTTACTTTTCCTTGTCCGGGGCATAACTTGAAAACTACTGGTTGGAATTCAAAACAACTTCGTACAATTGTCAAACACAAGAAGGGAAAGTGCAGTGCACAAGAACCATAACTCTATCTAAAGTAATTACAGAGTTATTGCCCTTTGTTACTTTTCCATTGATTTTTTGTCCGGACCATTAGCTTGAAGACTAATGGTTGGTATTCAATATAACTTCATACAATGGTCAAGCACATTGAGAGAAAGTGCAGTGCACAAGAACCATAACTCCATCTTGACTAATTACAGAGTTATTGCCCTTTGTTACTTTTCCTTGTCCAGAGCATAACTTGAAAACTACTGTTTGGAATTCAGTACAACTTCATACAGTTGTCAAGAACATTAAAAGGAAGTGCATTGCACAAGAGCCATAACTCCATTTTGACAAAATACAGAGTTACTGCCCTTTGATACTTTTCCTTGTCAGGAGCATAACTTAAGACGTACTGGTTGGAATTCAAAACCACTTCATACAATGGTCAAGCACAATAAGAGGAAGTGCAGTGCACAAGAACTATAACTCTATCTTCAGTATTTATAGAGTTATTGCTCTTTGTTCCTTTTCTTTGTCTTTCTGGACTTATTACAGAGTAATTCAATTAAACTTCAACAATGGCCAACCACATTGAAAGGAAATGCAACATATAAGAACCACAACTATCTTTAATTGCCCACAACCATAACTCTATATTTCAATTCTTTTACAAGGTATTCTGTTACTAGTAACATCCTCATTTCCGAAGCATATTAATCACATTTAGTGATAGTTCTAGTTATTATTATTATTATTATTATAGTATATATGGAATAACTTTCCTTTGTTGTTTTATTGACATTTTGAGTGAAAAAACATTTACTAGTGAAAAAATGTTTTATTTATAAAAATAAGTGGGCGTGGTCATGTACATGTGTGCATTATGAGACTGACGGAAAGGGCCGAAAACTTGCGATTGAGACTGACGGAAAGGACCGAGAAGTTGCGATTGAATAAACCTCAAAATGTTAAAAAAATATATAAAACTAATCTTCTACTATATAATTATTTTTAATAAAATATATTGGTATATCTATATTTAATTTTATATCACATTTAAAAAATATACATATCGTAAAATTCGAATATTCGGGTTCAAGATGTAAATCGAAAGTAGGTTAATTGATCTGTATTTGTCTAAAGGTAAAAAACTGTATTGTTCATTTATTGACTACAGGAAAGCCTTTGATAGCATTAATAGAACTGCACTCTGGCAAAAAATGTTAAGTAATAATGTTGATGGTAAATGTATAAAAATAATATATGATATGTATAAAAAAGCTAAATCTTGTGTTCAGGTGAACTCCTTTAGTAAAATGTCAGATTTTTTCACAAGTCATACAGGTGTTAGGCAAGGTGAAAATCTTTCGCCTGTCCTATTTTCTTTTGTTTTTGAATGATTTAAGCCAGTTTTTTGTCACAACATTATAATGGTCCTAGTTTCATTATCTTCAGTAGTAAATGACACTCTGAGTAACTTCGATGTTGAGGTTTATTTTAAATTGTACATACTACTTTATGCTGATGACACTGTAATTTTTGCTGAAACTGCAGATGAATTGCAAAAGGCACTTGATGCAATGAGTAGTTACTGTAATATGTGGAGTCTCCAAATTAATCCTACAAAAACTAAAATTGTTGTATTTTGTAAAAATGTACGTGGTATTCGTAATGCTCCTAATTTCATTTTTGAAGGTAATATGTTAGAAGTAGTCGACTCTTTTTCATATCTTGGCGTAAAGTTTTCGTATAATGGTAAATTTACTAAAACAAAAGAATACTTGTTACAACAAGCTAGAAAAGCAATGTTCTCTGTAATAGTAAAGTCTAGAAGGCTGAACCTGCCTATTAGTATGCAAATACATTTGTTTGATACAATGGTAGCACCCATTTTGTTATATGGAAGTGAAGTGTGGGGAATTGAAAATTTAGACTTGATAGATCAATTTCAGTTAAAATTCTATAAACTTATTCTTCGGTTTAAAACAAGCACTCCTAATTGTATGCTATATGGTGAACTAGGGGTGCTACCTTTGTCTATTCATGTTAAGGCTCATATTTTATGTTACTGGAATAGAATTTTAAATGCTAAACCTGAGAAAATATGTCATATATTGTATAATGTTTCTTATAAGTTGTGTAGTGATGATAACAATGTAAAACTACCTTGGATCAATTATGTACACAATTGATTGGACTCTCTGGGCATGTCAAATTACTGGATGTATAATATACCTTCTTCACAGCAATTGTTCAAGAACATTGTTAAAACTAGATTGAGAGATCAATATTTACAACAATGGCATAGTTTTGTGGCTGAGTCCAGTAAAAGCCTTAATTACAGAATATACAAAGATTCCTTTGTTTTTGAAAATTATCTAGATACTTTACCTTACCATTTGTCTAATGCTATTTTAAAGTTCAGATGTACGAACCATAGATTACCTATAGAAAAGGGGAGATTCTTTGGTATCCCGAGAGATGAAAGAACATGTCATTTATGTAATACAAACTCTTTAGGGGATGAATTTCATTACCTGTTTGTGTGTGACTTTTTTAAGCAGGAGCGTCGTAAATATATTTCAGTAAGATATACTAGTAATCCTAATACTTTGAAATATTCATTGCTAATGAATAGTACAGACAAAATCGAGCTTGTTAAACTTGCTGTTTATTGCAGGAAAGTAATGCATGTTTTCAAATGATAAACGAGGTTGTGTAATATATGTATACATTTTGATAGTAAATAGTATTGTGTAGTATAATATTATGTTTCTTAAGGCTAACATGTATTTTTATCACCTATGTGTTAGAAATGGCTCAGTGTCTGATATTGCTCAAATTTAGTCTGATATGATAATTTTCTGTTTATCTAGTCATAGCAAATTTGTATCAGGTCATTTGTTCATGTTATATAGCAAATTTTCCTATGTGTTAGAAATGGCTCAGTGTCTGATATTGCTCAAATTTTGTCTGATATTTCTCAAATTTAGTCTGATATGATAATTTTCTGTTTATCTAGTCATAGCAAATTTGTATCATGTCATTTGTTCATGTTATATAGCAAATTTTGTATTACGTCATTTGTTCATGTTTAATATGTTGTATTCTGATGCCTCTCAGAGGCCTAGAATTTGAAAATAAAAGTTCAAAGTTCAAAGTTCAAAGTTCAAAGAAATGACGGTATTCTAATCAGTTAGATCTAAAAGTAATTACTGTACAGTACTGTACTTGTATTTATTTGACAATTGATCCGTGGAAAATGACATTATAGAATTTCTTTCAGGCTGTTTATTTTAAATCGAACGAAAGGTATGCCCTAAAGATTATTTTCAATAACTGAATAAGCCGAAACTCGATACTGAACATAGTCTACTGTACAGTAAACTTAACACTGTTAAAATTTAAAAGTTGATATAATCAGACTACTGTAGATCTACTGCTGGATTTTGTAAAGTGGACAATCTCCTGGAATTGATCCCTAATCCGATGTGGTATGAAACGAAATTTAAAAACAAGATGAATAGAACCCTGATCAAATGAATTGATGATACAGATTAAAAAAACAAACTATAAATTAATTCAATCACGCAGTCATTTACTACACTGCTCTATATATTATATGCTACAGTATGCTTTTTGAATAGATTTTTTTACAAAAGCATTAACACCATCAATATCAATTTATTTATCTTCCTGTTTACCAAAACTTGTGACTCGCCATAACTTTGTTTCACAGTAAATTTTTATCTGCATTTCAAGGAGGAAGTAGTGAAAAATATTTAAAGAGGATATTTTTTTATTGTAGGAAAGATATGTGTGAAGGGACACGTAGACATGTTTATAATAGCATAGTGGTTATAGATATTTGAAAATGTCTTCAACATCAGAAGATAAGTTAGCAAAAGAACAACAGGAGGGAAAAACTATCATTGCAAAAAAGATGGGCTACTGTAAATGCATATTTTGGACATTTTCTGTGCTAGTTGGTATACTTGCTTGTTTAATTGGAAGTGTATACATTTATATGAGAAGAAGTGAAATACCTGAAGAGATTGCAATAAATCTTGGAGATTCAGGAGTCCAGACGTTTAGAGCATTTGACAGGAATGATGATGGCTATATATCCATACAAGAATTTGAACCAATGTATCATCATCTTGTAAATGGTGGACATGCTAATGTAAGACATTTCAATTCTTGTTATTAAACTTACTGCTTATTTGATAAGTAAGCTCATAATACCTGTCCATTTTATTGTAAATAGAGTGCTTTTATTAGCCCAACTATAGCTAAAGATACTTCAGGGAACAGGTTTTATAGTACTGCTACACCTGTTTACTGTCGCACAATGTCAAAATAAAAGTGACATATAAAGTTATGGAAGCCAGAACTAGCCCAACTACATACTTTTATAGATTTTATAATTTTGTGAAAACACCCCTTACAATTGTATTTTAGAAAAATTATCTGAAAATTTGACAGCCTAAATAGGGAGTCTCCCTCTTAAATAGGGAGATATCACATGTATGCAACTATTGCCTATTAATTGTCTTACAAGCATTTCATGTTTGCACAATAGCAGTCAAATTATTTGTTGTGATGTGATCTTGCATAGAAATAATGCTATAACTGGTAGATTATCTCATCATTTTTATGGCCCCTGATTTAGGCATATTTGCCTAGTGTATATGATGGCAGTTTCATTTTTAATTTGCTTTGAACCAAACTGGCACAGAACTTGTATACCCAGCTGATCTTATAACAGCCATCTTTAAGATTTAAATGATTCAGTGAAAAATATTTGTAAAATCTTTTACTCTTTTATACTCTTTTATTTTATACAGGTACATCTCACAATTACCATTGACAAACATGACAAATGAACGCAGTAAATTAAAGCATAAATTTGAATACTTTACTTAATCCTATAAATGTATTTCTTAGTAACTTACAATGTACTTGAATGACAAAATAACATTATGTAACTTTATAATTATATTTTAATGTTATTATAACTATTAGGCTATATCTCAAAATGATGACATTTACTATAAAAAATATTTTGCTTATCACTACTCAATTTTTGTGTTCTTTGTGTCATGGTATAAAGCTGACATACTGAATTCTGCTCCTATTGTGTGGTACATTAAGTACTTACTTAGGCTTTAATCTCATGGTTTGTATCATGTGGCTGGAGATATACATGTAGCTGTCACATGGTGACAACAATTGTACAATCTGACTGGGACTCAAGTGTGAGACTCTCAAAACACCATACTGCAGCTCTACTGACTAAACTCTAAACTATCTGGTCACTTACACATTTTCTTCACTTTTGAGTGAGCAGTTCTAAATTGTGACTTACTCCTCCAATTATTTTAAATTTCATTGAAGTATTTTAAATGTTACAGAGAACAATGAGGTCTATACCATCACAGTCCCATGTTGTGCACCAAATGTCACCGTGTGAGAAAAATTTGCTAAATCACTAAGACTCAAACCCTAGACCCTCTAAACTTCCTACCATGGCTTTAATGAATGAGCAGTCTGGCCACTTATATATTTTTTCCTGCAATTGTTGAATAGTTCTTAACTGGGACATATCAGTGAAATAAATTTTACTTGTTATGTAGCTGAATGAGTTATGTTATCAGTTGGTTATAGAATGATATTAGTTTATCACTTTAGCATTTTGTACAATGTTTGTAGTTTACAAGTGATGATGATATCCAGTATGACCAAGAGTTAACATTTGCTGATGAAATTGTCACAGTAGTGCCGAGTTTCAAACCTCTTGAACTTACATCAATGATGAGAGACCTTGACAGACACAAGGGGGCTGGAGCGGTTTGTATCAGTTTCCGAGTTATAGAGTTTGTTGTTTATTTTATCTATTTAAATGTCTTTAATACACTTTATTCATATTAGAAACACAGCCGAAGCTTGTGCCAATAAAATGTGCAGGAAATGGCACCAGCCTGCATAGACTTGTATGTGTGTATGTTTTCTTTTTTTTATTCTATGGAATGATTTAATTATAGACATGATAATTGGCTAGGATTTGAACCCTTGAAATGTCTGTTATTGGGATAATGCAAAACAATACAACATAAACCTTATTTTTCTACTACAAAATAATGTATATATACTACTGTACCATTGTATCAGCAATATTCATTTGATAATCATAATGTTAAAATGATTTAAAGTCACAGTTGGTGTAGATTTTTTTAAAATTTCCCCTTTTCCTCCAGGAAAGATATTATGTTGTATCATAAATTTGTTTTGAAGATTTTCACCAGATATATGGTTGTATACAAACTCCAGCTTGCAATATGATTCTCACTGATTGGTTTGCATAATATAATCTTACAACCTTTTATCTTAGGTCTGTCAAAAATCTTTAAAACTAAGATTGATATTAGTTGTTAAAACATCAAATTCTTAAGAAAGCTGAAACAACAGCTCTTGTTCATTTAAGGTTTACCAAAGAATATTTGGTTTATCCTTGATTAGTAATGACTTATCCCTTAAATACCATTCTCACCCTTACCAGCCTAACTTTCCCCTTATCCACTTCCCACACTCAGATTACCTCACTTACATATTCAAATTACCTCCCTTTATATACACAGTTTACCTCACTTATACTAAAATATTCTTCTGAGTTCATTTCAATCTCGACTATTATATTTATGTAATAGGGAGAGCTACTGAACTAACCTGTGCATCAGTACCATCATTGGTATCTGTCTTATTTTTTGTTTTTTCATTCCACCCCCTTCATTTCCTTTATTTGTGAAGTATTGCTTTCAAGCTTTGAATACTTTCTAGTGACAATCATTCCTACTTCCAAACAAATGGACATAACTATCATGGGTTTTGGGTTTTGACAAAATTATGCCCCATTTTCAGTTTAGAATATTTTGACTTCAGACTTTCACTTTTCCAGGCAAGTACTAGTATTTAAAATAGAAAGGTGCATTGTCTTAGGGACAGCTCTTGTTAGCCTGCAAAATTCTTAAATCCTTTTAAATGCACAGTGATATGATGTTTTTTTGTTTTTTTTTAAAAAGCAAAATTTCCCTTAAATTTTGTTTAAGAAAAACTTTGTGTGATTATTTCAGATGAGTTGGCTACTATTTGCTGTTAGATATACAGTAAGATATCTTTTTTTCTAACATGTCCTTTTATGATAAAATCTCTTTCAGATACAGGAAATTATACACATAGACAATGATCATGAAAATCAACAGTTTATGTTATTTCATTTAAAATAAGCATGTTAATATATTTATTCATATATATTTCAAAGCAAATGTAAAAAAAAAAAAAATCGTCATCTTGCCTGAAGTTTACCAGACACTTGTTATTAAAGGGACTTCACTGAGCTTTGATGACATGATAGTACTGGATTTATTGTGCAAAAGGCCACAAAAAATGAAAATCGCATAAACACAAACACTTTTAACTCAAATTGAGAAATTTAGAGTATATTTCATTATTATCTAATTCATGTTTTCCCATAAGTGCCTCAGTTGATATAATTATGTAAGATTTTCCAAATAATTTATATAATTATGCTTTTAAACATCAGTGGAGGCCCTTTAATATAAATATAGGCCTTAAAACAGAGTTGATTTTGATTGTAAGTTAATCAATATTTTCAGGTTGAATACTTCCAGGAAAGTAGAAGATATCTAGTATGTTTGTTTTTTTTTCTTTGATTTATATTCATGAGTGAAAGAAGATTTGAAAAAATGAGTATACATGTATATAGTCCTGCTAGTCTTGTTATACATGTACATGTATGATAGTTGCCCTGTTATATACACTGTATGTTACCGCTTTAGCTAGTTTTTAGCATTACTAATATATAAAGTATAAAGAGAGCTGTTAGGATATCTTGAAAATTGTCAGCAAGGTTGTTATGATGATTTTAGCTCAAGTTAGAAAATGGGTCATCTGGGATCAATTACTTCATCACAGAGCCCAAATATGGACAACCTTTTTAATACTCTACTAATATTTTCAGCCTAAATATCCTGGAATGATTATTTTGATGATTTCTAGCTCTAATTTGAAAAAGGGTAAACTGGTTTAAAAACAAGGTTACACTGTCCAAATATGGAAAAACCTTGTTAACACTAGAAAGGTAATATTTTCAGCGCAAATATCCTGGAAATTTGTCAGAAAGGTTGTTTTGATGATTTCCAGCTCATTTACAAGGTCAGTAGCAACCTTGGTTAAAGCAATCATACCCTTGTGAGCAATATAGAGCCATTATGGTCCTCTTGTTTAATTTCCACTTATTTTATGTAATATATCATATACCATTCATAGAGGCACCATTCTGAAACTGCAAAAATACAGGCCAACCACTAAAATTATGTAGACCTCATGATTTTATCACAGTTTGATATTCTTTCAAAAGATAAACATAAAGTCAATAATAGCTAGGTTTACATTCAAATGGAAGCTGACCTTGACCTTCAATAAGTATGTCAGAAACCAGGGTGAGATGAAAGTTTCTAGAACAATGTGTTCTGTAGTACAGTAATGTGTTTTACATTTAAAATAATCAGGAGCACTACTAGGCATACAATCAACTCAGTCAGAAGCTTCTGTTTCTTTATAAGCTTCTTGTCTGTCTTTACCTTTCACTGCTTAATAATATCTTTCTGTTTGCCTCTTTTCTATCTGTTTCATTTCAAAATGTAATTCTCCTACCCTTCCCCCCTCCCCCCTTCCCCCCCCCCCAAATATCTTATTCTCTAAAAGGTTTCTTATGTAATCTTTTTTTGTTTTTCTTTTAGCTTATTTTCTTTCTTTGCCGTGTCCGTCTTTTAACCATGCTCTGTAATGTTCCCTGTTTACACATTTACTTGATTATTCTAAATGTCCTACAATAATGACAGAAATTATCCTCGGATAACCATCTATCTTTGATGAGTTTTACAACATGTGCTTTGTTACCTTATATGTATTCAGAAAAAATTTATTGTGTGAAAAAAATGTCAGTATCAAATGTTAATAAAGATATCATTAATTATCAGATGAGTATAATAATTTGTTCAGAAATAGGAGCATTATCGGAATAAGAGGAAACCTCTCTACATTCTATTTTATACAGAAATAAAAAAAGTCTTGCTATCAATAGAACAATTTAGGTTCTTATAGTCTTTATATATGATGCAAAAGGTACAGAACCCTTTCTAAATTAATTGCAGATTTAACTGATTCTTTTTAAGTTAATGTAGCATATTTTATTATAGTCAATTTTCTCTTAAAATGAATGCTGTACTGTGTAGTACATTTGTATACATGCTAAGCTTTTATAAAGAGATAAATTGATGTGTTTTACATATAGGACATTGTCTTGCTTTTAATGTAAGCATTATTATAACTCTATGATTATATTTGTGTTCTTATATCTTTAGGCTGGTAGTCCTGATCCCTTACATGGCCTCAAGAGCTGGAAAACTGCCAACAAAGAATTTCTCAACTTTGCTGTGCACCATTTTGATGTATTCTTACCAAAAGATCATTCTTTTGACATTGGAAAAGTTTATTACATCGTAGAAGATGAACAGTCATTTTTTCAGACAATGGTATCAGATATTTCCAGCAATCGTTATTTTCCACCATCTGTCAAAACAGAGTATGTGACGTTACATAGGTTGCTGACAATATTTCATCCCAGGCCTTTCCTTCAGTCACGATTCAAACCTAGAGGTTCTGTAGCAACAGTTCGAGCCAAAAATGACAAATATATTGAAATAGTGTTCAGGTATAATTTAATGTATTAACACTTTTGTAAGCTTTTGATATTTAGTTTTTATCAAAATAAATTATTATATCTCATGGTTTATACGAGGGATGATCAAAAATTAACCGGACTTTGTAAATGATTCTTAACCTGGTAAATGAATTTACATAACAAAACACGGAAAATAAATCGGAATCTATCTTTTAAATGATACAAAAAATACTAACAAGAAAATTAATAAAGAAAAAGTTATGCTGTTATTGGCATGCATATGTTACATACGAAAAAATAACAGAATAATACAACTATGATCAAAATTGTCATTATTTTAAAATAAATAAAACGCATAGCTAATTTGAACAGTTAAATTGTTGACACAATTTCTCCATAAGACTACTGCGTAAAATAAGAAAATAATTGATACAACTGGAAACCAAGAATACAATAACTATTATCATTTTAAGATCCTCAGAGTTGTAGTTACTGTCGAACATCGTTGACAATGTCCGCAGTCAATCGACTGTCATTTTTCAACGTCTTGGAGATTGACGTCACAACGTCTTGGCGATTGACGTCACCAACGTCCTTGAAAATGTCTTTTTTCTGTCTCTCTCTTACCGGTACTTGTTTTCTATTTCTCTATTATCCTTTCTTAATCCTTTAAGCTAAAAAATTTGTTGTGGCTTTCTGAAACTTTTCCCTTGATAGCCATAATCTTTTTCTACGTTTTAAACAGTTTCTGGTCTTACATTTGACAAATTTTTCCTATTGATCAATTTTCGAGACATTCAGACGACATAGTTTTAACGCAAGTATTTCATTAACATGTGACGTTTGAATTGTGATTGTAAATATAAATATGGTTTAAATGAAGTCATTTTTACTGACAACGTCAAAGATATGGTACATGACGTTTTGGGTATTTTGAAATCTAAATGTGCTATATTGTAAAATACACGCAACATGAAGCACCTGATGTCAAGGCGAATTTACGCACTGCGCCGGGTGTGCGTTACCATGGTTTTTGAATTCGCTGTTACGGACAAGCTATTTGCGTTATCAGATTAGATATAGTATCAGTTTACAGGTATTGTTTTTCCGATTAAGTGTGATATATATCAATAAGTGATAGGATGAAAATTCTTCAATTGCCAGTCACAGTCCGGTTTATTTTTGATCATCCCTCGTAGTAATTGAATCGTTGCTCCTTCATCTAGATGTAATACCTTAAACCTTAACATATGAGTTGTATATATATCTTCAAATAAGTTCTTATCAAGCCAATTATTTTATAATTTACAAAAATATCAATACAAAGTTCATAATCTTGGCTAGTTACATAACAATGACTTTTATTTTTAGCTCTTCTGTTTTAAAGAAAAAGTTTAGCTATTATAATCACTGCATTGTTGTCAGCATTGTCGTTTTTGTCCTGCAAAAAATTTAATCAGAAAATAAATATTTGAGAAATGGCAACAAACTCCATAAGTTCATCAGCCGAATACTTTTAATCTACAATAATAAATACATCAAATGACGTTACATCTTAAAGAAATGCAGGAATACGAATTGTCATTGTTTATGCTGCAAAACACTATTATGATTTTTTTATACAGAAAATATAATAGTTAGGACATTTTGATCTCTGTTTTAAGAGTTACATATTCATAGGGTCTAGATCAATGTCACTGAGAAAAACGGCCTAAAATTATTTACCATATTATGTTGTATGTATTTACATTGTAAGAAAATTTACCTTTTGGTCAGGTCTGAAGTTATTTCACATGCTTGATTATTTAAAATTTTCAGGATCCATGCTGAATTTCAGCTGAACCAGCTCCCTAACTTCCCGTTCTGGTTCACACCGGCTCAGTTTACCGGAAAACTTATTCTCACACAAGATCTGAAACATATTGTACATTTTAATATGTATGTTCCCAACAATAAGAAGTTAAATGTTGGTAAGTGTTTTTATGTTTTCCTGTAACTGTTTCTGTAAATAGGGTGAAATTTCCATATTGTAGCATAAACTTTTGAATGAAACAGTTACTGTATAGACAACATGTAAAGAGTGAAACTATTAAATTCAATGTTGTCATTATTAGATTAATCATACATTGTGTACTCACTGCAATGAATTCATAAACAAGATTCTTGCATGTTAGATACCTGCCCGTTAGCGTTCACTCAGCAAGCTTTGATGCTGCCCAAAATGTAAGTTACTATCAAGCACTGTCATATCCTTCAAACCATCAGAAACTAACAGTTATGTAATGAAATTACTATTTAGGATGTTTTGTGTTATTGGTGAATAGGATCTATATCTTTCTTGCATTTGAATTTTTGTTGTATTTCACTCCCACTAGATGTATGTGAAATATCAGAAATATCTCACTCTTGCATGAGATATGTTTATTATGATGTAAAACAAGAAAAATATTATCTGTCATTGTATAATGTGTTATTTACAGATATGGAATGGCTGGAAGGAGGTAACAATATGGTTGTAGATATTGGCTATTTACCGGAGATGTCCCTGAAAATCACCGCTCCATCAGTACCAGGCAATAGTGTTGTTCTTGAGGAGATGATAAGTGAGAAAAAGTTTGATGTTGATGATATTTCATGGTCAGAGGAAATTTCAGAAGAAGAAGCATTGAGAAATCTTCAAAAGGAAATGTATCCATTTCAGAAAGTAAATCAGAAATCTTATTCTATAATTTTTCTCTGTCAATAAATTAATAGGCAGCTTCCATTCTACTTATCTTAGAATTATACATGCTTCAACTAATTTAAAACAAATTTTATTATGTATTGGGAAACTTTGAAAATTTTCCCAGAATAAAAATTGTTAGTTTTATTTTGATGTTATTTCACAGATAAGATAATATGGTGATCATCTAATGATCATCTAATAATATTGATAAATAATTTAAATTTATGAAAAAACAAACAAACAAAAAACAAGTCCTGTTAGATGGTGAGATGTGTGTTCATACAATCGCAACTACTCGGCCCTTTCCGTCAGACTTCGGATAAGGACCTCGAACACAATAGTATGAATACACAGAACGGATGCAGTATTCCGGTCTAACCTACGCTAAGAAATTAAACATGTAAACAAATAGTAATTTAATGCTGGGAGTTGTTGACACGTTTATTTCCAATATATATAGTAAAAGTCCACTTAAAATAAGTGAATTCATAGGTACAAAAGCAAACAATACATTATTTATATATTTACAAATAAGGCTGTAGAAACCGAAAGTACAAAAAACCAACCTGTTGACATTTAGTCGGATTTGTTTAAAATTGAACATCAGTGGGCATATTTAAATTACAAATTGTTGTCAGACTTATTTTCAAGCATAAGAGTACCGGAACAGACATAGATGTCAAATATATGCATTCGTTTTACATTATCTCTGTTTCTGTTTACATCTGTAAACCACGTGGTAGAACTACTTTCAATCCGTATTGTTTCCGAGGTTAATATTATAGATAATAGCCGAGGCAGTTCCGAATGGTGTTCATATAGTTATGCCTCATGGGAAATTCTTCATGTAAATTCTGGTGAACAATATAGGGCCATTATGGCTCTCTTTCATCGTGATCTTTTGCTTCATTTTGAACAGGAACAGGAACAAATCTTTCAGTCCTTTATATTGTATCTATAAATTTACTTCCTTCTTACAAATCATTAATTTAAATTTTCCTTTATAGCTCTCATCTGTTACAACAAAACATAATGTTAAACACACTACAACATTATTATACTAAAATATTGAAATAATTATTTTTTAGTGTACATGTATATGTACATACATTTAAGAAATAATATATCCCAAACTGTGATTTTATCGCTCAATAACATCACTGTTTGGAGTTCAGATGTGAGGAATTATATCACGAGGGCGTAGCCCGAGTGATATAATGATGCGCATCTGAACAATGCGTGGTTACGTCACATGCATAATGATTACGTCACATGTCTAAATATAGAACGTCAAACGGTGATTTATAGCATAATAACACACACTTTCGGTTCTTCTATGTTCAATGGGGAAAAATGTGGGTCGTGTTAGAACAGAAAATAACCTAGTGTATTGGTTATCATTATGACAGTGACATTATTTGTAATAAAGTTATTATTTCATCATTTTGTTCTAGGTACGATACTACAATTTTACAGAGTCTCTAGACATAGCAAATAAGGAGAACAAGATAATGCATCATATATTATTATGGGGTGCATTAGATGATCAGAGTTGCTGAGGTTCAGGGCGTACCCTCAGGGATGTTACCCTGGAGAGTGCGCCCATTATACAACTTCTGACAGAGAAATTTGTCAGTGGTTGGTCCCTGGTTGTAGATCTAGAGGTAAATACTAGTTATTCTGTTGTCCGACTAATCTAGTTCAGTTTTTGTTTTTTCATCTCCATCAAATCTAATAGTGTAGATGATAACTTGTGTTACGGTACACAAGTTATATATGTAAGCTATTTAATCAACTTGACCATCTGACATAGCTTGTTTGTCTTGGAGATGGATCTGCAGGTAACTTAATCTCGAATTTTGGCCATTTCTATTACAAGGATGAATTAATGGATTAAATTATCAACTTTCATGAAAAATTGAAGTCAACTTTATGACATCTTCATTATGAAAACTTGAGCTATTGAGCAATATTCTTAACATATCAACACTTCAGTTTAATAAAATATTTTTTATATTCAATTTCCTAGATTTCAGTTATCTATTATTTCATTGAGTTATTTATCTTCAGACATTGAAAGATGACTCGACCCAACCAGAGATAGCTAAGGTAGCCAGTCATTTCTTAGAGCATTACAGTTTCCCGGTGATGATGGTTGTAGCATATTCTAATGGCACTATAGCTCATAAAATCAATGCTAATCATTTCCTCGATACACAACCTAGTGTCGTAGAAGTTGGGTAAATATCAGATATAGAGTTAATTAGAAAATATGATTATAATCAAGTAATGATATTTCATTGAAGCCAAGTTTTGATATGGTAATAACAATTATTATGCTGGCCTGCGTGCAAACCCCATGTAAAACTATTCCAGTTTTAGTCTTGTAAGAGCTAAGAAATGTTTCTGTTTAAAACAGAGTTAGTACTTGAGTCTGCACTTTATCCACTCCCTCAGATGATGCTTACAAAAATGTCATAGCTATGATCTTCACTTTAACCTTTAGAGTAAAAAAAATAATTTATCATGAGGCTTTTCAATCATTTTACGTAACAATAAAGAAGTAGATTATTTTTGGCTATGAACACTTGATATCATAAGACATAAGGCTGGCTAGTTAGCATGGCATTTACAATATTAATAAATGGAATGAAAATTATTGACTGGCTTGTCGATACAGTGTAAAGCAAGCAAAGTAAAATTATAATACAACAGTTTATGTTTTAGGTAACTGAATATAAAATTTTGCAGTTAACACATTTTTTACCAAAAAATCAAAAGCCCAGTTTGTAATGTCTGTATTTCATGTACTGGTTTCCTAGCAGTTTCCGGCCACAAATCGCACTTTTTAACAAAGAAAATGAAAATCAGTCTACGGAGGGGTACAAAACTTTGACCGGACAAAGTTAGGTACCTGTCCAGCATTGCCATGTGTTTAATGTTGCACTTTCATTTTACTTTTAAATTTGAATATAGGCCTGAAATGTAACACCTTTTTTCACCTTTATTCAAAAATTCATAGCAGTTTTCCGGATCTTTTTATTTTGAATATAATTCAATACCATAAAGCAATGTTAAGATGGTTTTATCAGACAAACAGAACTTTCCAACCTTTTCCGTGTCGTCTGCAAAAATATTTTCCCAAGTATTGATTTACCTAAAATGGGGTCTTAGTTATTGCGCATGGATATTCAAACTAGAATTCCCCAGGTATTGCTTATTTTTGAAAGTCGCAAGTTCTCTTATGTAACTTTTAATAACAGGCAAAACTTCAAAACATATAAATTGTTGTACTATTTTAAATGCTGTTCTCCAGGAACGATGGTTAGGAAACTACCCGCCTATATATGACTGAAATACTGTTGAGAAAGGCGTAAAATGAAACAAACAAACAAACAAACAATAAATGCTGTTTAGCATAGAAAACAAATGTCTCTCTGATTGATGAAGTAATGTGGATGCCATGCCTACTGGTAAAAATAGACTGTACTGGACGAAAATGATAAACGGCCGAAAAACTGCTAGGGGACAGAAACTGCTAGGAAACCAGTATATAAGCTTGCTTGCAAGTGATTCAACTCATCTCTTGTTATACACTTTCAATGTCAACATATGTGTATTAAATAATTTTACAAACTCTGTGACCTGGCAATGAAATAGTGTAGTTACAAACATCAACATCATTTTGTTTCTAATTTTTATGTTGAAAGCAAAATGATTAAACTAACATGTCAGATATTTGAATGTTTTCTTATATCCAGGTTTACAGAGCCAAGTTCAGTACACTATATGAAGTTTTTGAAGGAAGGAATGAGCAAGATAGAACAAGGACTTGTAGAAGATCTCACAACTCTTACAGATAATGAACCTTTCCATCCTCATTAGACAGCTTACTAATTAGGCCTTAGTGTAATGTTTGTGATAAAATGTCTTCCAAATAGAGAATATAGTACATATATTATTTTATTATAATACAAATGAATTTTCTGGAATTCTGGTTGGCTTAAACAATTTGTATATGATGCTGAATCAAAGCATGTACAAATAAAGTGTTTTCTATATTGTAGACAGTAAACTAAGTGTATCCATAAAATTTATCATTATCTTTTGTTCATTAAGGCATATTTCTTGATTCAAACTTCATTACTTGAAAAAAAAGTTTAAAGTTACACCAGTATCATGACTTTATTATGATGAATTACTTTTATCTATGCCCACTCTTAAAGAAGAGGGGGTATATTGTTTTGCTTAAGTTATGTCAGTCAGTCTTGTCTGTCTGTCTGTCTGTAGATCACATCGTTTCTGCTGATTAACTTGAAAACTATTTATCACAAAATCTTCATATTTCACATATTGAATAGTCATATATAGTAGATGACCCCTATTGATTTTGGGGTCACTTCATCAAAGGTCAAGGTCACAGGCCTGAAATGTCAGAATGGTTCCCCTCATTATCTTGAAAACTATTTATCACAAAATCTTCATATTTCACAAATTGAATAGTCATATATAGTAGATGACCCCTATTGATTTTGGGATCACTAGTTCAAAGGTCAAGGTCTTTATATTTCACACTCTGATTGGTTATAACTAGTAGGTCATTATTTTTCTATTTTTCCATAACGGAACACTTCCATGTACCCATTTATGGCAAGCTTCTATCACAAAATTACCAAAAATATGAGTCAATGGCTAGAAAGAGGCATATGTGCCGTTCGACATTTCTTGTTGCACATTGAATTGATTGTTTATATGAAGTGATTTACTTGAATTTAAACTATGCATATGAAAAAACTATTTATTGTGTTACATATATCATGTTGCTATTTATTGTATTAAACAATTTATGTATTTTTGTTAGTTTAATAACTAAGTATTTTTTGTATGACAAAGATAGTGTTCATGAATACATTCCATTGTCAATGAGGAACTTTATACATAAAGAAACCTTACTATTGTAAGCTTCTAAAAATTATCAAAATTTTCTTTACTAGCTAGCTTTTGTTTACTTTATCCAACCAATATATGACCTGGTTAACCAGAGCTTTGTTTGTTTCTAACATCTGTGTAAACACAGAAACTACAAAGATTTTATGTTTTTATTATTTTTATGATGTTAAGCAATTTTGTAATATATAAACTACTGTATAATAATCCCTGTGTTGTAAGTGTAATCTCGTCAAGGGTTGTGTTAAATTTCACTACGCAGAGAAATATTTCAACTTTTTATTCCAGTCAGATATATCCTGTATAAAATCCTGTTAACTTTTCAACCCTATCTTAAAAACTGCTGACTATATAGAATTTTATATACTTTGATTTGTGTTGTTACTTTAGTTCCTACATCTATATTGTTATAGATATGTTGGTATAAACATTGTTGTAATGTTACACTAACTTTATATCAGAGAATGAAGACAGTGTTATAAAGTGATTACTTACTGAACACTGTCTGATGCTAACCTGATAACACAAAGTTAGTCTAACCTTTGTACATGTTTACTGACACATATACATTTTTAGCAATTTCAGAAATCCATTTTCTTTATTTTATAAAAAAAGAAGAAATTCTGCAAGAAAAGTTTATCTTCAGATTAGAGACTTGGTAAAGGAAAAATTTGTAGTTGTTATAACCTAACATTTTTAATGTACAATATGTTTATACAAATAAAATGTCTCATTATTATCCCCTGCCGAAAAGGCGGCGGGGGATATAGAAATAGTCTCCGTCTGTCCGTCCTTCCGACCGACATTTTTGTCCGGAGCATATCTCAAAAAGTATTTGAGGTATCAACTTGAAACTTCATAGGTGGATAGACCTCATTGAGGAGGAGTGCAGTGCACAAGAATGATAACTCTACCCTGCATAATTTTTGAGTTATTGCCCTTTGTTATTTTTTTCAAAATTAATTTTTGTCCAGAGCATATTTTTACTCACAAAGCCTTTCAGATATCATGAAACTTCATAGGTGCATAGATCTCACTCAAGAGGTGTGCAGTGCACAAGAATGATAACTCTACCTTTTATAATTTTTGAGTTATTGCCCTTTGTTATTTTTCATACTTAATTTTTCACCTGAGTGGAGCACAACTAAAAAGTGTTTGAGATATCAACATGAAATGTCATAGGTGGATAGATCTAATTGAGGAGGAATGCTGTGCGCAAGAATGATAATTCTCCCCTATATAATTTTTGAGTTATTGCCCTTTGTTTTTTTTATACTATTTTGTCTCAAAAAGTATTTGAGGTATCAACTTGAAACTTCATAGGTGGATGGATCTTGTTCAGGAGGAGTGCAGTGCACAAGAATGATAACTCTACCCTGCATAATTTTTGAGTTATTGCCCTTTGTTATTTTTCAAAATTTAATTTTTGTCCAGAGCATAACTCAAAAAGCCTTTGAGATATCAACATGAAACTTCATAGGTGCATAGATCTCACTCAGGTGTGCAGTGCACAAGAATGATAACTCTAGTTTTCATAATTTTTGAGTTATTGCCCTTTGTTTTTTTTTTCATACTATTTGTCCAGAGCTTATCTCAAAAAGTATTTGAGGTATCAACTTGAAACTTCATAGCTTGATAGATTTTACTGAGGAGGGGTGCAGCACACAAGAATGATAACCTACCCTGCATTATTTTCCAGTTATTGCCCTTTCTTATTTTCAGCCATCAGTATTCACATTGGTTTCAAATCTGTAATCACTTCAGCCATCAGTTTTCATTACCAAAAGACCTCTTAAAATGGAATTATTCTGCTCTACTACATATAAATTCTTCCAATGAGCAAACACATTCGGCGGGGGATGGCCATGTTGACATGGCTCTTGTTCATATAATGTTTGATTGATCTTGTACTTCATATTATCATCAATGTATTATACATGTATGTATTATGATCAAATGCTCTAGCAGTGTCTTATTATTATGTAAACAAAAACTTTACCAGTAATTTCTGTTCATTGAAAAAATGTTTAAGTAACATGCCAATCTCAGTGTAAATCTCGGTCAAAATAACTTTATATTTTCCATAATTGTTTGCAATTTTATATTTTGCTTCAAGAAATAATGACTGATGTGAACCACGGAAATTACTATATTTTTTTTGTTATTGATAGGTAATATTAACTTGATAGATTCGCGTGCATACACATCATACATTGATATAAGAGACAGTTGTTTTATCATAGTTACTTGCTATTATAAGTTATTGGTCTTTCACCATTAGTAAAGTCAACATTTTGAAATAGAAAATTCAGCTCACCTTGAAAACATTGTATAATTCATGTTTCTTTTCATAATCTTCAGATCTCTTGTAACACAACAAGACTTCTTTTTATTTACATGTACTAGTTTTGTACATTAATTGACTATTGTAGGGCTTGTCATTCATTTCACTTGTACATTCATTTTATAGTACATTTTAACTTAACATGTATATAAAACTGGTACTTTAGTTATACTTTATTTACAAAAGTTATAGATCTAACTATATTTTACAATAAAACTTAACATATAGAAACTACCATTGTTAAGCTCAGCATATAGTCATGCTTTATGATTACAAGTTGATCAAAGTTATTACTCGACCAAAAATTCTGTTTTACTCATGTGGCCCACATTTATGGTTCAGTTTTTGAAATTATTTTCACTGACAGAATGGTACATATTACATGTGTATTTGGCATTATTAATTAAAAGAGCTGTCATAGATTCAATGCAAACAAAATGTTGAAGTTATATTGATATAGGATGACAGATATCGACAAATACACCGATAAATCGATAATAATTTGCCTTTACTATCATACCTGTTCAGATAATTTCAATAAAATACATGTTTTCTTACAATTATGATGGGTCTTGTTAAGAAATGCCAATTGCTGGATTTTTTCCCGACCATTTTTGTCATCACTATGAAATATGTTCCTTACATAACGATGCCATAGTTTTAAACATGGACACCTATGTCTGTATATTTAAGTGAATTTTCATAATTTGTTGTTGTTTTATTAATAAGTCAATTTAATCTGTATTTAAATTTATTGACAGAAAAATATTGAAGATACTTTTGATATCATTTCTATCAATGACAGCTCTTTGAATTACGTACATGTTCATATCATTATGACTAGTGAAACAAAAAACAGAACAAATTATCATAGAATCTTCATAATAAATAACCAGCAAACAACATTTTTGTCAAGTTTAGAATTTTTGTATTACTGTAAAACGGTATAAGTTTTTGTCTGTGATATAATATATGTTGGTAGCTAGTGATTTGCTGAGAAATAAAAGTATGAAATATATCAGTCTTAAATATTTATATTATATTTGTAGTAAATGACTAAATTTAAAGTCATACAGTATGATTATTATATATAGTAGGACTGAATTGTCTAGAATCTTTTCATATAACTTGCATTACCTCCTACTTGATGTCCATTTTACTGGTCATTCCCGACCGTCCATCCACAAAGCTGGATTTGCGATGTCGGAAAAAGTACTGAAAATATTTTTGTGAAACTTTATATATAGATGGCAGTGTTGAAATTATGCACATCTTTTTCTTTTATTCCTATGTTGAAAACTTCGGTGGCTATGGCAACAAATAGACTGAAAATATGGCAAATTTGACACAAAATCTGGATCCAATGATAGCGCAAAAAGAACTGAAAATATTTTTATTAAACTTGAAATATGAGTAGATGGCAGTCTGGAGATTATGGTGCAGCATATTACTCATTAAAGTTTTACATGAAACATCCATATGTCAACCACTTAAGATATTTGCTTGTGTGATATATATGAAAACTTCCGTTTTCTTATTTTGATTATCCAGACTCTTGATTGGAGAAAAGTCAAGCCTGCTGTCGTTCAACAGTGTAGCTTTTGTTCATAGACTCATTTACATAGGTCATAATAGTGCCCAGGAGCATTATGATATATTTTATACTATTTATAATCTCATATAACCTTTATAACTTACACTACCTTCTCACAGCTATCAATAAACCAAAGTTATTAGACAAAAAATATTTGTGGAGTCCATAGCCGGATTGTTAAGGTCGTTGATTTTAAACCACTTACACCTTACTGCTGCAGTTTGATTCCTGTATCCAGCTAGCTTACAGAATGTCGTTGGTTTTACTCAGATTCCCGTTCAGAAAATTACCAAGGACATTCTTACCAATCCAAATTATTTTGCCATGAAATATCTATTAAAATCAGACTATTTTATATCATATATCCATGGAGTTCCATATGGAATTTGACCATTTTCTATAGTTATGCCTTCTGTATATATTTGCTATTGAAAGTCAATGTTGCAACCCGACAGGGACTTTGGATTCTTTCATGTGAGGAAGCTATCCAGCTAGCTTACGAAACGTTGTGGTTCTACTCTGGTGCCTGTTCGTGCCTGAAAAAAATGCACGGAGGGGCACCTGAGGTCTTCCTCCACCAGTAAAGCTGGAACGTCGCCAAATGACCTATACTATGTCGGTGTGACGTAAAACCCAAATCAAACAAACAAAACAATGGTTGCAACATAAAGTCTTTTACTACTATAAGAAGTCAATTTTTGCTATTGAATGTCTCTGGAAAGTAATGGTTTCTATGGGAGTCACGGGTTGCTTTGGAAAGTCACTGGTGTTATTTTAGATTTTTGAATTAAATTTTTACAATATAAAAAATCTATAACCCCCTGGGGTTGGGCCAATTTAGACTTTAATTTGAACCAACTTTATATAAGTCTACTAGACAATGTTTCGTGCCAAATATCAAAGCTTCAGCCTTTCCATGAACAGAAGACTTTTTTTACTACAATGTATAACCCAAGGGCTATAATGTGAATAATTTTTGTAGAAGTATCTAAAATCTAACCACTTAAAAGAGATGCACTGATGTATTCTGGATCATATAAGCTCACTCTGTGCTCAGGTGAGCTAAAAAGCACAACTCCGGTTTGAATTCATGTTTTTAATAATCTACTTCTTAAAGACAGCTAGAAGTAACAAAATTATCACATATTAAACACATAAAACACAGAAGATTATAATATTAGTTTTATCTGCATAAAAATTCTCACGATGTTTTAAATAATGCCAATTTAGACCTAATCATTTTCATGTTATATTTTACATAAAAAGTTGGATTTAAATTACAACTACTTATCTTCAAAAATTCTGCAAAATTTAAAATCTCTAAGCCATTTAATTTGCAGTGAATTAAAACACATCTTACACCTTGAGGTACTAAAATGTTTTGTTTTAATATCATTATTTCAAACATTTTACTCAAATATTCAAAAAGAAATAAATCTTGCAAATTCATTACTTCCTTATTTTATATATAACATTCTTTAACCCTTAACCTGCTGGTACCTTAGTAAAGTGATTATTTTTTTACCACCAGTCTAGAGCCAGGTCAGCCTGAATATATCCGTGCTGTCTGACCAGGCTCTATACTGTTGGCTGACTAACTTAATACCCCTAAAATTGATAATGAACAGTTAAAAGAAATGGATGTTGGACAAGTCTATTTAAGAAATTGAGCAGGTTAAGGGTTGAAAAGAAAATGGTACAACAGTGACTAATTTAACACTTTATAGAGAAATGATCGGACAAAAGATATCTAGATAAAAATTTCACTTTCACTCTATTCATCATGTACACAAATGTCATACAATAAAAGGAAGCCTTTCACATTGTGGAAAACAAAGAAAAATACATTAAATAAAGTCAAAAGCTTATAAAATGGATTTCAACAATGCTAAAATAAACTGACACTAGGACATATTTTAATTCATTGGCCATTTTGAGAAACAGAAAGGACCAAGTTTGTTTGTTCACAACAGTTATTTTCAGGGATTTCAAAATCATCATGTAAAGATGGACTGAACAATTATGCATCGCAAATTTCAGAAAATTATCATCTTAAAATGAATGAATAAAAATAATGATGTATGACTTACTCAGTTAGTGAACACAAATCTATTTTCTTGAAAGAAAAGGCATACATGCCATATTTCCAGCCAAACAGATAGGGAGAAACTGTGGTAAGTTTGATCCCCTTGCTAGAGATATGGCATTTATGGGAAAAAATACCATTAGTGAAATACAGAAATAGAAACTAAATCAAAATATAGTAAACAGTATAAAAAAATCAGTACAAAGCACCTTAATTAAACCATAAATGGCTACAACTTAAATATAAAACCAAAACAAAATATATATTGCACTGTGTGAGACATTATTTAAAATTATGATACATTACTGTATATGGAATTCATCATTAAAATGGTAACAAGAGAGCCATTATGGCCCTATATTGCTCAACATTACTAGACAAAAGTAAGAATTTCTACAAGTAAAGGTAGGTCATCGGGTCTCCATGCGATGTAGTTTCTGTAACAAGATTTAAATGTATTTTCCTATCACAGCCTTAGTCTTTGTGCAAATAAGAGGCCCATAGAATGAGGCTAACTCTTGACTTCTATGGCCTGATTTACATAACTTTTGTAGGAAACCAAAGATGAAGGTTTTTCTTTTTTTTTTTAAGATTTCATTTTTAAAAACAATTTTCAGCTCCTGTATCCTACTTTAGCATTATTAGACTGGTAACATTTATAGAGGATAAATGGTGATGAACAATGTGTTGCCTGTAGACACATGACAGACATCATGTGATCACAATATTTAGTTTCTAAGAACATAAAGCTTGGGTGAGCTAAACTGCATGTAAGTTTCGACTTGCCTGGTTGTAAACTGTTGGAATAGTTATCAATGAAGCTAGTATATGAGTTCATTATATCAGCAATTGTAATGATAATTAAAGTGGTATACAATTTTGATTATTAGTGCTCAGAACTTTTAGAGCTCTGGGAAACAGAAAATGAAAACAAGTTTATATTTCTTTTTCATTATAGCAGTACATAATGTTGTAAATAAACTGGTATCAGACTTTCAGAAATGATTGATATACATCAAGTAACATGTGTTGTTTAAACAATAGGTCAGACAGAGAAGTGCTCTATCATTATTGTAAAATTGAACATGAACATACAAAATATACACGGAGCACCATCTGAAAATAAACACCTTGCATGACACATTGTTATGTTCAAAATACTGATCAGACTTGGCAAACTAATAAAAAAATACTACACAAAAACAATAGCACACTTCACTGACTCAGCAAGATACAATGAATTAAATTCTATTTAAAGATGTTTTTTAGGAGTTTTCATAGACTATATGTCTATACAAAAGCTCCCGAAAACGTCCTATAAACTTAAACTATCTCAAGAAAATGTTATAACACATACCATCTTTCATTAAAATTGTAGAAATTTAAACAGATTCCATTACATCTGTTAGTTAAAATATGTGAAGAATGATAAATAAAATACATTAAATAAGGAAATCCTCAATAAACAAATATATTATATTCCAATATATAATATAACCATGTTCCTACATGCAGACATTTTAATTTTCTTAATAAAACAAAACAGGTTGGAAATTAAAAGTTCTGTTGAGGAAAAACAAAACGACTTCAGTTTGGCAAGAACCATATGTTTCACTGCATATAAAATAAGTTTTTTGTAGAGATGATGAATATAGTGTTACCTGCCATTAACTTTGATGAACACAATTTAATCCATTATTCTGATAAATTAAAATGCAATAAAATTAAACAAGCATAAAATATTTTCACATAAAAATTGGATTAACTGGACAATGGTAATTTACAATCTGTACAATAAAATCAACAAACAAATTGGAATTAGCTCATTGTTTTTGTATATTGCTTTGAAAGAAAATAAACATGTAAAACTAAACAAAAAAACTTCAATGTATCAGTGTTCAACAGGTAAAAATAATGTATGTGAATTTGCTTCCAAACAAACAACAGTTCAACAGCTGCTGTACTAATAAATTATGATTATATACATCTATATAATAGGACTAATTATTGTATTTCAAAAAGTAAAAATTAAGAAAATCTTATATAAACTGACTTAATTGCATTCTGACAAGTTTCAAACAAGAAAGTCATGTACTGCAACAACTCTTTTTCACAGTACGATTCCATAATTTTAACTTGAACCTATCTAGTTATGTCAGCATATCCAACATTTTAGACTTTATTTTTTACCTATTCTGCTACAATTACAACAAGAGCTGTCTGTAGGACAGCATGCTCGACTATTCTAAGTGCTTGATAGTAAAAGAGCCTTGATATTGTAAATTTTTTTAAGTTCACAAAAGGGCTAATTTTTTTTATAAATTCATGTTATAGGCCTTAGAGAGAGTCTAATTATACAGAATTGGCTTGACTATTCGGAAGGTAATGTCACAAGGGTTTTTTTATTGAGTATAATAATACTAATTACCTATGAATACATAAATTTGACAGAAAAGGTACAAAGGCTTGTTATTAAGATGTTTTATCAAGTAAATCACTACTTTATTATTATGAATGCATAAAATTGTCCAAAAAAAGGCACAAACCCTTCAGTAGTTATTGAGATAACAGCTTACAAGCAAAACTTTACCATGAATTTCTAAGTTGAAAAAGGGGAGAAAAATCAGCCTAAATGCAAGATAGAATTATGGATCTTTGTCAGTGACCTACAATTATGACCCTAAATGCATATGTGAAGTTTTAAATAAATATCTTTAATAGTTATTGAGATATGTAAAACTTGCATGTAAACATTAACCAAGAGACTAAGTAGAAAAGGGGATATGAATCAGCCTTAGTGCAAGATAGAGTTATGGAACTTGGTCAGTGACATACAATTAATTTTTGACCCTCCAATTATGACCCTAAGTGCATGTGTAAAGTTTCAAGTAAATATCTTTGAAGACCGTTAACCTTTAACCAAAATTTCTAAGTTTTAAAGGGGTAAATAATTCTGCAAATATTGCAGACAGAGTTATGCAATTTTGCAAAGTGATGTACATTGTTACTATAAATAAGTATTTTAAATTTCAATTGATTATCTCAAGCAATAATTGAGATATTTGACTTTACAAAAAACTTTAACCAAAATTTCTAAGTTCCAAAGGGGCATAATTCTGTCAATATGGTAGGCAGAGTTATCCAACTTGTCAATCTGATGTACATTGTTACTATAAATAAGTATTGTAAGTTTCAATTGAATATCTCAAGCAATAATTGAGATATTTGACTTTACAAAAAACTTTAACCAAAATTTCTAAGTTAAAAAGGGGCATTATTCTGTCAATATTGTAGGCAGAGTTATCCAACTTGTCAATCTGATGTACCTTGTTACTATAAATAAGTATTGTAAGTTTCAATTGAATATCTCAAGTAATAATTGAGATATTTGACTTTACAAAAAACTTTAACCAACGCAGACGCCGACGCCGGGGCGACTACAATAGCTCTCATATTCTTCGAATAGTCGAGCTAAAAAACTGACTTAAGGATAAATTGTTACACTTGATGTAATCAACATAAATCACATTCAAAGTTTTATTAACTTGTACATTTCTTATTATTTCAGGCCAAATTATGACTAAAAATATTTCTTTTACCATAGCAACCAGAATTCTGATCAGAAATAAAAAATATGACATCCATAATTTCCATATTGTTTACATATACAAGTTGTATAATCTTGATCGTATCCAACAGATTTCTGACAGACAGACAGACAAACAATGAACCTACATAAACCCTAGGTATAAATACATATAATCATGACAATAATAATACAAACCCATAAAACATTATTCTTTTATATAATATTAGCAATATTTTAAATATACAAACAATAACAAGAGAGCCAAATTTACTGTGTATGTCCAGTAACTTAGGATTGTGCAAAAAATGCAGGACTTGTGCAAAAGTAGCACATTCCTTTCAGAAATGAGCAACACAGAAATTAAAGGGACCAATATTTATATTGCACTTCAAATTGAAAGAAATTAATAAGCGCATATGCTTGCAGAGACATTATGTTTAAACCTCATCAATATATTTTAATGAAAGTGTTTAATTTTCAAGATTATTCATGAGAATGTCTACCTTACTTTTGTTTTGATGGCAACTTTTGAGTTTTGTTGATATCTTTAAATACAATAACGTAAATATTACATAACAATTTTTTATATTCGGTGTACATGTACCTGAGACATTTGTCAAACTACTCATGTCATATTACACTTAAATAAGCACATAACATGAGTCTGACCATTTTATGAGGTAACGCCAAATTTATGTATGATGCACCAAACAGCAACACTGGTTACCTCATAAGAAGTAGATGATTCTTATTTTTCCGTAATACAACACTAGTAGTTTGGCAAATGTCTAAGGTATACATAATATGATTTAAATTAAGTTTCAAACGCTTTAATGTACTGATTTATTTTGATGAAACACAAATGTTGCCTTCAAAATGGTAGTCAAGCCGTCATTCTCACAAATGATCTAAAAAGAAAAAACATATTTCTGAAAAAATTTGTAATCTTGGTAAAAGTATTATGTCATAGCACCAGCCCACCTATTTTTTTTTTTTAATTTGTTTTCTGATATTTTGGTCCGTTTACTTACCATGTTACTCATTTTGGCCATAGTGTTGCACAGATTTGGTGTAAGTTTTGCTTTATTTGCACATTCCTGCATTACTGGATATACACGGTGATGATGACCCAGAATCTCTCACCTGAGATACAATGCTTTTACAAAGGTTTACAATTTTTATTTTTCAATTTTGTGTAGGTTTTGTAGAGGACCACAAGGTGATTCTATATGCCAACATAAAAAAATTCTGGGCACTGTACTGTCAGAGAAGAGATTTTAACGGATTTCATTTTCAAAGTCTATTTTTACAACTTTTGTAAAGGATCACCTAAGGATCATTCCTCTAAAGTTTGGTCAAAATCTATCGAGTGGTTTGTGAAATGTTGCTAATGTGGATAATGATGACCGACAAGCCACAGACACACTGCCACCACAGAAGCTCATCTCTGAGCACTTTGTGTTCAGGAGAGATAATTAAAACAATGTTGTATTAATATAGTGTGAGCAATGTTTATAAACACAATTTTGACATGAGACAATTAATATCAACAAGACATATTATCATGCAAAAAATCCATAAATAACTATTTTAGTGTTGTTTTTTTTCATGCATCATCATAGGTAGATGATATTTTTTTACAATTTGAAAGGTAATGAATAATTTATCAATGACATTTGTTTCATTAGAAAAACATACATTATATAAGATATATTTTCAAGCTTGAATAAATGATTTGTAAACATTTTGCCTACAATGTTTAAATATCAGACAAAAGCAAGCAGTTATTTGTACTTTTCTGACTACCGGTATCATATCTTATCCAATACCTCACATTGTATTCAGATCTGATATAACATATCAAACTAGAACTATCGCTGAATGCGATTCATACCCCCACCAATGTCCTTGACAGAAGACGACTTAGAAAGGTGGTTAAGGGAGTAACTTTAGTGGCACAAATACATATTCATAAAAAGAAATTATCTCTGGTGGAAAAAAAGACAAATTGTACAGGTAATAGTATAAATATATATTGTCAAATCATGTTGGAAACAGTTACAAATAACCTTTCATTTTCCCAATGTCCTAAAACAAACAAAAGCAGTGAAGTTAAGAAAATAGCATAATTATGTCAAAATGTAATTAAGAGTGGAAAAACTTTGCTTACTTGTGACCCTATAATTCACTGGAATTGTAGAATTTTCGTCGTCTGAGCATGCTTGTTACCATTCATATACTGGTTTAAGAAATATAATAGTAAATAAATTTAAAGACATAAAAATGGACTTAACTTTGTCAAAATACAATACAAAGTTATCCCCCTCCCACTTTTTTTAGTTATGAAACTTGACCAGCATATCTTACTTGTGACACTTCGCATATATTTGAAGTTTCAAATGATTAGAAATATTCAAGTACATGTAAAAATTTCTGAACATTTTCTAAGTCAATTTTTAACCTTCAAGTGTGGCCTTGACCTAAAGCTGGCACAAGGGTAAGATGGGTTCTGCACATTACCCAGTTAAGGTAAACATTTGAGTCAAGTTTGAAGAAAATCCTTCCATAAGTATAGGATTTATAGAGTGGACACAACATATTGTCTAGTATTGATTGTAAGTAAATTTAAAGACTTAAAAAGTGGCATAATTTTGTCAAAATGCAGAAACAAAACATAGAGATATCATTCTTTTATTTTATTTGACTTAAGGTATGCACATGCCTTTGTAAAAATCAGTTACTGCCTCGTTCAAACCTAATATGTTTATTTCAACATTTCGTTATCTCAATATTTTTTTGGACGGTCCCGATGACTTCCAGATAACGAGAGTCGACTGTATTCAAATATTGAATAACATCTGATACAAACAAATGCTAGAATCAATTCTAAATAATATTCTAGCATAACAAAATGAAAACAATAATAAATATATTAACAATTTTGATGTTTGTATTACAATCTAGCCGCCATTAAAATATGATACTAACAACATTACAATCCCCACATACATGTATAACCCATTACTTGCTGCAGTAATGAGACAATCCAGTCTACAAATATGTGCAGTTTGACCAGGAACTATAGTGTTGACTGAAAAACTTGATAGCTGGACAAGTCATACTTCTTATTCAGCAGGTTGTTGGTTTAAATACATTATTTGTTTTAGGTAAAACCTTTCAATAGTGAGCTTATCCTGTTTCTAACCATACATTTTTTCAATTTTAAAAAGGTAAAATTTAGCAGTATCAGTATAGAGTAAGTATAAAAGAGTGCAGACTAGATTAACTTAATACCATACCTGGCAGCATTCATGGTATTATATTTACCTAACACTCTCTAAAGCAACTATATTATATTTTCATTATTTTGTACACATATGTTAGTAGTCGTGAAGACAATAACTATTGAATTATAACATAGCTCCGTAATAAAGTAACTTTGCACATTAATCATTACACTGGATGTTATATAAAGATACAGTACAACCTCGACACTGCAACAACTTTTTGGAGGCAGACATTTTGCTTGTTGCCAAGAGGGGTTAATATATGGTGAAGTCCTCCTTTAGTTGCAAAGAGGTAATTGATCTACAGAGGTCTATTATGCAGAAGTTGCACTGTATATAATATTGATGGAGACAGTAAAACAAGCTATATACATGTACTGATATTGCCCTATATATAGATTTTATAACCCTGTAACAAGCAAGTCAGTACAGATGTCTTGGTGGGTATTCAAATTTCCATAATTTTGAAGTGTCAGCTGCACCTATATTATAACATGTGTGTCTCCTGTATTACAATATATAAAGAACATGAGATTCAAATTGTACTCCATTACTAGCACAGATAGCTTCATCTTTTGGCAGGATATAAGAATGAGAAATCTTTATCTCAAGCTCATCAAATGTTTTTGTTGTGCTGGCATTTTCCTGAATCCAATGTAGTTGCGTGTATTCAAACACATGTCATATCTTCAAGCCATTACCTTATAAAATAACCAATTCAAAACATATTCTTTAAACTGTTTCAAAGTTTATCTGGAAGATTTAGAATAGCTAATTTTAAAAATTCTTAAAATATGATCCTAAAATTAAACAACACAAATTGTTTTACACAACACTGCTAAATGCTAAAATATGATTGGATGAGAGATAATCACATGACCTACACACTGACCAATCATCATACATCTGTCTCTGGTTTCATGGCAAGCTTTGCTTCTGTTCTTACCATGTCAGCTACCTCTAATTCCTGAAAATAAACAAACTTCATTTTTACCATGTCCTTCTGATAAAATACAATGATTGTCATTGGATCTGCTTTGATGTTATTTTAACTTCAAGTATTTCAAATAGCTGTTTCACTGAATCATATAATTTATATTCTGTAACACATTTACAGCTACAATGTAACAAGAATGGTCTGTACAACAAAGAAAACAGCACAACATCAATATAAAAAACAGCAATAACTTCAGCTTTACATGAAAATTATTTATTATTGTTATATTGCAAACATAAAATGTGTTTGTTGCATTAAACAATGCCTATCAATGCAACTATCTTGTTATCTTTCTTACTAAGTCTAAAACCCACAACTGAGTAAAGATACAATAACTAGAAATGGGTCCATAAGACATGGATGCCCCTCCCCCTCTCCACTGTTATTGTCAGTCTACAGACTTACATTTCTGTAACAAGTTTCATGAGTCTAGAATTAATTAATCCACACATGAACAAAACTACAGGTGCACAACATCACATGCTGATCACCTTTCCTGTAAAGTTTGTTGACTCTTGCTCAAAAACTTTTAGTGCAAAATGTGACACAACATGAGAAAGCATGAACAAACATGCCACCATATTGGGATAAAGCGCCATCTGTATTGTTATTTTCTTTTGTTTAATAGAGGGCTATTTGCCCCTTCCTCTATTGTTACAGAATGAAGTCCATTGTTTCAATATGTTCTGTTTACAATTAGATGACACACACACACAGACAGACAGACAAGGGCAAATCCAAATGCCAACCCACAGGAACATTCAAATCAATTCAGGCATGAATTGTTCCCTTTGTAGAACCATTGGCACTTATATACAAGATTCAATAGATAAATCAGTGAGTTTGTTTTGTAAATAAACATTAAAATCCTTGAGTATTCAGAACAACATTATTCTGTCAAACATTTGAGGCATTAAATATTGATATAGATGTTTTTACCTTAGAAGTTTCCTTGGCATATTTATCTAGCTGTTCCTGGTGAAGTTTCTTCAGTTGTTCTACCTGTCTGTAGTGTTTCATTGTTAACCTCTTCCTCTCCTCGATAAACTTCTTCATATTGTTCTCATTTATCTCACGAAAACGCCTACAATGTTAAAATGTTTCAAATTCATTCAAACAAACCAGGGACATAATGTTCCTGTCTCAACTTTGTAGCAATCTATCATAAGAAGTTCCCATTAATTCATGCTAACAATTGTGGATAAAATGTGCATAAAGAGACATTTTACTTTTACTGATGACAAATTAATGAAACAAAACATTGGTGCATCTCTATGAGCAAGAAAGCTGGTAAACAGTTGATTAACATGAAATAGTTCAATGTCTATCACAGGGTCTGAACCAACAAAAGTAATCAAATGTTGATAGGTTTAAACAATGCATTATTCATATCTGAAACTGATTTGATGGCTTCTTTTTATAATTAAGAATAAAGAAATATACTCAAAATGAAATTGAAAATCTATATTAAGTGCAATTCTTAGAGTGATTCTAGTTTAAGGGTTCAAACATTTTTTCAATTCTCATTCATACTATAATTCTAGTAAAGCAGAGTGAGTGAATGTTCTGGAATCTTGCACACAAGTTATTGGTACAGACCAACATCAAATGAGATAAAAAATCTTGAAAAATAATTTAATTAGATAATTGTTTAAATATAGATATTTTACCTTTCTCTTTCTGCTTTGTTCTTTATAGATTTATCACTCATAACAGATTTACTCGATTCTACTGACTGCTTTGCCTGAAGTGCTTTCTGTTCTTTATTGTCCCTAAAATAAATATACTAATACTTGTGTCATCTGCTATAAATTGTTGAAAATATCTGTTTTAATGTAGTTTTAACTTATTCCTATTTTCTAAATTCATCATAGCACTGACATGCTTTAACTAGGTTGCTGATTGGCCATTTTACGAAGGATATACATGTATTTGACCTAAATACACTTTTACTGTTTCCGTATTTAGAACTGATCATTATTGATTTTTATCAAAGATGAACATTTAAAGAAAGGTTATCTGGTTTGACTACATAGCTGTGCACGCTGCCCAGGTTCTATAAATGCACTGGGGATCTTTCACATTATCGTACAAAATGTGATGTTTTTCGCTGTAACTTTTCTTAACAACCATGAAAACAATTGCATTTTACACAGGCTGGATGACCTTTGAATCAAAACAAAAATAAAGTGACTATTTGTCATGAATAAATTTTGTCTGGTAAATTGATTGTCCTGTAAGTATGGAGAATCCAAGTAGACACCTTCTGTTCTATCAGGCTAAAATAATTGTTAACCATTTTATGTATGGGTATCTTGCAAAGTTCAAGAAAACATGTAATTCTTTTAAAACTAAAAATACAATATATGTATTTAAATATTTCAACTGACCTCTCTTGTCTGACTTCTAATTCTTTGAGTTGACCAGTGTGAGCTTCATGTAGCAGTTTCCGTAAACATTCATTCTGCTGTACGATATGTTCTTTTTTTAAATCATGTTCCTCGTTCAGTTGTCTCAATACCATATCGGACCATTCTCTAGTCTGATCTACCACTAGACGATGTACGTTCTCTTTATGATCATTATTTAACGACATCACCTTACCCTGGTTACTGGCCTTGTTCTCATTACTGTGAATAATAAGAACATGGATAAGATTATATATGTCCTCATGTACAAATTGAATCATGCAATAAAATCTGTTTTCCACTTACTGCCTTCATGTGACTATGCTTAAAAGTTTTGTTTACATATAAATATCTTAAAACATTATTCTGATGTTCTAATTAAATGACCTTTTTCCCAAGGTTTTATATGACCCATTTTTTCCCAATGTTTTATATGATCCATTTTTTCCCAATGTTTACATAACTATTTTTTCATCAATGTTTAACAACCCATTTTTCTTAATGTTTAAATATATCTATCTATCTTGGAAACATGATTTTTGCCTCTAATTCTAAATATATTGGTGAATATTCACACATCAAATGTGTCATTTTTAAATCACATTTACTAAACAATTTACAGAGAAACATTGCATTTGAGAAACAGCCATTTCTGGACAATGCTTGAACGTAAACAAATTTAGAAACATGTACACAATTTTCAGACTAACATTTTTTAAAGATAATTTCTCCATAGGTAAAATTTGCAGTTTGGTTTCCCAAGCTACAGATCAAAATATCAAAATGACCCTTACATATTATAACAGGCATATGTAGCATAAGCTTAAATGAAGACATAATATATTTCTAGATAGTGTAACAAAAATAAAATAGAGAAAATAGGAATCCCTAAAGAAAGTCTAAAATGGTAAAATTGAAAATGTTGAAGGCTTGGTTTAATTGAGCCTGTTCATGGACGGTACTGTCAAGTGCAAACTACCAGCCACACCCCTTACACCAGCTTAAGCAAAGTTCAACATTTAAACATGAAAATGGTGAAATTTTGAATTTAGAAACATCTGCAGATGTTTTCATACAGAAGTTATCATGGAACCTTCAATGTGACACAGTGGTGTCACTCCATGAAAAGCGGCGTATGGTCTCCAAGTAAAAGAAAGAGCGTGCCCTTAACAAGAAAACAATGGACAGAACTAAACAAAATGGAAATTTGAAAGGAAATCAGAGGTTAAGAAGCCTGCATATCACAGATAAGACGTCAAAAGACAAATTAAATACATACAAATTTTACATACCCTTTCTTTTTGATCATTTTTTCCACTTGCTTTTCTGTTGCTATTTTTTCCTTGTCATGACATGCCACAAGTTTATCAACCACTAAACAATGTTGCCTTTGCATGTTGGATCGTTCCTTCTGCTGCTTCTTTTTTAAACACTCTAAATCTTTACTTTGTTTCCTTAACAACTTTTGAAACACTTTGTCTAATTTTAAACTATCACGGTTTATTGCTTCAAATATCAGCTCCTCTGTTAAAATACAAAACAATGTATAAAGACATGTATTGAGTAATCAGTTCACAAATAAGAAAATCAGATCAACATTTACAGTCGGCATCGTGCTTGCGTCCAACTTTACTAAGCGACTCTTTTATTAAGCAACCGCATATAATCCCGCCGGATGATTTTTACTATGTAAGTTCATTCCATTAAAGGGACTCCACTGAGGTTTTTTGACATGATGGGACTGAAAATATTTTTTCCAGATAATTGTACCATTTGATGTAGGTTTAGACCACTAATCTTTGTGCAAAATTTCAGATCATTCGCGCACACTGTTTTTCCAGAATAGTTAAAACTGACCCAAACTGAAAAGCGTTAAAACGCTTTTCACTCAAATTAGGCTAAGAAAAGCATAAAAATACGATTTTCAATTTATTTAAAAGTATATTTCTTAACTATCTTTGTGCATATATTACTGTTTAAAGTGCCCCAGCTCATTTATGTAAGAAATTCAAATGTTATGTTTTTAGACTTTTAAACCCTTTAAACAACAGTTTTATATCACAGCCAGCGTCCACTAAATGTCAGCCCAAATATACGAAATTAAGTGTTTAAGTATCTATTAAACGGCCGTGACAAACAATCGTCGTTCAAAAACGAATTAATTTACAATTGCAATCGTTTCAAAATCGGATAAAATCGCTTAAAACGAAAGAAATATTTTCCCGATCACAATATTTACTTAGCCATATTTTGTCAGAGCAATAAAAAATGACCCTCGGACAAAAAAAGCAAAATAAAAAAATAGATCTCTAAAAAACTAACTGAATTTGAATCTGGTGGTGGAAAAAACTAATTGTTAAAAAAAAAAAAATATTTGGAGCTTTGGGCTATGAGACTGTAATACATACATAATATTGTACAGTTTTTGTTATTGTAAAGGATGATATTATATCTATGACTTGTAGTATAAAAAAGTCTCAAATTTTCCAGAATTCTATTGAGAGACCACTTTATTAAGGACCAATTTTTGGCAGTCCCTTGAGTGGTCTCTTAATACAATGTCGACTGTATTTAACTAGAAGTAAAAAAAAAACTGACAACTTTTCTGATCTTAATAACCGCAAATCAACACGAGATGACAATTAAAATGTGTCACAGTTACTTGAACCACTCTGTATGAAATTAATTATATCTTCTATTTGTTTCATTTGAGTTCCAAATATTTCATATCAAGCCCTTGGACTTGCATCTTTGCATTTTATCAACATTATTAGATTGTATATTTGTTTGACTACAATATTTTCTGGTCCAACAATTATTGTAGTTAAAGAAAGTGGAGGTCTTCTTGGCTAAGAAGTTATAATTGTTACTGTCAAGGAGTTATTTCCTAGCAAAACTCATGTAATTTCTTTTCTGTGAGGATAGAATATTTATGTTGTACCAACACAGTAGAGGTCATATGGCAATTTTCCTGCTTTACTGTTGAAGAAAGACCAGACACACCTGAGTAACAACACTATGTAAGCTAGCTGGATAGCTTTCTCATATGAAGGAATCCAAAGACCCCAGCAGGACTAGAACAAACAGTGGTGTGAGGAAAGTGGCTTAAAGTAAATAACTTAACCACTTGGCCACAGAGGCCCCTTTGACATAACTTAAAACCGAACAAAAAGTATCTATTTGTACTTATATACCTTCCTTCTTTGAGATCTTGGTTCCATCTGTACTATTCTGAGCTGTTGCTGGCAGTTTACCATTTCCTGCTGTAGAGTGACGTTTAGATACTATAGGAATGTCACCAATATCCTTCTCATCAATCCCCATCTTCATGATCTGATTGGTCAATGGTAGCTGCGGCTTGAATAATGAAGACACAATATCTGAAACAGAGTTTTTATAATTATGAACTTTTTATCCTGCATTCACCCCTCCATCTAAAAGAAACTGCACAATAGTTTGAAATGTCGGACCATGTCCATTTATTCTGTATCATAAGAAGTGATTTGTTAAAACTTGACATTTCTTAATTTATGCTGATAATTATTAATTTTATTATGATATGGTTTAAATCTTCCAAGTTTCACATAATATTTATACTCTGCATTAGGTTGTGATATAAAAAGATTCTAGGGTCAAGTCAAATTCTCATTGGTCTTTGAAATGGATTTTTAGGGTCCTAGTTTGAAAACAAGATTGCATTTGAGAAAAATGCTATGCCACCGCATGGTTCAAATTTCATAGCTGTACATCAAAGGACAAGAAAGTAGGTCACATCATCAAAATCTAGGTCAAAGTTCAATTTAACAACTAAAATTGTGCACATGGTCAAAATGTCATTGCTGTACATCAAAGGACAAGAAAGTAGGTCACTGTCCCCTTGGGCAAGGCATAATTTTGACCCAAGGGTTTAATAACAATCTTGATACAGGTCCACCAAACAACATTTCAAATCAAATATCAAAGCTATAGCTTTCTCCCATTCAGAAAACATTTGTTTTATTTTCTGGTTTTACTACGTGTACACAATGAGAATCACTGCCCCCGGGCAGGGCCAATTTTTGACATTTAAACAACTTTGGTAGAGGACCTATAGATGATATTATATATCAAACATTTAAGCTCTATGCCTTGAACCTTCAGACAAATTTTTTTTTTTCACTATATGTACATAATGAAAATCAATGACCCCCGGGGCTGAATCAATTTTGACCCCAGGGCTATAATTTGGACAATCTTGCTAGAGGTTCACTACACAATGTTTCATGCAAAATATCTTATCTTCTATCCTTTGTAAATTTAGAGAAGATGATTTTTTAAGTTTTAACTATATACATATAAGATAAACCTATGGCTCCCAGGGGCGGGGCTAATTTTGACACAAGAGGCAAAATTTGAACAACTTTGGTAGAGTACCTTTAGATGATGTTATTTAACAAATATTAAAGCTCTAAGCCTTGTACCTTCAGACAATAAGATTTTTTTTATTTTTTACTATATGTATATATTGAAATCAATGACCCCAGGGTGGGGGCAATTTTGACCCCAGGGCTATAATTTGAACAATCTTGCTAGAGGTTTACAACACAATGTTTCATGCAAAATATCTAACCTCTAGCATTTGTCAATTGCTAGAAGAATTTTTTTAAAGTTTTTACTATATACATATAAGGAAAACCAATGACCCCTGGGGCGGGGCCGATTTTGACCCCAGGGCTATAATTTGAACAATCTGGGTAGAGGTCTACCAGACAATGCCTTATGCAAAATATCTAAGCTCTAGGCCTTTTGGGTCTTTACAAGAAAGGTGTTTTAAGTTTTTACTATATGTACATATAGCGAAAATCAATGACCCCGGGGCGGGTCCGATTTTGACCCAAGGGCTATAATTTGAACAATCTTGGTAAGGGTCTACCAGATGATGCCTTATGCAAAAATTCTAAGCTCTAGGCCTTTCGGGTTTTTTACAAGAAGGTATTTTAAGTTTTTACAATATGTACATAGTGAAAATCAATGACCCCCGGGGCGGGGCCAATTTTGACCCGAGGGCTATAATTTGAACAATCTTGTTAGAGGTCTACCAGACAATGCCTTATGCAAAATATCTAAGCTCTAGGCCTTTTCGGTCTTTACAAGAAGATTTTTTAAATTTATTCTTATAATTCCTTTTGGTTGCCATGGCAACCAGATTTCTGCATGGAATGAAATTCTTTGAACAACTTTGGAAGCCCTTCACCCAAGGAACAATCCTGCCAAGTTTGGTTGAAATTGGACTAGTGGTTTTTCACAAGAAGATTTTTTAAGTTCACTATATAATCTATATAACACACACACAAACACACACACAAACACACACACACACAGGTGAATCGCTATATGCCACCGCATCGCAGATGCTGCGGTGTGCATGCAAAAAAACAGACATTGCTGTGTCACAGAGTTATAAAGATCTTTCAGCATTAAATCTAGTAAGGATACTGTTTTCATACATGTACATTGTATACAACCTGTACAGTCAGACCAACTTACAGTCATTAGTGCAGTCCAACCACTGTAATGTTGTCTGTATGATTTAATTTAAATATCTTAAACAGACAAAACAATTAATAATTTTAGAGAGTATTTCAAAATGAGTACAGACTGGGTAGCGGACAGTACAGACCATGATCAGATAGCATATATGTGCAGACCGATCTTGTTTGACATATTAGGACAAAATTTTGTTTAAAATCTTTAAGAGAACAAACAAAACTGCATTAATTTATAAGACAAACACAATCAATAAATTAACAACTGACCTTGAAACTCTTCAGGAACATAAGTTTTCAGACTAATACAGCAGAATACTGTGGGTAATGAGAGAGGAAAGTTTCCCTCAGTGCGGAGTGGTATATGACGGTAACCAGCCTGTAAGCCGTCCAGAGGTAGTATTCTCTGTCCTATCATACGGCCAGTCTCCTCAAATACAGCAATACGTAATACTGCCAAGTCTGGCAATACTACCTGCAATATATATATATAATAAACCTATTTATCTTCAAACAAAACACTCTTTACTCACTAGCTAATTATCTAAACAATTGTTTGCTTCTGTTGCCATTTAGCAATTAGTACAGTTACAGTGCTCTAGTATTTTACAAGAAAGTCAAAATAATACTTTATGAACATTTTGTTACTTTTATGACAAATATTTCATATCTAAATCTTTTTTCCCAGTGATAAGAATCTGTGCTCTAATACCATTATTTTAACATTCTACAACCCATGCTTCCTAAAATGCAAACATTTATTCGGTTCACATAATGTGCCTTTAATACAAGTTGCAAGAACTTGTAATGCAATCAAACTTAAACAAATATGTTTACAAGGGTGGGTGAATATGTAATGCAATATGATGTATAGTTTCTAATTTAGTGATTCTTGTGTTGGTGTAAACTCTTAATCTGCTTTCAAATGATACTAAAATCATGTGAAGTCAACCAATTAAAAATTCTTTTCAATTTAAAAGTACATTACACAAGTAATGAACACATGTAAAATATGGCTGGTAAATACTCGGTTAAAAGTGCAAACATAAAAGCTTGAGCAAAACTAATCAATTTGTTAATTTTTGTTATAACAATATTTGTAATATTTGCACACAAATGAGCTACTGTAATTGATTTTTTTTCCGAGAAATTCGAGTAACCATCCTTAAACATCCATCGTATTCTCCAGACTTAACAGCCTGTGACTGTAAAGCACAAAACATCTTGCTGGTCATCGCTACAAGAGTACAAAATTAATGGACTTGGGTCGGCAATTTTTCAGTTATTGAAAGGCATACCGAAGTATGATTATGTTAAAGCATTTAAAAATTAGATTATGTATTTCTGTAGGAGGAGATTATTTCAAAGGGTTTAAATTGAAAATTGTAAAATATTTGCTCTATTGTAATATTAATTGACCACATTGCATTACATATTGACCCACCCACTTAAGTACCTTTCTGAAAACAAATTCTTCAGCATTATATACTGGATTTAGGCCGTTAGCTGGGACAACTTTGGTTCGGAACTCCTTTCTGATTGTGTCTGTTGGTAAACCATACATGTCAACCTCTACATATGTACCAATCTTCTTGTCTGACAAGAACTGACCTGATATCACCTAAAACAAAGTCATTCCATATACATTCAACTGTGTTCTTGTTGTATATTCATCCTTTATGATCTAAATTGCTACAAAAACATGAATAACTTACAGCTCAAATAGTTTATGCTTTACATAAATTTATGCCTCCATAAAACATGTTAGTTTAAATAAATACAAAAACAGCTTATCTAACGAGAGCTTTGCAAAGGCGGGGCAATATGAAAAGTGTGACCTTGACCTGAGGAAGGTCAAACCTGCAGTCTGCGCATCACCTCATTATGGTTAACATTTCTGCCAGTTATATTGTAGTTTCAATTTCATTCCACCAGTTCAAAAGATACAAACCAGACAAACAAACTGCTAGCAGACAGAACATAACAATGCATGCTGAAATCTTTTTAGGTGTATGAAAATGAAATATTCTGAATATATGGCAAATTATCACTGTAGTCAGTGCAATTATGAAGTAAGGAACCTATGTTTGTTCGGCTTTTCTTGCTGGGTACCAACCAGAAATTATCAATTTCTTAGCAAGTGACAGACTACTAATCACTTGGTTGTGAGAGACAAATGTCTATTAGGTATTTTTGTATGTGCTGAATGACAAAAACAATATGTTTACACACAATGGCTGCATTATAATACTATATTGTCAAATCAAGCAACAAATTTTTCTGATGCAAAAAAGACATATCCTATGAGATTACCTGTACAGTGCAACAAGCAGCTATCACACCAGAAATAGGACTTTCAGAGAAAGGATCAAATGTTCTATCTGGACGTCTCATAAAGTCTGGCTTCAATAAATATCTGTAAGAATAAAACAAAGATTAGAAAATCCTTAATTCATATATATAGATGTGACTAAAAGCTAATCAGCACACATTCAATGTTGTATGTCATTTTCAAACTAATAATTGTCACAAAGAAAAATACAAAACTTAAAAGGATTATGTGTAGAATTATAAATACAAAATGGCCACCTTGGAGGGCAGTAGACATGAAGAGTAGACATGAAGAAACTATTAGTTTAACTAGAAGGGGTTTTTGTCACAAAAACATATGTCACCCAAAACAAGGTATGGTATACGTACTGATCACTTCTGTGAATTTTGGGCAAAATCCTGCCAGCAGTTTGACCTTTGAAAGCCTGACAAGATTTTTCTATTTACAGCTCTGACTGCCATTTTGTGCAGCAAAAAGGAAGTTTCATTGAAATCCCACCATCAGTTTGAAATGTTAAAGACGGACAAGATTTTTCTATTCTTAGCTCTGGCGGCCATTTTGTGCTGCCAAGCAGAACATGCTGGTCATATGCACAACTAGGGATGGTACTGATCACTCCCGTGAAGTTTCATTGAAATCCAGCCAACAGTTTGACCTATGAATGTTGGACAAGCTGAATGGGAACGGACGGACAGACAGACGTGCTCAAAGTTTGGTATTTAAGTGGTTACTCTTCTCTCTGTTGTTTTTTTTAGCCGTGTAAAAGAAAAGTAGCCACATAAGAGCTAACTGAATGAATAGCATCAAAGGAAATTTACTGTTACCTATTGTTCCCATAGCCCCCTAAGTATCTATATGTTTGTACGGACAGACTAACAGACCGTGAATACAAAAACAATATGTCTCCTATTTTAGGAGACATAAATAATTATATAAAATTAACCCACTAAAAGCCATTTTCACTACTAACTTAAATGGTTGGTTTATCATTCTGTAACAATGACATTACTGATGTCAATCATCAACTTTCAAGTTGGTAGATAACCACAAGTGTGCCTCATGCATTTAACTGCAGGTCAACCAACCATTCATAAGCTAGCAGAAAATACTTTACCTGACAAAATTGTTTGTCTTTGACAAGATTTTAACAGACACATATGACAGGTTAGAGAAAGGTCAACAGATTTATGCAAATATTTTTTGTTATTCCTTATAATTCATGGTATATATAATACTGCTGATTGAAAATGTGTGCTATCGTACAAATTGTCGAGCATAAATCAACTAAAAGAGTACATAATGTCACTAAAGAGAGCAATATACAGAACTTCAAAACCATTGTCCTAAAATTTTTGTAAATATTAACTTACCCACAATTCCCATTGTATTCAAATTTTCCCTGATTGAGTTGCATGGCCAAGTCTGGTGTTTGGAAGTTCAGTGCTACCATTTGGCAGCCAGCATTCCAAAATATCTGAGGCATGTAATTACCAGAGTCTACCCGACCTCCTTTTGGATATATACGACTCATCTGTCGCTTATTATAACTATACTGGTTAAGGAATTGTATTGTATTGTTACAATAACATGCATAAGATAAGAAGGCAGTCAAAAATCCAGAGTGCATCAAATGTCTTTATACATTTGTATTTGCTTTGTTATGACAGTATGACATCGCACCCTAGATAAATCTATAAAAACACCTTCATACAAAATATATAAAACCAATCAAACAGTCATAAAAAAATGCATGCATAGCTACTGAAAACTATTAGCAAGAAACTGAAAAGCAAATATTTGACTTACTAAATGGTATATAATAGTTACACAGATAGAGTATTAACAGGCACTATAAGTTATTACCAGTAACTCTTATCTTAACCTTTACTACACTTGGTGTCTAAAATGGACCATCTTTCAGTCTAGACAAATCTTTTCATCAGATTTAAGGAATATTCCATGTAGTGACTGAATAGTGAACAGTGCAGACCATGATTAGACAACACAGATGTGACGGCTGATCTTTGTCTGCGTCTGTTGTGGTGGCATTAGTTGAATAAGTAACTGCAAATTCAGTCAATGCCAGCAGGCTAAAAATTAATGTTTATTATTACAAAAATATACAAGCAAGGTTTTACGCAAGTGTAATATGGCTGCGAAGGAATGGTCAGCTGTGCACTGCATACCAAATAAAATGCTATCTAGAGGAATGTCTATTTAGATCTGGGCAGTTGTTAATTGAAATTAAAGGGGAAGCGTTATGGCAAAAAATTCCATTATGTAGTATTAAGTAGTATTCGTTTTATACTGTGATAAGACAGGTAGCTTCAGTCAATGTGGCAATGTGCCAGGAATCCGATACTTTGTGTATTATCTATATATAGACAGTGTATGTTGCTTGTAATGGTTTATCATAATGCCTTGAACATTAATTAATTATATCCAGATTAAACAATATAAGCAAATTACCAACAATAAAACATCAAATTGAGCATAAATATAGTATATGCTTAGGACATTAAAGGCATCAGACTCATAATCAAATCTAACCAAATGTGTGACCTCGCTTTACTATATTTAAGTTTTTGAAAGCAGAACTATGTCTGCACAGCACTATCCAAATCACCTCAAAAGAAAAATACAAAACTTTAAAAGATAAATGTGTTTTGACATAACTTGAATGCCAAAAATAAACATCATTCAAAAGTATTCTTGTGAAAAACAAATATTTACACAGAAATTTTGCTGAAAAAAGGGGTAAACTCTGTCATGAATCAGTAGCAACTATCACTGGTGCAAAAATTACATCTTACTTGGCACATTTGTCAATGTATTCAATGTACATTAGTCAATAAAGGCTGTAACAGCAAAAGTGTAAAGGTCTGAGTTTTGCACCGGTGACCTGGACCCCAGTACTCCCTAATTTCACCAAAGGTTAAGGGACATTCCAAAGTATCTACCATCCAAATATGAAAGACACCATTAAATGAATTACAACTGCATTTACAAATTGTATCAATCGGGTAACCTTGACCTTAAACCAAGTGACCACTTCTCCATCATTCAAAGTTATAGTACAGACCAAGATATTTAACTACTGAATAAGAAAGACACCATTCAACACCATTCAATAAATAAAGATGCACAATTTGGATCTAATAGCAAAAAAACAACAATTTTTGAGACAGCAGACAAAAAACATCTGATTAAAAAAGGGACACAACTATTTATGATAAATACTTTTCGTCCCAAAGTTTTCTGTTTCTTTTAAACATAATTAGTAATATTTTGCAAAATAATGTATGTTTACATTATTAAATTATTTTAGAAAATGAATTAGTTGACATTCATTTACTGGAAAGTAAAAATCATTAATGTTTTTTGTAAAGGTGGTGGGTGGGGTAATGGTGTACTTAATAAGGGTTATTCATCAGAACCTCGTTAATACACGGTGTTGAGACCTTAGACCACAACATCAGTGTTATAACGGGTTTGCATTGTATTAAAAAAAAAGTTTGATGAAGATCAGATCAAAATTGTGCCCTCCATAGTGTAAACAAGAGCCCGGCTAGGCGTAGCATTATATGCCCGAAAGTGTTTTTGTTTTTTGTTGTTTTTTTTAGTAAGGATGAAGCATTTGTAAGACATTACATAAATTAAATAAAGTATTACCTCCTTCAAATAGCAATCCTCCTATAAAGTTTAAATATTGTGGGTTAAATGGAACTTAAGTTATGCTCTGGAAACTGTTTTCAGTTTTGAGGTAATAGCGACCTTGAACTTTGACCTTGTGAACCCAAAATCAGTAGGGGTCTTCTACCCAATATGGACAATCATCCTATAACATCTGAACACTATTGGCCAAATAGACATTTAGTTAAGTTCTGGAAACTGTTTTCAGTTTTAAAGTAATAGTGACCTTGACCTTTGACCTTGTGATGCCAAAATCAAAAGGGGTCTTCTTCCAAATATGGACAATCATCCTATGAAGTTTGAATATTGTGGGCCAAATAGACTTTAAGTAATGCTCAGGAATTTCTTTTCAGTTTTAAAGTAATTGTGACCTTGACCTTTGACCTTGTGACCCCAAATCAATAGGGGTCTTCTACCCAATACGGCCAATCATCCTATGATGTTTCAATATTGTGGGCCACATGGAACATAAGTTATGCTGAGGAATTTAAAGTTATAGTGACCTTGACCTTGTGACCCCAAATCTATAGGGGTCTTCTACCCAATATGGACAATTATCCTATGAAATTTGAATATTATGGGTCACATGGAACATAAGTTATGCTCTAGAAACTGTTTTCAGTTTTAAGGTGATGGTGACCTTGACCTTTGACCTTATGACTCCAAAATCAATAGGGTCTTCTACTCAAGATGGACAATCATCCTATGAAGTTTGAATATTGTGGGCCAAATGGAAAATAGGGCTTAATCAAATCATAGTGTTTCCATAATGCAGAAATAGGTCATTATAGTCATATTCAAGGTCATCCAAAGTAAAAATTTATTACCACATGCAAAACTGTACTCAAGGTCTAAATTTGATCAAACTACAAAACAAAGTCTCTTTGCCCTTTAAGATATTTTATGGTTTCACAACGAAATCTACCCATATATTAAACTGATGAACCTTGTGGTGGGACCTTACTGAATAGGTGCCATGATTATAACAAACTTTTTAGAGGACCGTAACATGATCCACATGCCAAATATCAAAACTAGGCTTTACACTTTTGGAAAAGACTTTTAATGATTTTTTAAATACACATATTTTGGCATCTATTTCTGCCCAAACTCTGTAACGCATGATACAATCATTTATCTCAATTTTCTGTGTAAGTTTTGTTCAAATCAAACAAGAATTTGTAACAGTTACCAACATCCCCTGCCTTTTACATGATAGTATTATTTCCCAGTTAGATGTATGGATTGGGACTTTCTGTGCAAAATCTTGGTAGCTTACTAGCTTTGCACATGCAACAATAAATTCATCATAGAAATATAATGATATAACTCCTGTCTATGTGTACTTGAGTAGTTTTTATCATTGAAAATATATAACAAACAGGGAGATAATTTAACAAGATCTGTTCACTGACAACAGCCCTCCACTTTTTTCAGTGCTGGATAGTAAAAAACTAGAACTCCCCGAGTCGGTTGTGTCGCCTTGTGAACAATATAGTTTAGGAGAAATGGCCAGGACAAAAATGAAATATGAAAATTAACAAAGGGAAATAACTCAAAAAATAAGAAATGCAGAGCAGCAGTTTCTGTGCACTGCACTTCTTATCAGTAAGATCTATCATCCTATGAAGTTTCAAGGCTATAACTTTTATAATTTATGAGAAATGGCCTGGACAAAAATAAAGTATGAAAATTAACAAAGGGCAATAACTTAAAAAGTAAGAAGTGCAGAGTACCGGTTCTTGTGCACTGCACTTCCGGTCATTATAAGAAGCATGCATACCAAGTTTGAAGTCAATCCGACTTATAATGACAGACTTATGCTCCGGACAAGCTTAAGGGGATGCCGACACTGACGCTGCCGACAAAAGTAACCCCTTATGTCGCCTTTTTCAAGGCGACACAAAAAGCAACATACAAAGAGGCATTACTCTGCAAACATGTATAACAGACTTACATGTCAAAAAATATTTCAAGTTTGAAGTGAATACCTTAAACGATTTTTGAGAAAAAGGCAGATATTCTCAGTCAAACAAGGGAAATAATCTAAGTCAAGAAAGGGAAATAATAAAGCAAAAATGACTTTCAAAAAAGTGGGGCCTTGACGTTGGAGGTAGAATCTGGGTGTTACCCATGACACATTTTCTATTTATGGCGAGCATTTGTGCTAAGTTATTAAAATCTTTTGATGAATGAAAAAGTTATGGAGCTGACATGAAATATACCCTCCATCAGACAGACAAGTGTGACCTAAAAGCTTGGAGGTAGAGATCTAGGTGTTATGTATTACAGATTGTCTTATTATGGTGAACATTTGTGCCAAGTTATTTCAAAACACCTTGATGGATTAATAAATGTGGACCAGATATCAAAATATTCCCGCCATAACACATGTTTATCTTTGATCTACAAGTGTGACCAAAAACCTTGGAGGCAGGGTTGTTGTGCATGACATGTAAGTTTATACTTATTCATTTTAGTTTTATTATGTTGGAAGCTATAACCTTATTGAAACACTCTCAATCTGTTCCTAGAACCAACCAATACTTAAGAATGAGTGTAAAGTTTCTGGCTTATGCCTAATAACATAACGGCTTGCCCCTGACAGAGTTTAATCCAACACCACCAGCAATCCTTAGATTACTAGTCTAAAGTGTTAACCACTCTGCCACGCCAACAATAACATTTGAAGGAACAAATAGACAGAGCCCACTTCTTTATATCTCTTTTTTTCTTCAAAAAGGTCAGGGAGACAATAAAAATTACAGCTGTATTGTGCATGGATGACTGTCATCTATCTTATATGAAACAAACTTCAAATATCACAAACTGGCCACAACATCTGACAACTGCTTGATCTAACATTTCACATGTAACTCTTTAAAATGTTGTGTTTCCATTTTACAGAAATGTATGTTACACACAATTAGTTTATTTGTAGCTATGAAACATGCAAATAGGTTACATAATATAAGGGTACAAGACAAGGATACTTAACAAATTCAATGCACGAATTGGCTATTAGACCCAAGGCACTTCTTTCATTGAAAGACGACATATGGCAGCAAATCCGCCGAGCTGTTTGAATAAAATACATGCAAATATTGTAAAAAGAACAACATATTACTACATTCACATATAAAGATGCAAATCTTAGTTTAATTCATGCACATGAAGATTGAGGATTATGTAAAATTGTTATAAGTTTTATACACCAAGAGTTCTGTTTTCTTTTTTTAACATCTGTAAAGTATTTTCTCTTACAAATATCTAAAAAAACTTTTTTTTTCAAACTTCCATCACTTGAAGTTCTTCAACCAAATAAACCAAATAATATCATTTATTCAGAAAAAAATTTCTTTCCATTTTTGAAACTGTTCATCGTTAATTTTGGGTATCTCAAGATGAAAATTTGAAGTTAGTTAGCCAAAGATATAGAAGCCTATTTTATGACTGTAAGTGCAGGCTGCAATAAGTTAAGCATCTAACAGCATATCAGTCTGTATATTCTAGCAGTCTTAACACATGTCAATCATTCTTATCTTATAGAATATATCTTAAGGGAAACAATTAAACTAAACAACAATTGAAAGCTCATACTGTTAAGTCAAATATATAAACTGGGAATTATCTGACTTCTAACCTTTAACCTACAGAATTTCTGTAATGGATTTACCCTGCTTTCAACTGTCCATAATTTCTATGTCAAGATATAAAAGTTGAGCTACCAATAGTACAGAGTCTGTTCAGATTGCTAGGATGCCCTATACTGGTAGTAAAAGCTTATCCATATAGTTCTACCAGAAGATATGTTTGTATGTAAAAGCAAATTTGTGTTCTAAAAGATATCATTAGAGCAGACTTGTGCCCTAAAAGGTAACACTGGATCAGACTTATGTCCTAAAAGATAACACTGGAGCAGACTTTTGTACTAAAATGTTACACTAGAGCAGACTTGTGCCCTAAAAGGTAACACTAGAGCAGACTTGTGTCCTAAAAGGTAACAATGGAGCAGACTTGTGTACTTAAAGGTAACAGTGGAGCAGACTTGTGCCCTAAAAGGTAACACTAGATCAGACTTGTGTCCTAAAAGGTAACACTGGAGCAGACTTGTGTCCTTAAAGGTAATAGTGGAGCAGACTTGTGCCCTAAAAGGTAACACTAGAGCAGACTTGTGTCCTAAAAGGTAAAACTGGAGCAGACTTGTGTACTAAAAGGTAACACTGCAGCAGACTTGTGTACTAAAATGACACACTGGAGCAGACTTGTGTTCTAAACGGCAACACTGGAGCAAATTTATCTTCTAAAAGATAACACTGGAGCAGACTTGTGCCCTTAAAGGTAACAGTGGAGCGACTTATGTCCTAAAAGGTAACACTGGAGCAGACTTGTGTACTAAAAGGTAACACTGGAGCAGACGTGTGTCCTAAAAGGTAACACTGTAGCTTGTGTCCGTAAAGGTAACACTGGAGCAGACTTGTGTACTAAAAAGTAACACTGGAGCAGACTTGTGTACTAAAAAGTAACACTGGAGCAGACTTGCGTTTTTAAATGTAACACTGGAGACTTGTGCCCTAAAAGGTAACACTGGAGCAGACTTTTGTTCTAAAATGTAACACTGGAGCATACTTGTGTTCTTAAAGGTAACACTGGATCAGACTTTTGTTCTAAAAGGTAACACTGGAGCAGACTTATGTTCTAAAAATTAACACTGGAGCAGACTTGTGCCCTAAAATGTAACAATGGAGCAGACTTGTGTCCTTAAAGGTAACATAGGAGCAGACTTATGTTCTTAAAGGTAACACTGGAGCAAATTTGTGTCCTAAAAGATAACACTGGAGCAGACTTGTGTCCTATAAGGTAACACTGGAGCAGATCTATGTCGTAAAAGGTAACACTGGAGCAGACTTATGTCCTAAAAGGTAACACTGGAGCAGACTTGTGTACTAAAAGGTAACACTGGAGCAAATTTGTGTCCTAAAAGGTAACAGTGCAGCAGACTTGTGTCCTAAAAGGTAACACTGGAGCAGACTTATGCCCTAAAAGGTACCAGTGGGGCAGACTTGTGTCCTAAAAGGTAACACTGGAGCAAATTTGTGTTCTTAAAAGTAACACTTGAGCAGACTTATGTCCTAAAAGGTAACACTGGAGCAAATTTGTTTTCTAAAAGGTAACACTGACTGTCAACTGACTACAAACCAAGGGGTTCTAAGTTGGACACTCTCTTACTTCAACTTATTATTACTCTTTCTAAAAACATTTAATATTATGGGGGCTTTACATCTGTATTGTTAACAAAAGGCAACTATAAAAACATATTTTTTAATTTCAAATGCATTTTATACAATTTGCAAACCTACAAAAAATTTTTAAAAGAGGTCATGTTTGCCCTTAAATCCACATCGACTATCATTTTTCAAAGGGAAAGGGAACTATTAAATTTTTTTAATACATGTATGAATGAAAAACTTTTTATATACTTCAAACAATATCCAAAGTTTTATCTAAATTGTAAGAAAAAAGGCTGGGTGACCCAATGACCCTTATCCAACTTAGCTAGAAATCATCTTAAACATTTTTTCTGACAATTTTACTAGGAATTGGGCTAAAATTTTACTTTGTTGTGTAAAAAAGGGTTTTTTTAAAATATTTTGGCTCTTACCTGTTTTTCCCCCAGACCCCATATTAGTGCTAGAAATAAACCAAACTCTTTATGAAAATTTTTCCAATTTTGAGAAACATAGTTTCAAGGGGGAAAAAAATTTTTTGGGATTAAGAAAAATTGACTGACAACGAGACAGACTTTATTGTCCAATAACATTAAAGTTTTTTTTAAAACTTATCAATAACAGAGCCCAAAAACAGAATAACTGTCAAAAACGCAGGGGAGAAATAATTTTAAATATGCAAGAACAAAACAAACAGCAAAGTGATCATCCACTAGCATGCATGCTGATGTTCAGACTCATTACTTTATTCAAACACAACATCAACATTGAAGGAATGGTAAAAATAGAAAAAAAGAAAGTAAAAACCAAAACATATGGAAATATCCTACCAAAAAGGATACTTAACAAATTCTATAGCTTGTGTTTTAAGATAACCAAGGCCAGTGTTTTCATTAAATGAAGACATGTGATAGTGAAAACACCTCTCTGAAAGATAACACATACAGTATGTTGTGATTTGTAAGGCTTATGGGTAAAATTTGTGTCAAAAACAAATACAGAAACAATAAAGGTGAATAGAGTATGTACAAAGGATTCTCCTTTTAAACATTAATTGATTTTGCAATTTTAACATCGAGGGTTGACCACAAAACGGCAGTAACTTGTATGAAATAAAGAAGGACTTACAACAATTTTGCAATCAACCCTTGATATTATCTTCAACAAGCAATTATCAAAGTATTGCAAGCAATACAAGCCTCCTACCTGTTAGAACCCCACAGAAAATATGTCAGCAACATTCTGAGGTGTCATGGCCATTCAATTATGCCATTGTGGAAGACAAGAATGAAGTTTGTATCATCGTATTATTAGTTAAAATTTTCTGTCATAAAATCTGCTGAATAAAGCTCCTAAATATTTGTTATGAAAAAGTGCCAATATTTTTTTTTTTTTTTGGTTTATTAACCAGCCCTATAATTACAAGAATGTTTGTGTGATGTATACGCTGTACAAAAATGGTTGTCAATGAATGCTGGTTAAATTTGATAAAGTAAGCCAGCTGAAAAGATATGCAACCATTATAATTATTACATTGCTAACAACTTTAAAAAAAATCTAAAATATTACTTTAGAAATTTCAACTTTTCATGAATATTGATTTATTTTTTTACTTTAGGTGATTCAAACTCACACCTGTCACCTAAATTTCATTGTGGTTTTATGACAAAAATGACAAGACAGAACCAAAAAAACCCTTCTTTGTAGAGGCCGAATATAGGCTGTTTCCCCAACCAAACTAGCCTCTTTTTTCCCCCAGTTTGGTCCTCAAAATTCCCCAGTCTTTTGAAATTTCCCATAGAATTTAGAACAAAATTAATGATGGTGTTGAATTAAGGTCTTTTACTGCCTTATTAGTATTTCCCAGTGCTTTTTGCATTTCTATTTGAAGAACTTGTTAAAAGATTGCGTTAAATTTGAGACCCCTTTTCCCAAAGTATGCCAAAATCACGCATATTTTCCCCAAGCAAAAGACTGAGGCCCCTCGTCAAAAATGGTGTTTTGGCCCTGCAAGAGCCACCGCCAACTGGAGTCCAGTCTCGACTTTTTCTTATTTCTAAAGTCAAACATATCTGTGGAAGAACATTGTAGTAAAAAATATTCCTAGAAAAAATCATTCAAACTTCATAATTATAAAACTTCAAGTTGATTCAATGTGGCTTACTGGCAATATCCGGAGGTTACTCATACCACCATCACCACTACCATCTGAAGATCATTCCTGTGAAGTTTGGTCAAAATCCATTAAGTGGTTAAGGACATTGTTTAAAAGAAACCACAAACAATAGTCAGTAACATCACAAATGCTACACCTCTAATCACTTTGTTTACAGGTGAGCTTATAATAATGACCTATGTTAAAGTACTAGACACCAACTGGAATGACAACATGACTGTCACAAGAGCTTGAAATTATCCACAAAAAGTGAGGCTAAAAATGAATTAATTTAAAAAAAAAATTTTTTAAAGAAAAAATAGCAAAATCATGTTATGTTTTTATTTAGTTTTGATTTTTTTCTTTTTTCATGTTATGTTGTGATGACCAACTTGTCAATTTACATTGCCAAGATTATTGAGGAAAATCCTTTCCACATTTAAAAGAAGAAGATGAAAAAGTAAAGGAAGCACAAATATTTACCAACATACAAATATTTTAGTATGGGGGCTATCATCAAATTAAATTATCTTTTTGTTTTTTGTTCTTTTTTTTTTTGGGGGGGGGGGGGGGGTGGTACTTTTAAATTTATGAAATATGAAAATAAAAGCTCATTGTCTTCAAGTGGCAAATTAAATGTATAATATTCATCAACAACAGCTACTGCCAGGCAGGGGCAACACTCGACTTTTTACTTTTTCTAAAAGCAAACAAAGAAATGTTTGAACAAATTTTATAAATTTAATCGGTCTGTCTTGTCACATTAGTTTTGTCTATATATTTTGTATATATAAATATACTCATTTATATATAAATAGAAACACGCAATACATTCTATAAATAGAAACACGCAATGCATTCTGTAAATAGAAACACACAATGCATTCTGTAAATAGAAACACGCAATGCATTCTATAAATAGAAACACGCAATGCATTCTATAAATAGATACACGCAATGCATTCTATAAATAGATACACTCAATGCATTCTATAAATAGATACACGCAATGCATTCTATAAATAGATACACATGGTGGTGGTGTTGTTGGTGGTGGTGGTGTTGATGATGATATATATATAACCAATAAATACACACCAATAAATATATTTGGTCATTTAATGCACAAATCTGAGAAAATTCAGTAATTTAACCTTCAAGGTCATTAAAGAGCCCAAGTCAATTTGGGTTTGATAAACAACAAGGTCTTGCCCTTAAGAATGTTCTATTATAATATGAAGTTGATCCAGTTACAACCAAAACAATGAAAATTTCAATAATTTGACCTTCAAAGTCAAGGTCATTTATGAATGAAGGTCAAGGTCTGTCTGGTTATTTTTAAGGGTTATCCTTGAAGATTATTATGTTCAAGTTTGAAGACAATCCATTGAAAAATAACAAAGTTACAGCCAATAATAACCAAAAAAATGAAATTTCAATAGTTTGACTTTCAAAGTCAAGGTCATTTATGAGTGAAGGTCAAGGTCTGTCTGGTTATTTTTAAGGGATATCCTTAAAGATTATTATGTTCAAGTTTGAAGACAATCCATTAAAAACAAAAACAAAGTTACAGCAAATAATAGAAAAAACAAGCAAAATTTGGACTTTTAACCTTGAAGGTCAAGGTCATTTATGGATGAAAGTCAAGGTTAGTGTGGTCTACTGAAAGGTCTTGTCCCAAGGGTTGTTGTGGCCAAGTATGAAGACAATACACCAAGAAATTAAAAAGTTATGATCCAGGTACAAGTTTGCGGACGGGAATGCCAACGGCGCCGCGACTATAGCAATACCTCTACTTTTTTTTTCAAAAAGTCGAGCTAAAAAACTGTGAAAATTTAGCAAATTTCTCCACATTTGATGGATGGTAAACTTTATATAACACATCAAGTCATGTACAAACCTTCAGCAACATCGAAGCCCTGAAACTTCACTGGCTGAGCATAATTAACAAGGGCAGACAATGCTGGATGTATATTAGTTGTTGCCCCTGTATAATGATACGTTGACATCAAGGCCATTTCTTCATCAGCAGTTAGTGCACCCTGAAATAAATATTTGATAATACTCTGATTACTCAAATTTCAAAAATAGAGTGAGGAGTGCATCCTTTAATCAAATACTACAGAACAGATTAAAATTACTGTTAAATTTACATTTTTTTTATATATCTTACAATATTTTCATGTAAAGCAATCTTAGCTTGCTATATACCAAGCTTAATTACAATATTTCATTCCCAACACTAGTAATTGTCCGGAAACCATTGTTTTTTGGGTTTTTTTTTAGTAACAGTGACCTTGACCCCAGAGGCTCCAAAAGCAGTCCCAACCAGTGTTTCCACATGGTTGATTCAATTACTCATTCCAAACTCTATTCTCGTCCAAAAACTATGAAGTAAACCGACCTAGTGACCAACAAACTGACTCCTATATAGCCCCCTAAACTTTGTTTGTGGGGGTATATCAAGGTTTCCTCAAATATAGGCTGAGTGATCTTGTTTTTAAATCAAGGTGACCCACATTCAAATTTGAGCTAGAATAACAAAAACAACTTTTCTGACAAATTTCCAGAATGTTTGGACCAAAACAGTAGCCATTAATTGTACTGACCTTGGTACTGATATGGCATTTAATAACCAGACTTTGACATTAGCATAAACTGACTTTTAAAATTTTTCAATATTCTGGTAATGACCTTGACATACACTGACCTTGACTTTCAAGCTAATATCGTCTTCTTCTATAGAATCTGGAATTTTAGAAATCATGTACTCTGGGTGGGGATCAGTGTCTGTACTGGCTGGAGTTGGATTTATATCTGAAATAAAACAATACATATTAATGGAGAAACATTAAGTCAAAACTGTGAAAATTTGAGACATCATTTTCTGTGATGTTTATATTATCTATATAACAAGGCTGCTGAATATTCATGAATTAATTTTCATTTTTGACAAGTTACGTAACCAAGTATAAAAATAATTGTTATACATCTATAACCCTCTCATAGCAGCTGTGTTTATATAAGCTTTCACAGTTTCAGCTGGTGGTTTTGGTTATATAAGTAAGCTGTAACAGCCATTTATTCTGGACCATATAACTTGTCAAAAGTGTAACTAATATTATGTAGTCTTTTACTTTTACTAAAACATGGCAGAAAAATAAACTATTTAACAAGAAATGAAGTTTATAAAAAAGTAAACATATATGCCAATCCATAAACAAGGAACATCGCAATGCGATGCAACCAGGTTTTCAGCAAAATATTTCACAGAAGCTTTGTCATGAAGGGGCATTTGTTTTTAATTGAACTTTTAGGAGGAATTATGGCTTTTTTAATATTCCTCAAACAAAAATGATTGAGAAATTTTATGTTGTCTATTCGCCTTTTTTTCCCAAATGTTTTAGAAAGGTAAACAGTACTTTATTTTTGCTTAATTTTTGCATTTTTGCATCTCTTGTCATTTTCTTTTGTCAACAATATTGGCGTGTGGTGTTTTGTGCGATATCAAGAAAAGTATGTTCACAATTTTAAAACAAGCAACAAACAATGTAACTATGTGCAATGTAAAACATGAATAATGTAGGAGGAATTGCCACTGAAGAAGTGTTCACTATATATTCTGTATAAGGAAAAAAACAAAGGGCCATAATTAGGTCAAAAATTATCCAATCACAAAACCCCGACAATATGTGCGAGGGCGCTTGGTGACAAAGCCTCTGTGAAAGTTTGAACAACATCCGTTGAGAAATGTAGGACGAGTTCAGCACAGAAGAATTTGTTCACTATATATTGATAATTCTGTATAAGGAAAAAACACAAAGGGCCATAATTAGGTCAAATATTATCCAATCACAAAACCCTGACAATATGGGCCAGGGCACTTGATAACAAAGCTTCTGTGAAAGTTTGGTCAAAATCCGTCGAGAAATGTAGGAGAAGTTGCGCACGATAGAAATTGTTCACTATATATTCTGTATAAGGAAAAAAAACAAAGGGCCATAATTAGGTCAAATATTATCCAATCACAAAACCCTGACAATATGTGCCAGGGCACATAATGACAAAGCTTCTGTGAAAGTTTGAACAAAATCTGTTGAGAATTGTACAGGGAGTTCAGCACAGAAGAAATTGTTCACTATACATTCTATATAAGGAAAAAAAACAAAGGGCAATAATTAGGTCAAATATTATCCAATCGCAAAACCCCGACAATATGCCCAAGGGCACTTGGTGACAAAGGTTCTGTGAAAGTTTGGTCAAAATCTGTTGAGAAATGTAGGAGGAGTTGCACACAGAAGAAATTGTTCACTATATATTCTTTATAAGGAAAAAAAACAAAGGGCCGTAATTAGGTTAAAAATTATCCAATTGCAAAACCCCCACAATATGCCCCAGGGCACTTGATGACAAAGCTTCTGTGAAAGTTTGGTCAAAATCCGTTGAGAAATGTAGGAGGAGTTGCCCACAGAAGAAATTGTTCACTATATATTCTATATAAGGAAAAAAAACAAAGGGCCATAATTAGGTCAAATATTATCCAATCGCAAAACCCCGACAATATGCGCCAGGGCACTTGATGACAAAGCTTCTGTGAAAGTTTGGTCAAAATCTGTTGAGAAATGTAGAAGGAGTTGCGCACAGAAGAAATTGTTTACGCCCGCCCGCCCGCCCGCCCGCCCGTCCGCCCGCCCGCCCATCCGCCCGCCCGCCGACATACCTCAATCTAATAACCAGTTTTTTCCTTCGGAAAACCTGGTTAAAAAAACCTTAAAAGTGTCAGTTCAAGTACAATCACAATAGATTTAACTGTACATTATGCATTTCATATGCACACCAAACTGGGATTAAAAAACTTAAAAAAACAAACAAACAAGAACCGGTTGAACCGGGTAATGCTCCACGTCTAGGTTTTGGCACAGAAAAGTATATCTTTTGTAGTTTTGATAGTTATGTCCCAGACAAAGTTCAAAGTGTGATAATTCCAAACTTAGGCAAGGCAGAGTTACTGTTGTTTGCACTGCACTTCTACTCAATGAGATCTAACTACTGACTTTCACGCGACACATCGTTTCAATATGGTGATCATTTCTGTGAAATAGTTGTAATATCCGACGACAAATAACGAAGATATGGGCCGGAATGATTCTGCTGCAAGGTCATGCTGTGACCTTCAAGGTAGCGACCCAAATGCTGCAGGCGACACATCATCTCAATATGGTGATCATTTCTGTGAAATAGTTGTAAAATCAGACTTCAAATAACAAAGTTATGGACCGGACCTGATTTTGCTGCAAGATCATGCTGTGACCTTGACCTTCAAGGTAGCGACCAAAATAATGCATGCAACACGTCGTCTCAATATGGTGATCATTTCTGTGAAAAAGTTGTAAAATCTGACTTCAAATAACAAAGTTATGGGCCGGACCTGATTTTGCTGCAAGGTCATGCTGTGACCTTGACCTTCAAGGTAGCGACCCAAATGTTGCATGCAACATGTCATCACAGTATGTCGATTATTTATGTGAAATAGTTGTAAAATCCGACTACAAATAATGAAGTTATGGGCCGGACAAGAGTTTGCTTCAAGGTCGTGCTGTGACCTTGACCTTCAAGGTAGCGACCCAAATGTTACGCATGACATGTTGTCTCAATAAGGTGATCATTTATGTGAAATAGTTGTAAAATCCGACTTCAAATAACAAAGTTATGGGCCGGAACACGATTTTGCTGCAAGGTCATGCTGTGACCTTGACCTTCAAGGTAGCGACCCAAATGTTGCTAGCTACAGGTCGTCTCAATATGGTGATCATTTCTGAGAAATAGTTGTAAAATCAGACTTCAAATTATGGGCCGGACCTGATTTTGCTGCAAGGTCATGCTGTGACCTTGACCTTCAAGGTAGCGACCCAAATGTTGTGCACGACATGTTGTTTCAATATGGTGATCATTTCTGTGAAATAGTTGTAAAATTCGACTTCAAATAACAAAGTTATGGGCCGGACACAAATTCGAGACGGAAGGACGAACAACCAAGCGACTATGGGGAGCATAAAAAAAATATAAAAAAAATGCATAAATTATTATGCAAATTTTTATTGAAAATGAATCAAATTGGTATGTTTATTTCATTCAATGCTTCATGCGAAATCCCAAATTCTGTGCATTTTATAAGAAATGTCAAAATCTTAACGTAATTTGCAACATGCTCTGGAATAAACACAACAATCTGCATGCACTAACAAATTTCTTTCTTGTAATTGTAAAACCTTTGATGTTTCATTTTAATTTCAAATAAAAAGTTTGATGACATTTTCTATAATTAGTGAAGTACATTAATCTCAAAAGCAATTAAGACCAGCACTTTCACTCATGTATCAATCTTCTATTCTAAAAACTATAAAGGTCAATATAGCATCAAGCATAAAGGACGAAGCAACAGGCATTTAGCTAAATTCAATTGAATGGGACACTAGCTATCATTAGATGGAGTGTAGAACTGTACTCCCTAAAACACAGTCCAAACAAGACCAATTTGGGCAATTAAAACATGTTATGGGAAGGTCCAAAAAGTTTCTGTTGTCAAGTTATTATGAGGCTGACATTGTTTCTCATTTTGTTTATCTGGATTTCATAAAAAATGTTGGTACATAAGAGATAAAAAGGCTTGTATAGAGAAAGATTCCATCTATATGTATGGCAAGCATCACCTTTATGACACAATTGTCTGTCACTGGTACAAGGGCTGTTTTTAAATCACAATAACCCCTATTATCCCTCTTATCCCTGACTGTTACCCCCATCCACACTGCAACCCAATAAATGAGTACAGAAATCAATTAAAATCACACAGACATGTCAAAGCAAAATAGACCAACCATAATATTAAGTTTTCCTTTTATTTTTTATTTCAACATGTTAACTTAATTCAACACCTTTATTTTTGCCTCCACAAGAAAAGTCTATTTTCAAGTACAGAAAGTACTCATGTACATAATCGAAAAAGCCAGGCAACACAAAACATTAGACCAAGTGTGACCATTCTTTAACCCACATCATTAATGGGAATTTAATATAAATGATGTAGGAATCTAATACATGTGAAACATGATAAGCACAACACTTATAGCAGAATAGAGAATACATAGTGGGGAAGGGGGTCTGGCCCCCAGTACAACAAGATGGGAAACTGATCACACCAAATCATAGAAATCAGACTTTAACTATAGCTAGCCAGAATTGTTCTTCAGTAGCTACATGAATATGGACCCTGCTAAAATCTGCAGCATAATTATATTGCAGTATATATTTTTTATTCTATGAAGAAAAACAAAGAAAAACAAATTGTAAGGAAAAATTACTGAAATGACATTTAACACTTTACTATTGGTCAACAAGACCACCACACAGGCAGGGCAATATACGCCCAAATGTAAATTTGTTTGAGAAATCAAAAATAATCTTTCAATAATTATTAGGGAAGAGAACCAAGTAGGGAAGAGAACCTCTGAAAAATGTTTCATCTTCATGACCTCCAAGGAGGGGGGATTTTTTTTCCTAAGTGCATGATTCATAAAACCTTTATAGAGGTCTACTAGGCAATACAGAGGCATAGTTTATTATCCTAAAACAAGGGTGCCATAGTCACAAAATACGCCCGTTTACGAAAGCTTTAGATGGAGAAGGGGGCATTATGGATAAGTGTTATCTAGCAAGCAAGTTTTTATCCTTGGCACTGTGTTATTAAATGAACCTTAAAACAAATCAGTAGGGAAGATATGCACAGGATGTGTGACCTTGACCTTGGTCGCAGGGAC